AGTCACAGGTGAGTGCAGAATAGGTGTCCTAGACGCATATGGCATCCACTGCTGTTGTATTAGAGCCTTCTCTGTCATTTCATACCTATGACCACATGGGGGAGACTTATGACCAGTTAGTTGACAGAAGAGGAAAACTCAAGCTGGGTTCATAGATGGGTTGGCTTGATATGTGAGTTCAAAAGGAAACTGGAAAGCAGCTACATTACAGCCTTACTTAGGTAACCTTGAAAGATACTGGTAAGGGCATATCCACCCAACAGAGCTTCTAATCATTCACTTTTTTTGTGTAAGAAGTGGCCCAAGGGAAAACTATATATGGCTTCACGGACAGTGTTGTGTGGGCTGGGTGACTAGTTAAGGGTCTGGAGAAAAAGAATTGGAAGTTGGGGACTACGAGATCTGTGGTAAAAATTTGTAGGTCAATATACTGGAATAGGTACCAAGTGGGATGATCTTTTTATAAAGTGCTAATGCTAATGCCCACCACAGAGCATCCATGAAATATTTTAAAACCAAGTAGAATGACTCACGCAGTGGACAATGGGCAGCATCTCATTGGCAAACCCAGTACTGGGTACAAGGACAAAATGGCCAAGATGGTGGAGTTGGAGGCCATTCATGGGCCCAACAGTGTAGATTGTCTGACCAAAGCTGACTTAGCTCCTAGCAGCCACTGGATGTCTAACCTGCCAGCAAAAAGACCAATGCTGAGCTTCCAATATGGCCCTTTTCATCAAGAAGCCCAACCAAGTTTACTATATGGAAACTCTTTCATCCTGGATGAGCCAGCAGTTCTTTCCTACAGGAATAGATTCATATTCTACATATAAGTTTGCCTTTTCTGCTCACAAGTGCCACCAGCAAGGGCTTCAGGAGTACTTGTTTCACTGACACAGGATCCCATATGGCATCACATCAAATGGGATTCACTTAGAAAAGGAAGTGCAGGGATCATGAGATCCAACGGCTGATAGAGCATTGGGACAGGCAGCTAAAGGCACAGCTGAAGCACCAAGTTAGAGGTCACACTCTGTGAAGATGGGATGCCATTCAAGACCTTTATAAGGTAATATGCTCCCAACAGGGAGGATACATGAGTCTAAAACCAAAGGGTGGAAACAGGAGTGGCCCCACTTATCATTCCTAAGAATCTCCTGGGAACATTGTGCTTCCTGTCCTCCCAAGTTTAGACTCTGCCAGGCTAGAGGTTATGGTCCCCAAAAGGGACACTCACCAGGGACACCAGAACTTATTCCATTAGGTTATAAAGTATGGATGATGTCTGGGAACCTTGGAGTCCTTGTATCTAGGAACCAGCAGGAACAGGGAGGAGCCATGTCTTGGCAGTGGAGAAGGTAGGGCTGCTATTACATGCATTACACATAGGGAAGAGTATGTGTAGAACCCAGGTGATCCACGTGGGAGGACTTGGTCCTCCTTTGCTCAATTGTGATTAAGACACATAGCAGTGGTTCTCAACCTTGGCTGCACATTAGAATCACCTGGGAATCTTTTAAAAATCCTGATTTCTGGGCCTCATCCTCCGGAAATTCTGTTTCTTTGTTACTAATTTTGTGGCCCCACCCCATAACAAAGAAACAGAATTTCTGGAGGATGAGGCCCAGAAATCAGGATTTTTAAAAGATTCCCAGGTGATTCTAATGTGCAGCCAAGGTTGAGAACCACTGCCTTATAATGTTTTTCTCAGTACCAATTAGGAAAGGTGATTAATGCAATTTCAGATATCAGAGACAGGATTATACTTTCACTACCTTTATTTAGACACTGTAATATCATTTTGATCCATTACTTTATGGACAGCATAGTAACTGGTCCTAGTGAGCAGGAAATGGTAAGTACCCTTAAGCCTTAGTAAGATGAGTGCTGGATGGTAAGAGATGAAAAATCAGGGGCCTGCCATTTTGGCAAAGTTCTAGTTGATCAGTCTGTGGAATGTCACAGTATCCCTTCTATAAAGTAGAAGACAAGTAACTACCCATTACACTGCCTACAACTAAGTCACAAGGCTTAGATTGTTTGGATTTTTGTATACAACCATATTTGGGGGTGCTACTCCAGTCTATTTACTGAGGAAGTCATAGGCTGTTAGTTTCAAGTGAGACCTGGACAATAGGTTTCAATGATGCTTAGGGTGCCTTTGCAATTAAGTATAATGGGTGGCCTCACTATAAAGCCCCATTACGGCAGATTTCCAGGGCCTTGACACAAAGCCTTGACTCCTTCTAACTCATTCTCCGTTTGAGAAACATCTGACCTACTACTCAGTCCTGGCAGAGACCTAACTCCTACCCATGGGATACCAAGTACTATACAACTCAAACTGCCAACATATACTGGGTGCTGTCTGATCACTATCAGCCAGAAGGAACACACCTAATGGATAGCGGAAAGCCTACCTCCTGAAGATGCTCTTGTAGTGCCATTTCTCCCACAGCCACAGTATATCAGCCTGGAAACCCAAAGGGTGGAATGGCCCTTCTTAAAGGAATTTTTGCTTCCCATCCTATGACTTCAGCCTCTGCTATCCCAAGATATGATAATGGTTTCTTTGAACGAGTGAGACTCATCTGAACCAGCAAGCAACGATGGGGTTACTGTACTGGTTGGTGCAATTGATCCCAATTACCGAGGGGAAATTGGGTGGCTGGCACTCCGTGAGGACAGGAAAATCTGTTCCAGTAACCTGTTCCATGGGCACCTCGTGGTGCTTAGTTCTTCCTTGTTGTAAAATAAAAAGTTCTCCAAAAACAAGATTAAGGTCTCAAATCTTTCAGAAAGAAAAAGTTTAGGTCACCCACCCAGCCAACGTGTTCGCTCACTGAGATTCAGAAACAGGGACCAGGTGATGGAAGGAGAAGGTGATGAACACCAAATGGAGCCTTATGATCACTTATGGAAGCAGGGACGTAGCACTTTTTACTTTAATGCCTGCCTTGCACACCCCCCTTCCAGTTGCCTATTTTGTATGACACGCTGGGGTGCATGAACTGTACAAATCAGTCCTGAAGGATAGTCTGCACCATTGAAACATGACATTCAGGGGGCCTTGGAGAGAGGGTGAAGAGTACTTGCCTCACACTGGGCAGGTGCAATAAATTACATTCTGGTAAATAAATTTGGGTGAGAACAAATGCTTAGTAGTCCAGGGGTGGGCTGTGCTGGCCACCTGCCTGTGTGTTTCCAGTTCAACTCGGCCTGTCTGCTCTACCCAAGCTGCCAGCTGTTGCAAGGATTTCAGCTTCAGCAAATCAGGTAAAAGAACTCAGGGGGGAAAGTGGGAAGGTTCTAAACAGTGATCTTAGCCCTAGGCAGTTTGGCTCAGTGGATAGAGTGTCAGCCCACTGACTGAAGGATCCTGGGTTCGATTATGGTCAAGGGCTCATACCTCAGTTGTATGCTTGATCCCCAGCATACAGGGGAGGCAACCAATCAATGTGCCTCTCTCACTTCGATGTTTCTGTCTCTCTCCTTCCTTCTACTCTCTCTAAACAATATCTTCAGGTGAGGATTAACCCCTAGAGTGCTGGGGAGTGTGATCGCTCTCCTCCTTTCGCCAAAAGTGCTGGGAGTGCTATCGCGCTCCTCCTGCAGTGTCCAGTTCTAAGAATGCTTTTATTAGTGATGATATTGCTAAATATGTCAATTCTTGCTGTGAAGATGACGATTTTGTGGAAGATATTGAATATGTAACTTCATTTACTTGCAATTCATAATTTTTTTCCTAAACTGCTGTAAAATCAGCAAAAATGCCTTGGCAATTTTAGCATAGTTCCTAGGATATTGGTTGGCACTCAAAGGATTAACCATAATAAAAAAATAAACAAAACAGTGATCTTCTAGCAGTGTCAGCTAATATAACAGAAAATGCAGACATGGACCAGTGTTACAGGCTGTCACTCTGTACTATCACCAAAATAAGTAGTGATTTAGAAAAAAAAATTTTTTTAAATATATTTTTATTGATTTTAGAGAGGGAGGGGGGGGGGAGAGAGAGAGACAGAGAGAGAGACAGAGAGAAATACCAATGATGAGAGAGAATCATTGATTGGCTGCCTCCTGTACGCCCCCTACTGGGGATCAAGCCCACAACCTGGGCATTTGGAATCGAACCCGGGACCTTTCAGTCTGCAGGCTGACGCTCTATCCACTGAGCCAAACCGGCTAGGGCTAGAAAAAGGTTTTGTATTAAAACCTAAGCCCAGCAGAATAAATGTCATGTCCAAAGGTCCTAAAAACTCACTGAGATGCTTGTAAATATAACTGTGTAGATTTCTAGGTAAAGAATAATTGGCTAGATTTCACGTGGTACAAGTGAGCATCAGTAAAAGGTAAAAAGATCATAGTCATGAGAAGTAGTATAGAGTGGCTACTTCGTACAGAAGTAAATGAGAAACCAAGATGAAGCAACAGGCAGGTGTCTTACTAGGTGAAGAGTACTTTGAGTTCCATTGAAAATTTCTGACTTAAAGCAATTTAACATAAATTCTAAGTCTATGTTTTTTTGGGTTTTTTCCCCCCAGTAATAAAAGCAAACTGGATAAAACTAAAAAACAACACAAGGGCTATTCACAAATAAAATAGTGTTTTAATTATATTCTCTGTTTTTCTTTTGTATTTTTATTTTTAAACCAAGTTTCTATCTGTACACTTTAAGAAAATAAAACACCAGGGAGCCATTCTCTGCTTACCCTTTTTGGAGTCAGGCAGGGTGGCTCTGCCAACATGCAAAGAAACGGGCAGGTGCCGAGGCTCCTGAGCACACACATTACCTCATGAAGGTAAGGAGCTAAAAGATATTGAAATTACATAAAAAATATTCTATTTGGCTTTGTAGCAATACACAAAGGTGAGAATACTTAATTAATGGCACTCTGAGGCTGGCATCTCAGGCACGTGAGGAGACTGGCACTGCTCAGTATGCCATGCCACACCACACCGCAAGCTTTCCTTAGAAAAAGGAAAAACGAGTCTTTTCCTCAAGCAGAACTGCCACTGGTAAGAGCCACAGGACTTTATTCATTGTTTATTCTTCTGACGGCAGGATTTCTTTGAGGTGGAATCTAAATAAAAATAAGAATGATGTAGCAATTTGTTAGAAGACTTCACATGTCTTTTAAGAATAATTCTGAAACACTAACACTGAATTAATATCTTATTTTTGGTAAAAATATGAATAATTCAAATATATAGTGGTTTAAATTACAATGATTTAAAAAACACTGGAAAAAGTATATCCAGTGAAACAGTCTATGCGTTTTCCAGAAGTGTAAAAAGGAGGACCACAAGGCCCAGCTAGTGATTAAGTCAAACTGATCTGGACACTTCTTGATCAAGTACACTGTTGACTTACAATCATTCTTCTAATACTATTAATGACAGCTTATAATTAGGACTGAAACCAACAATTACTAAGCTGAATGCTAATAATCTTTCCCACATTATTTTACATTCCTAGGGTAATTTACATTATAAAAAAGAATCAGAGGACTTTTACCTGGTGGTAGCCCCACTAGTCTTTGCTGGATCATTTCTAAATGATGAATATATTCTGTCAAAGAACGTTCCGGATCTTGAGAAGCAGTCAGGGATCTTTCTGACCTTGAATTTGGAGATGGATTGGACCTTCAGACAAACAAACCCAGAAACAAACAGAACAAGAGTTGAACACAATAGGATGGTGAATGCAGTAAGCACATAAATAAGAAGTGGTGCTGGGTCCTCTGACTGGACACGTTATGGGAAATGAGGTAAACTAGATGGCTGTTTCCTTTATATCTTTTTTTACCGCAAAAGAAAAAAGGATTTCTAAAAAGTGATACACAGTGCTTTAAAAACCAACTTCTGTATGTCTCAGAGCTACAATGAAGAAAAACTACCGCATATTATTTTATTCACTAAATCTGCATAGATATGTATCCGCATCCCTCAGACCCATCTTTGTGTCAACATGGGTGTGTCAGCTGCCCTTCTTCCTAGTCTCCCGCTGGGACCAGGGAGCTCCATTGTGTCACTCCCAGCGTACTCTTCACATCTTACCCTTGTCATCCATACAGAAGCAGCCTTGGCCACCATTTATTCTCCCAGTAAATATTACCACAACCCGGGCACTGGGCAAAATGCCCTCTCTGAAAAAAAATAAAAAGGGGGGGGGGGGGGCCCAGGCCCTCAGGGACTCACAGTGGTACGCTCCCAGTCTTGCTCTGGGGCCCAGCTAAAGGCAAACTTTCAAAATAAATTTCTTTGAGGAACCACATACACTGGTGGTGCGTGGTTAGCAGAGGTGATCAGAATTAGATGATGCACAGTGGTGCCTTATGTTTTTATGTATTGTTTCTCCTGTCAGGGGAACCTTTTCACTTTAATTTTAAACTAAATTATACTCTATAAAATTGAAAAGGTTTTTTCCCAAATAACTGATCTATAATATTGTCACTGTAACATCTCAATTGTCACCAAAGTAATAAGTATAAAAATACATTATGGGTGCAATAAACCCAAATTCTACAGAAAAAAGATTGAGTTAAGCTAACCAAGGCCTTGCATGTGTGTGTGTGCCTCTGTGTAGGGGGGTTTCCCAGGTACATGTAAACCCCCTTACACACACACACACACACACACACACACACACACACACACACACACACCTGGGTACCCATACAAATCTGCCCAGAGACCCTGCCATGCATGGCCACTTGTCTCTGCACATTGGACCTCTACTGATGGTCAGGTCATGCCTAACCCTTACAATGAAAAAAGTCTGAAAGCACCACATCTCACCTTTCCCTCCTGCGTGGGGAGGCTTTTGGCACAGGGTCCCGGGTGTGGCTGAAAGATACGTCCCGGGTTGGTGGGGATTCGCTGGTTTCGGGTGGGGATTCGCTGGTATCAGGTAGGGATTCACTGGTTTCTGGTGGAGTCATCTGTTGCCGTGGCACCAGGAATCCTTCCCCCAGAATTATTCAACAACAAAGGGATTATGAAAAATGACAAATGCATTTTAGTAGGAAGGCCCATCTACCAAAATTTAAAATATATAAGCTTTAAGAGTTTGCATGGCAATTTCAAAACATTTTTAGAGTACCCAAGTTATAAAAATTATATTTTAAAAAGCTCTGGTAGGAACATGAGTGTTGATCACCTTATAGCCTAGCCCAGCCGTGGGCAAACTACGGCCCGCGGGCTGGATCCGGCCCGTTTGAAATGAATAAAACTAAAAAAAAAAAAGACCGTACCCTTTTATGTAATGATGTTTACTTTGAATTTATATTAGTTCACACAAACACTCCATCCATGCTTTTGTTCCGGCCCTCCGGTCCAGTTTAAGAACCCATTGTGGCCCTCGAGTCAAAAAGTTTGCCCACCCCTGGTCTAACCCCTGGCATCCGTATGAGCAGCACCCTGGAGAGGCGCTCAGTGCAATGGGGAGCTTGGGCTGTGGGCTCTCCTCCACTCAAGTGAGGAGTGGGCTCAGGAGGCAGGGGCAGAAACCCTGGAGAATACCAGCCTTGGAGAGGGGCAAACTTTTCTGAAGGCTGACCAGGCATTTTGATTTCAAGAAGTAACAATTGACAGGTGAAAATCAAAACTGACTGGCACCAATTTCCACCACCCCTCCAAGCGGCCACAACCCTGTGCTGAGGGGGAGGAGGTTGTCCGCCAATGTTTCCCCAGGGCAGTGACCTGTCAAAGGCCTGCAGTTGGTGGCCAGTGTGCATCCTTCAGACTGGGGGCAACAGCAGAGAACCTTAGACACAAGGCCTGACTGAGAAAGTAAGCATGGTGCTCTCAGAGCAAAGATGCGGCAGTCTGAAGAACTCCACTTCATTTTGGAGAAGTGACCTTTTAATTAAAAACTAGAGGCCCAGTGCATGAAATTCAAGCACGGTAGGGTCCCTAGGCCTGGCTGGCGATCAGGGCTGATTGGGGCCTTCCAGCTGCCGGCCGGGGCCTCCTTTCATTCCGCACCGCCCCCTGGTGGTCAGCGCATGTCATAGCAAGCGATTGAACTCCTGGTCTCCCCATTGAACTCCCATGGGGACAATTTACATATTAGGCTTTTATATATATAGATAAGTTATTAGGTCCAGCTGGGGTGGTTCAATTCCTGATCAGGGTACATGCCCGGGTTGTGGGCTTCATCCCAGAAAGGGGGCAAGAGGCAACTGATCAATGATGCTTCTCATCGATGTTTCTCTCTCTCTATCCTTCTCCCTTCTTCAAATCAATAAAAACATGTTTAAAAGATAAGTTATTAGTCAACATATTTGTCACTTCTATATTTTTCAATCATTACGCTCCTCTGAACCACTTTTACTCATTAGCATTAACTACATAAACATAAACACTACTTTCCTTCAAAAACCATTTTGCCTCTGCCAACTGCACTGACTGAATTTACCCATTTATTAGTGTGCTTCATTACATCCCCATCGAGCCCTGAAAATGACCGGATATTAATGAAATGTTACAGCAAGTGGAAGACAAGTTTGCAAAGGTGAGGTTAAGGAGTCTCTGCAGGCCCACCTGGGTGAGGTGCTCTGCTTTGCACCAAAGCTCCTTTCCGATCTACTTCTTGCCATTTCTTAACCAAAAAACGTAATCTACAAAAAAAGATATGAAACATTGAAAACTAGAGGACAACAGCAGTGACAAAAGCAATGAAAATCCAGATGTGACCAACAGCTGAAAGGGTTTTGGTGGCCAATTTCCCCAGGGCAGCAGATACTGCACATTGACAGGGTAGCTACTTCCAATCCTGTGCACAGGGCCCCTTCCCCACCCACTCCCAGTCCCACCCAGCTGCCGTGGAGGCCCTGCCTTGCCCCAACCCTGCCCACTCCCAGACACCCAGCTTGGGGTCTCCCAGACTCCAGTTCAGATTCAATCTGCAACACCTGCTCCTTCCACTACCAAGACCACAAGCCAGTGGGTGGGGTGTTGGGGTGACTGGAGGACGGTGGTGTAGGCGTTAAAAATGCTGCTGCTCGCCCTGGCCAGTGTACTTCAGTGGTTGGTGTGATATCCTCTATTACTGAAAGGATGCAGATTGGACTCCCTGTCAAGGCACACACCTAGGTTGCAGGTTGGATCCCCAGTTGTGGCACATACAGAAGGCAACTGATTTTTGTTCTCTCTCACATCAATGTTTTCCTCTCTCTCTCCCTCCCTTCTCCTCTCTCTAAAATCAATAAGCATACTCTCAGGTGAGGATTAAAAAAAAATGCTGTTTCACTTAGATGATCCTCCCTCCTGGACAGGAAGGCTGGAGGCGGGGTTTGGATCTGTTTACCTGCCTCCATCCAGTGTCTAACCCACTATCTGGCATGGCTGTGGTCAGAACTCAGAGGTGAGGGGACTAAGTGCCCTGGGGCTGGAGGAAGCCTCCCTCCCCACCCTGTGTGGGACTTCCACCCATTCTGTAGCACAGTCTGGAACCAAACAGCCTGTCCTACAGACAAAGACCAGCATGGACTGGACAGGGCACCTCTACAGGAGTCACAGAGCTGCACAGTTCTTAGTGGGATAACCATTTTTAGAAATTCAGCAAAATTAAAAATTATAAAATAAAATGGATCTCATGACTATTAATTTTGAAATGATCAAAATCCCCAATCACACTAGGGAGTCACAGCCCTGCTCTAACAATGACACCCTGTGCACACAGTGGTTGGGGAGAATGAGCAATACCTCTGGCTGGGGGTTGGGCAGGGCTGGGCTAAGCAGACACAAAGTGGAGGGTGAAGATGGAGGGCCCCTTGCACCCTGCAGTAGGCTCTTCCTCCCCTCCCCAATCCACAGGCAAAGACTCTTCCTCCCCTCCCCAATCCACAGGCAAAGACTGGAGAGTGCCTGTGCCATAAATGGCCACCACCCTGGGTGCATCACAGATGTGTTCTTATGCTCTTGGCCCCTATTATGTAACACAAATGTGAAGAAGTGAAATGCAGTTTTAAACTTGATCAGACATGCCGATCATCAAAAGCAACCCTGGCAAGAGACCCATTAAAGGGCAAGGCATTGTTTTATTATAAAAAGGCACCGTTAAATCTTTTCTTTTTAGAAAGTAAGTTTTGCACATTATGATTTCCTGAAGACAAGTGTCATTTGTATTTTCTTTAAGGTCAAGTGCCATTCATCTTAAAAGAGAATATAACTGTAGAGTGTCATAGACTAAAACCACTGAAACGTGCCTCCCACTTGTGAAGACAGCAGTGGCACACGCCTCCTATTACCTTGAAATTGCAATCACCACCCTGACAGCTGTTCGGAACCTGGTGAAAGGCCGGGATGTGGTGATTTTCCTATCTGCTTTGGAAGGAAACACTCCTAAATGAGCGATCATGGAGAGCGTCTCTTGTTCAGAGTCCTGGAATCCACCGATCAAAAGTAAAAGATACTTCTTCTGATAAATCAGAGCTTTTCTAAAGCTCTCTGCTCTCAAATAATGCAGGTACAATTTTTCCATCTAAAAAAAAAATTGAAAAATTTAATCATAGAACAGCTGTCTTGCTGACAAATCTGTAAAACATGTTTGCACTGTTGTGCTTTAGAAAGAACCAGACCACTTTTCCTTCAGCAAATCATTACCCAAGTCAGCCGTGTACATCTGTAATCGGAAACACCTTGCTGTTTAAAGTTCAGTTTTGTTTAATAGACAAAATGTAGGCCACAAGTCCTTTCCACAGCATTAAAGCAGCCCCCTGGAGGGCGCCGTGAATCTGACCACTAAGTCAGGTCCAAACTGGGGACGGGTGGGGCGTTTCATCATGGGTTCATGGACCTTGCGAGTGGGAGGAACCCCTCAAAGTGTTGGTGCCCATATCCTAATTTTTCCTTCATGAGAGAACCTATCACTTGTTCTACGTTGTCAAAGATGATGACAAGTGAATTTTTTCAGGTTGCAGAGACTTTACCTAATGACTCAAAGCATCACACATTTGCCCCTACTCATGAGCACAGAAACATGATGTCTACACAAAAGTAGGCCAAATTTCAAATGTAAGTTCATTGTCTTTAGCTTCCCTTATTTGTCATGACTTGGCCACTCGAACCACCATGTGGACTTCTTACTGTGAACACACACACTTGCTGGCAATGATGCCCAGGCAGAGGAGGACCTCCAAGCTGTGAACTGTTTTTACTAGTTAAAAGCATCCTGTGAAAGGATGGAGGATGAACAGGCAGAGTACAGAGGATGTTTAAAGCAGTGAAATTAATCTATATAATACTGTAATGGTGAACACATGTCATTACACATTGTCCAGACCCAGAGAGTGCACACCACCAAGACTGAGCCTGATATAAGCTGTGGACTGTGGGTGATGATGACCTTATCAATATAGTTTCATGGATTTTAACAGATGTGCCATCTGGTGGGGACACTGACAGTGGGAAAGACTGAGTGTGTGGGGCAGGGTGTATATGAGAACTCTCTGCCCCTTCCCCTCAACTTTGCTGTGAAGCTAAACTGCTCTAAAGATATAAAGTCTTAAAAACAAACCAAGAGCAGCATCCCCCCCTGATGTCCCTATGCTGCCATAGGCATAGTCTTACCTTGACATTGCGGGTGTTTGCTTCCTCCCTGGAAGCTGGAGCGGACAGTCCTGGGTCTGCAAGTCCTGGTGAGCTGTGCAGGACGGTCCTGTCCCTCCTCCTGTCTGACCTCTGCAACAACCACAGAAAGTGCATTACAGAGCTGTTCTCATAAAAACATCATGAGAAAATTGATCCCTCCCTACCCCAACTCCAGGAAGAAGGTCACATCCAAACACTTCATTCCTTCCCCAGCTGTCCCCCAGGACCTCTGCAGGGTGAGGCCTGCCTTGGGCAGAGGAGAGCTGGGCCCCTGGGAGGCTGGGTACAGGTGTTCCCAACGCTAGGACACAGGCCACACCACCATCTCCCTTCAGTATCTTTTCAGCAGTGCTCAAGTTGTTACGTGACATTATTAACCAGATAATTAACACTTATGGGATGATTATTATATGCCATTTACTGAAGTATGATTGCATTAAAAACAAAAAATCAAATATTTGTAAAATAATCCCAAATTCGAAGCTTTAAGCATATTGAAAACCCTCTGGTCCTAGAAATTAGAAGGAAGATACAATATCTAGTTCTGCTATAGTAGCATCAAATTACAGGCCTGGAGACCTCGGCAAGCACCCCACACAGAAGCCACTTACACCAAGGGATGGGCGCCGCCAGAGCTCCAACAGGGAATATGCTAACAGAAGGAGGAGTCCACAGTGAGGGGAACAAAGGGGCCACTCACAACAGACATCGAGGCAAAAGAGAGCTTAAAGTACTCCCAGGGCCATATGGGCAGTGGCCTCCGCCCAGCAGTTTGGAAGAAGAATCAAAAGCCTGGCCATGCCACCTCACCACTGCAGGGCTGAGAGGAGGGTGGGCCTGTGAGTGGAAAGCCTGAGTGGGTCCCACATATCCTACGAGGCAGGAAAGACCAGTGGTTTTCCTGGTTCTAAAGCACAGCTGGTAGTTCCTAGAAAAGACGCTCTAGGAACACATGTCATCTTGGACATGAAGGAGAATACTCCGCCATTCGCTTTCTGTCTACCTTTGGTTTTCTCATCAAGAATTTTCATTTCCACCATAGCCCGTTTGGCTCAGTGGATAGAGCATCGGGCGTTGTACTGAAGGGTCCCGGGGTCGATTCCGGTCAAGGGCATGTACCTCACTTGCAGGTTCCTCCCTGGCCCGGGGCCCTGGTCAGGGTGCGTGCAGGAAGCAACCAATTGATGTGTTTCTCTCACATCGATGTTTCTCTCTGTCTTTCCCTCTCTCTTCCACTCTCTAAAAGATCAATGGAAAAATATCCTCGGGTGGGGATTAACAACAACAAAAAAGAATGTTCGTGTCCTAGTTTCTTTGTAAGCACTCTACTACTGACTGCATTTTAGTCCACACAGGCCCTTAGTCTACAACGGGGTGCCCTACACAAGGAACCTTGAAACACTTCCTGAGTTAAGTCCCAGAGAAGCAGTTGGGGCAGCCATCCTGGACAACACCGTGGCATGGTTAATATAGACGGTAAACACCCTGGGCTTTTATATAGAGAAACGAAACTTATGTCCACACACACCCTGTACACAGTGTTTATGGGAAAATTATTTTTAATAGTCAGAAACTGCAAACAACCCATACATTCTTCACTAGGTGAATGGTTAAGTTGCGGCACATGCATGCCTCGAATGCAGCTTGGCAATGAGGAAGAATAAGCTATTGAGATCAACACCCAGGTGGACCTCAAATGCACCATGAAGCCAGTGAAGAGCCTTCAGAAACCACAGTTCCAACTTACAAGACATCCAAGGAAAGAAAACCATAGGGAAAGGGGCAGAGCACAAGTGAAAACTCAGGTGACATCACACTAGTATGGGGCAGATTTTAACATATGTAAATTACAAAATAATTTGCACGAACTTTTCATTGTAAAAAAAGTGAAGAAAATCACACACACACAAAAAAAAAACCCACCTAAAATATAAAGAAGAAAAAAATTAGGCATTCCAAAAATGAACTACACAAATCAGGAAAATTATAAATTCTTTTCCTTAGTTACAAGTGAAATAAAATTCTAATTTCATCAGATTATTTATTAAATTCTTAAGTCAAAATTTCCGTTCGTTGACATGTATCAAACACCATCTTGGCCACGTATGACAGTATGTGTACATGTGTCTGCCCTGTGAACAAGGCAGATAACCCGTTAAAATGTTAAATAAGATACTCTGGCCGTTAGGAAGGAAGGAGCCCAGAGAAGCTAACTATAAAGAAATGACACTGCTCCAGCCAGCCAGCCATAAGGAAGCCCAGCTCCCTCCACCCCTCAACCCCCGCAGGAGTGTGAGTGACATACACTGAGCGCACAGCCCTTCAGCAGGTGATGCTTGAGAGTCTTCTCCAGCCGGGACGCTGCTCTGCACAGCTCTGCCTTCTCCTGGGTCACAGTGCTGAGAGCATTAGTAAGAGAATCATTTTCTTTCAGCAACACATCCACCAGCTGGACCTGGACGTCTGCTGTCATTTTTTTCTTGAGAAGAAGAAAGCAAAAATAAATATATAGGATTTGTTAAAAGGCATGCACACTATTTGTGTGTTTTTTTTTAATTCTCACCAGAGGGTATTTTCTCCATTGACTTCTAGAGAGAATAGAAGTGGGGGGGAAGAAACATCGACATGAGAGAGACACATCGATTGTTTGCCTCCCGAAAGTGCCTCTACTGGGGCTGGGGAACCTGCAACCAAGGTATGTGCCCTTGACCAGAAATCGAACCCAAGACCCTTTGGTCTGAAGGCCAAAGCTCAAATCACTGAGTCAAACTGGCCAGGGCCATTTGTGCTTTTTATTGTTGGTTATTTTTAGGTATTATTTTAAATGTTTCTGCGGTTCTGTGGGAAGCCTGTGGAGCTGGAAAGAGTTGTTCATTTGTGGGACAGGAAATAATAAAAGTTTTCAAATCACATTTCTTTCCGATCCTCTATGAAACAGACTTGACACAAAATGGAGCTATGTGACCCGAACAGGCCTGTCACAGATACAATGTTCTTTGACACCACAAACAGGCAGCACCCAAGGTGACCAGGGAACATCATGTGCTCATCCCTGAAGCCCAATGAGTAAGTCCCTTAAAACAGGCTCATTATCTTTTCTCGTAATCAGAGGAACCTTCAGCCTGCGGTGGGCCCAGAAGGCATGGTGCCCGACAGACAAGAGGGCGAGAACACACTGCACCCATCCACTGACCACGCTCAACGAGCAGGTCAGAGGGAATAGGTCAGAGGGCGAGTGGGTCAGAGGGTGAACAGGTCCAAGGGTGAGCGGGTCCACATGCATGCTGCTCTCAGGTAAATATCAAGATTTCCTAATTATCAGAGAACGTTGATCAGTAATTTGTATCAGCAACTTGAAATGCCTTCGATGCAGCTGATGGGGAGTGCAGTGCTCCCCCAGGCAGGCTTAGAGACCCAAACTGCTCTGGCTCTCAACACAAATGCTCAAGGAGCAGGCTGGGCGGGAGCACGACAGACCACCAGGCTGAGAGGCACCAGAGAAAGCGCAAGTGAGCACCTGGCCCCTCCCAGACACAGGAGGAGGCACATGCTCACTCATCCAGACTGCCAACTTGAAAAACTAGAAGGAGCCGAACCGGTTTGGCTCAGTGGATAGAGCGTCGGCCTGTGGACTCAAGGGTCCCGGGTTCGATTCCGGTCAAGGGCATGTACCTTGGTTGCGGGCGCATCCCCACTGGGGGGTGTGCAGGAGGCAGCTGATCGATGTTTCTCTCTCATCGATGTTTCTAGCTCTCTATCCCTCTCCCTTCTTCTCTGTGGAAAATCAATAAAATATATTTAAAAAAAAAACAAAAAAACAAAAAACTAGAAGGAGGCAATGAGGGAGGAACAACCAGTCACAATAAAAAAGAAACCAGGCCCCAGGTGGCCAGAGGAGGCAGACCATGGAAGCTGTCTCTCACCTGGAGGAGCTGGGTTCTCACCTGGGGAGAGCCAGATGTGCTCAGCTGGGACTTGAGGTCTTCTAATGTCCGAAATAAAGATGTCACTGCTTTCTCATTTGATGATGTCCAATCATTAACTGTCCTATAAAAATAAACATTTAAAAGGTTCATATGGATTCCAACCGACTGTCAACCAACGCCACAAAGATGAGCTTGTGAGCAAGCTCACATAGACCACCAGTAGCATGCTTGCCAAGCATTTCATCAAGCCATGTTCTGTCCACAAAGGTGGCTGCTGGGAGCCCCTCTAGTGATGGTGGCAGCCATGAGGCAGTGCAACCCTGAAGTGGACAGTCTGTAAAGCTCAAAAACCTCCAGCCACTGACCACTGGGGCTCCCTCAGCACTTCTGCCTCCTATTGCTGCTTTCTGCCGGGATCTTGTCCATTACTAGAATAGTGTCCTAAAAAAATCTTTGGTGTTCTATCAGTTAAACCCAACTATAGACAGGAGAACTGTGTTTACCTGGTTTCTGTGCATACAGAGAAGGGCAAATGTCAATATTAACTGTTCCGTTCAAACAAAACACCTCAGTCTTGGCTAGTCAACCATGAAACAAATTTTGGTAGCGTCAATGGCAGCCCCAGAGCCTTAGATAAGACAGACACAGCAGATACTGGCTCTTCCCAGTTCAGTGGGCTCAGGTGGGAGCTGGCATTGGGTCTGGACTCTCTGGACGGTGAATAATTATAAAGGGGTGTGGGGCGAGCCAATATGAAAGAAACCTTAATTTTCTGTCATATTAGAATGCAGGAGAGTGCTGTCCGTAACTCATTTTTAGGTATTATTTTAAATGTCTTGGGGGTTCTGTGGGAAGCTTGTGGAGCTGGACGAGAAATAAGAGTCAGTTTCATTAAAACATGGTCCTAAAACTGCAGGCACACCTAAAGCTCAGAACTGTTCACAGTGAAAGGCGCAGGGTCACACAGAACTTGCTGGTTCTCCGTGACTGACCTGTCTACGGTCTGGTTGATGAAGCTGGTCAGCATCCCTGCCGCACAAAGCAGCTGCTGCCGAATCGAATCCAGCCCCTGCTGCTGCTCTCGGAGATGCTCCGACTCCGGGGACAGGTGCGCCGCCTCCCTGGCCTCCAGCTCCCTCATCTTTCTCTGAAGCTGCTTGATCTTGTGCTCGTGGCGCTGGCGCTGCAATTCCAACTCTCTCTGTTGTCAATGCAGAGCAGAAAAGACCATCACACACAGTCCAGAAACCTAGCTCTGCACCATGGGGCTCCGCCCAGTGTCGAACCCAGGGGCTGGGCTGCTCTGCCCTGCACGCCACCCCCATGGGACATCCACACTGGGCACTCCACATGTGACATGGGGTCAGAACAGCTCCTGCCTCGGACAGCACAATCCCACACTGCAGTCTCGGGGCTGAGGTTTTGTGCTTATTTCTGAGAATGGCCAGGCTTTACAGGCCCAAGGTAAGCACCAGATACAAAGGAGAGGGGCCAGGACACTGACATACACAGGATGAAGCCTCACAGGCCCGAGTTCTAGTTCCCCATTATAAACATACATGTACGTGTACACATGAACACACAACATGCACAGACATAGAAGATGCACACGAGCATGCATACCATGAATCTGGGGGTGCCCTGGGGTCTCACTAAGTGGAAAAAAAACAACCTGATACAAAGCTCTCCACCAAGGAGGTGCTGAGAAAAGTCAGTCAGCAAGGATGCACTCACTGCCAAGCACGCAGGACCTACGTCTCCACTGGGAGTGACCAGAGAGGGCAAAGGCAGTGTGGCGAGGAGAGCGCAGGGTGGAAGGGCCTTCTCATGGGGAAGAGAAGTCTGTGTAACTGAAATGCGCAGACAAGAGCTTAATTCCATTTGCCTCCAAAAAATAAGTGGGGACGCCTCCTGGCCACACTCTGACCACTCTCTGTCACACCTCCAAACTACTCCACTTTTCAAGATGTCTGGAGATAAAACACTACAACTACTGTAAAGGTTCCTCAATGGTATGTGAGTTGTAGCTCAGTAAAGCTGTTAAAAATATTAATCACTTCCCTCATATTAATCTACAAAAATAATTTTATAGTATTTTGGAATATGATTAATCCTTGTAGCATTTAGAAACCTAGAATTTTGTTCTTAGAAACACATTTATTTCTTAAGTACTTCATGGCAAGCTAACTACTATAAAGACCAGGCCATTAGTTTTCATTGTGCATTTAAAAAAATTTTTTATAATTTGCAAATACAGAAATTTTGAACATTTTTTTTTTCCCTCCATGTTTTTAGAAATTATTTCTTAAAAGGCCAAAGTAAATGTCAATGCATGAGAAACAAAGGCTTTTGATTGACATAAAATGTATCTAAAGTTAAGGCCCATCCGAAAAATAAAAGAGGTAACACTTCAAATCATCGTGTTATCTAAACCAAAGATACCACAAATAAATAAAGCTGTAGACCAATGTCCTGTATGGAGAGAGGCAAAATCTTTATCAAAATGCTAACAAACTGAATCCAGCATCATATAAAAAGAATTACACACCAAATTAAGTGGGATTCATCCCAAGGAATGCACGGATGGCTTGACATATGAAAAGCAATGCAAAACACCACATCAATAGAATAAAATGCAAAAGCCATAGCTCTTAAAAGACACCATGAAAAACAAATCCAATACTCTTATGATTAAAAATCATAAAAATTGCTCAGCTGGTGCGGCTCAGTGGTTGAGCATCGACCTATGAACCAGAGGTCACGGTTCGATTCCTGGTCAGGGCACACGGCCGGGCAGGTTGTGGGCTCGATCCCCAGTGTGGGGAGGCAGCCTATCAATGATTCTCTCTCATCATTGATGCTTCTCTCTCTCCCTCTTCCTTCCTCTCTGAAATCAATAAAAATGTGTTTTCAAAAAATAATAAAGATTAAAACAACTAGGAATAGAAGAGCATTTCCTCAGATAAAGGGCATCTCAAAAATCCCATTACTTAAAAGTGAAAGACTGACTGCTTGCCCTACAACCAGGAACAAGGCACGATGTCCCCTCACCACCTCCATCAACGCTGCGCCATTAGCTTTGGTCAGGACAGTCAGGCAGCAAGAAGAAATAAAGACACAGGATAGAAAAGGAGGAAGTAAAACTATTCCTATGTTAAGAGGACATGATCGTGTACATGGAAAATCCCAAAGAATCCATTAAGAAATACTGGAACTAATGAACAAGTGCAGCTAGGTTGAGGGAAACAAGATCAACATACAAAAGTCAAATGGACGGCTGTACACCAGTGGACAGTCTGAAGCAAAACTAAAATTGTAATTCCATTACAGCAGCAACAAAAATAACAACATATTTAGGAATAAATTTAACAAAAGAAGTGCAAAGCTTATCATCTGAAAGTTATAAAACATTGTTGAAAGAAATAAAAGACCTAAATAAATGGAGAGACCTTCTAATTTCATGGGTGAGAAGACTGAACATGGTTAAGGTGACAATACTTCTCAAAGCGATCTACAGAGTTGGTACAATGCCTATTGGGATCCCAATAGTCTTTCTTACAGAAATGAAAAAGCCAGTCCTTGAATTGCGTGTAGAACTGCCAGGACCCCGAACATCTAAACCGTGAAAAAGAACAAAGTAAAAGGCTTCCAGCCTTGCCACAGAGTTGCGGTAGTTACTGCTTCCAGCATAGGACTGTACAGGCCGGCCGAACAGAAGGGACCAAAACAAGCCCCCGTCCTGTGGGTCATCCTAACCCTACCAACTTAGCTGCTAAGTGCTATCATTGGCCAAGGGCGGCTCTCACCAGTTTCTCCTTGTCTCTCTGCCACTTCTTCCACTTGTCCGTGTCTGCCCGGCTCTGCCTTGTCTCCACTCTTCTGCTCATGTCCTTGAGTCCTTCTTGCTCTGCCAGCCTCGTGTGTAACTGCTCTAACTCTGCCTGCAGCTGTGTGGGCTTCTCCCTCTCCCTGTCCCGATCACAGCTCAGCTCTGGTTTGGGGGTCCGCAGGGCCTGCACAGTGGACCTCAGCCTGGCACTCACCTCCTTCTCTCTCTCGAGCTCTGCACAGCGCCTCTGCACCTCAGCCTCCAGCTGCTGCTGGGTGCACATGGCGTGCTGCTGCACTTTCTCCAGTGCTGCCTGCAGCTCCGCCACCCGGGTCGTCTCCTCCTTCAGCTTCCGCAGCAGAGCACGGTGTGCCTGTGTCTCCTGGTGAGCACAGGCCTCCTGTGCCCGCCGGCTCAGCTGCTCCGTCAGGACTCGCTCGTGCTGCAAGGCCTCAGACAGCTCCTGCGAACGGCCCTGTGCAGCCTCCAGGTTCCGGTGTAGCTTGGAGAGCCGGCTCCGCTCCTGCGCCAATAATGCCTCACAGCGGGAGGACTCAATTTGCAGCTCCTTCTGAAGGTTGTCCTTTGCTGTCTGCTCGTGTTTTAATGCTACACACAGTCGATTATTCTGAGCGTATTGCTTCTCCAAAGATATTCTTAACTCCTGGATCAGGGAAATATAAGATGGAAAAATTAAAACTGGAGAAAAGTATCTAAACAGTTTTTCCACCCAAGTTTCTGTTGCTATCTTTCGACCAGCAATTATACCTTTTGAAATTTACCCCGTGGATGAAAGAAGTATGTATGGCTGATCCTTTAACCACGTGGGTATTCGGAGCGCAGACCTCTCTCGAAAACAGAAATATGCATGTAACCACAATTAGCACTCTGCATATGCCAATTCCCAATATGAAGCTGACCCTTAGAACAGTGGTCAACTGAAAGAATCCACATACAAATGGATGCACACAGTTCAAACCTGTGTTTTTCAAGGGTCAACTGTATAATAATTTTTGTTACCTTTTTGAGTAAACACACATACACATCTTGGGTTCATTCTCCCTTCCTCAGAACCACAACATTCAGGACACTAAGAGGACAGACCACACACATGCAGTCTGAGCTGAACCACGGTCTGTGTTGTTGAAAGACAGCTTGGCCCTAACTGGGGAACTGATGGTCAGCTTGCCCAGGACTACGCAACACCTGTTGGACACGTGGTCATCAAGTTGCCAAACAAAACACCGATTCACACATATGCTGCACATCTCGCACAGGAGCTGGGTCACTACAGTTTATCTGGTTGACACCGGCTTCTGAGGCTGTGCCTTGTGTGGAAGGAGGCAGTGTCCCCTCTGCAGAACCAAGCTCGCAGAGATGGTGGGGACCATGTGTGGTACAGCGCTGGCATCACATGGTCATCACACCCTCTGTCACTGCAAAGCTGCTGAGTGTTTTACCTGAAGACGCAGCCCTACCTCACTGCCCCAAAACCCTGCCACATGGGCTCACCATCCACAAAAAGAATCAGAAGCAGCATCAAAGAGAACGGCCTCCCAGCTCCCATCCCTGGCCCCCTTACCTCCAGGGCCTTGGAGTCCTGGCCCTCCCTCTGCAGGTGCTCCAGCTGCTCCTGCTCCAGCTGGCTCTGCAGGGCGCGCTCCTTATTGCGCTCGCTCTCCAGCTCCTGGAGTGCGGCCTTCAGGTCGTTCTCCTTGCTGTCTAGTACAGACCTGTGTGGGGAGAGAGGTAGTCAAACCCCACGTTGCACAACGCTCTGAAGGGACACAGTCCTACCCTCAGGGGCCGGAAGCTCCCAGGACGAGGCAGGTAGGCCCTGTTGCTTCCTCATTATCTGCACACATGCTCAGTCCCGCCTTCTCACTCTAAATACACGGGAGCAGGACACTTTTGTCTAATACCTACTGAGCATGCAGCACAAGTCATGGCCCCGAGGCTCCATTACTTCACTGCCAAGAATGATGTGGTGAGAACTATGTAACTTTCATTTATTCTACCAAAGGTCTGATGACAGCCTGGGGGCTAGCGGGCAGGGTATCACGAAGGCAGTACCATACGTACCTCAGCTGGAGAACCTCCCTCTGCACGTCATTGAGGGACTTCAGCAGCCTCTCATTGTCCTGTTTACACTCACAAAGTTCCGATTTCAAAGCTTTGACTGCATTCTGCTCCACCACTAGCAGCTTTCGGGCGTTATTTGCTTTCTGTTGTTCTTCATTGAGGGTTTTCTGTAGATCACTCGCTATACATTTTTCCTGCTCAACCTTATATGCCAGTAACTCAACTAAGAAAAAGATTACAAAACATAAAATAGCATTATTCATGAGTCCAAAGAGAGTTGTACAGATGATTTAATTACAGACAAGTCAGTTAAGGAGACAGGGAGAATGAAGTTTCTATAACCTAAAAGGCATTGCTTCTGATGGTGCCAGAGGTACATTCCTTCTGCCTGTTGCTGGTTCCTCCAACACACCCAGCACCAGGCCTCAACACAACATGGTTCCCTGGGGTGGGCCACACCCGCCTCAGCCCCTGCAGTTCAGATTTGGGGTCTCCCTGGAGGCTGAGTTTGGAGCTAAGCCGAGATGGACCTGCATGTGGGAGGCTGCTCACAGCCCTCCCTGCTGGGGGCAGGAAGGCCAGGTGTGACCATCCCTGTGGTCTAAAATGTCATCCCATCTGTCACTCCTATGCTAAACCTCCCAACAGAGACAACTCCAGCTTAGATGGCTTCACTGGAGAATTCTCCCAAAAGTTAAGGAAGAAATAAACCTAGTTCTATAAAAACTCCTCTGGGAAACAGAAGGGGAGTAGACAGATGTCAGTCCTCCACAAGGCTGGTGCTCCTCCAATGCCAAAACCAGAAGAACACTACGGACTAGTATCCCTCATGAATGCAGATGCAAAATATGAGCAAACCCAGCCCAGAAATATACAAAGGATAATGCACCATGACAAGGGGTCACAGCCAAAATACAAGACTGCTCCCACTAGACCAGCGGTTCTCAACCTGTGGGTCACGACCCCTTTGGGGGTCGAATGACCCTTTCACAGGGGTCGCCTAAGACCATCGGAAAACACATATATAATTACATATTGTTTTTATGATTAAGCACGATGCTTTAATTATGTTCAATTTGTAACAATGAAATTGGGGGCCACCACAACATGAGGAACTGCATTAAAGGATCATGGCATTAAGAAGGTTGAGAACCACTGTACTAGACAGACTTAGTTGGCCATCATCAGCTTCCAAAACTAAGGAGAGAAGGGACTTGCCAGAGCTAACAGAGGGCATCTGTGAGGACCACAGTTATCATCCTATTTAAGGGTAAGACATGGAGTGCTTCCCCTGTGGCTAGGAGCAGGGCCAGACACTCCATTCACCATGTGCTCCAGGGCTTGACCAGTGGTCAGCGAGAGAAGGGGGTAGATGGGAAAGAAAAAATAAATTTTTTTTTTAATTCACAGGTGACATGAGCATCTCTATTAAAAAACCCAACGAATCTAATTAAATGTACAAACTATAACAGTTACTTAAGCCCAGTGCAAGCTCCAGGGACTCTCCCAGACTAGGTCCTGCTGGCACCCAGCACATCTGCTCAGACACCAGGCCCCTCACCACCTGCCAGCACTCTTGGCAAAGCCTCTGCGCTGACTGGTCTCAGAGTCATTTTTACTCAGAGTTCTATGAACCGAGAAATGTTCCAGCCACTGTATTCTGATGATGAGGCTGACATTCCCTGCACTCAGGGACCTGAAGAAACCAGGATGTCACTGCTGCCACCAGATCCATCTCTGGGCAGTGCAGAGGAACTTTGCTAACCTGTGTGCCACCTTACCCACCAGGTGAACCTCAGGTGGGCACATTTCTCAGGGGTGCACCTACCCTGCCTGCGCAGCTGGTGTTCTTGCCGGCTCCCATGGGCCTCCGCACTGGTCAGCGCTGCGCACAACTGCTGCAGCTTTTCCTGGTTCTGCAGGTGCGTCAGCCGCAGCTGGGCTCCGCAGGGCCTGGATCTCGGACAGCAAGCTGCTCCTGTCGGACTGACGTAGGTGCTCCAAGGACTTCTCCTGCAGGTCCCCCTGGAGATGGGGCAAAAGAGGGACAGCAGTCAGATAGGAAGGCTCCGCAGGGATGAGGAGCCCACTCACATGGGGAAACAGGATGAGAGGGGAGCATGTCCCAAGTGCTGGTGGCTCCAGGCAGAAGCAGCACACCCTCTGCACACACAAGCCTCCACTACTGACTCTATCCCTGGCTGGGGGGTAAGCATGCACTCGCCAAGGACATGAGTGACCCTCACCCCCAGCACCTTGGTCTCGTTCTCGGGCCTGGTCTGTGCCTGGGGGCTGCTCTGAACAACCTCACACCCTGACTCTGGACTCAAGCTCATAACCTGGGGCTGGGCAGTCTGAAAATGCTTTTCCTTTCAAGGGAAGGCCAGTTATCTCTAGAACAGAGTGAGGTATAAAGGAGGGTAGAGGCACATAACTTTCCTTCTGTGTGATAGAATTCATGAAGAAACATGCAGTATTACACTTGGTTTGTAGCAGGGTTTCCTCTCAGTCATGGGCATGTTCTCAGGTCAGCTGAAACAGGGGTAAGCTCTAAGGTAACCCAGGCCCAAGCTTACCTGCTCCTGGACCACCTTCTGCAGTCTCTCCACCAGAGCACCGTGGGCCTTAGGGTCAGAGCCGCCAAGTTGAGGCTGCAGCTCCACCGTCAGCATCTCTCTCTCCTTTTCAAATGCCTCCTGGACTACCTGTAGGAATTCTCCTCTCCAGTCAAGGCAGGTGTCAGAAAGCTCCTAAAATTAGAACAAGAAGCTCAGTGTTTGCAACATGCATCTAAAGGCTAGAACAGGAGCCACTCCGACAGGAAAGGAGACACATGAGCACCCCCCGGACTGCCCAGGGCAAGAAAGGCCAATGCTGCCATCCAAGCAGCGAAGAAACTACTGAAGACGATGGAAACAAGGTCAAGCAAAGTCAGCAGGCAAACCTTTTTCCAACACAAGGCCTGCGTCTGCGGTAGGCCCAAGGCCAGAAGTGACGTTGGTAAGTGCATGCCCGAGAACATGACTGCACAGGGTAGAGGCTTGGGTCATGTGTGTGCATACAGGGTGTGGACGTGCACAGGCGGCCACCCTCAGGCTACCTGCTCTGGACCTCCTCCCTACAGGTTCAGCCTAGTGTCCTGCCCACTATTCCCTCAAAGCCCATGGCAGGTTGGCTTCCCTTGGACATAGTTCACATTTGGCCCTCACCTCTGCACTGCCCCTTCTCCTGGCCTCCCTGGCTCTTTGTCTGCAAAGTGGACACTGAGACCCTGTGGGCTAAGGCCCGGCCCCCTCACATGTGGCTGGTGCCCATGAATGTGAGTGAGAGGGTTGCCAGTCAATATCACAGTCTTCTTGCCACCATGGACCACCTATTCCTGCTTATTTGGCAAAACAATTCCAAATTTTATTGACATCAAGAGGAGGCAAGTTGTCAGTTTCTTCACCATTACTGGAACTACCACTTAAACTGTTTTCTAAAACATGAGAAAATACCTTCTCTGCCTGTTGGGGTGCTGGGGTCAGGTGCCCCCTCAGAGCTGGCACTGCCTCCAACAGGCCCTGGCCACCCCTCAGGTAGTGCTTGATGGGTGTGCTTGGCTCGCCCTTGCTGAATGCGCTGGGGTATCCATGGTATTCGGACAGGGCCAGGATGTGGTGGCTCTCATCATACACCATCTGCAGCAAAGCCTACAAGAGCACACGCATTTGAAAAAGAAGGAAAAGCAGCTTGAAAGCACTCATCCATTCACTGTCCTGCCCTCGCCAGGAACGCTCGCTGGGGCCGCCTGCATAGTACTCGCATGGCCGTCATCAAAGAGCAGAACCTACTGTCCTGTGAGGTTTTCAAACTTTTCTCCCCCATAACCATCAGAAACAGCAGGGAACTGGTTCTGAAAGAGTGAATTTCTATATAAGCCCCTCCAAGGATGACTCCCATGATGGAGCCATCCCATCGGTTCCTGCACAGTGAACATCATCCTTCCCCTAAGCCGGAGAGCAGCTCAGGGTAGGGCCCCAGGCCAACTTCTATGGAGAGGTCATGAAGACTCCGAAGATTCCATGTACTTTCTTGGCTCTCCTGGGACCACAGCTGCCATACTATGAGGAAGCCCCATGGGAGGTGTGTACATAAGTCCCAGCTGATGGGTGATACCTCAGGGGACAAGGTGCCTGCAGATGGAATGGCTAAATCATGGGGGTGTCCCGACACAGGGTGCAAAGAAACAGTTCCAACAGATTGGCCCTGAGTCACTGCCCACAGGTCTGTGAGAACAGGAGAGGGCCGTTTACTATAGAGCAGCGGTTCTCAACCTGGGGGTCGAACGACCCTTTCACAGGGGTCGCCTAAGACCATCAGAAAACACATATATAATTACATATTGTTTTTGTGATTAATCACTATGCTTTAATTATGTTCAATTTGTAACAATGAAATTGGGGGTCACCACAACATGAGGAACTGTATTAAAGGGTTGTGGCATTAGGAAGGTTGAGAACCACTGCTATAGAGCAATGGTGAACTGGGACACGCATGCTGGCCATCTATGTCCTGCCCAAAGAGGCTGAGCGAGGAGGAAGGCGGCTTCCCAGAGCTGTCCTCGTGGAGAAACTAGTGTTAGGATCAGTACACTCCTCACATGAGGCACAAAGGTAGGACAGAACTGAAGCTCAGCTCTCTGAGCAGAGCATGATCCTCATGCAACACTCGGAGGCCAATGGCGCAGTTAGACTGGGCCAGAGATGGAGCCCATCAGCGCACCTCGCCCTGCTCCCACCACCCATTACCTTAACTTGTTTCGGGTGGACTTCCTTCTCCTTCATGGCTTCCAGTGGCTGTCGGAAGCTTCCTGAGGCGGGGGACGGTACTGCAGGACTAACAGTGGGAGTTTCAAGTCCTCCTGAACCTTGGTTTAGTATCTCTCCACACCCGAAGCCATCACCTAAATAAAACACCACCAAATCAGTGTCTAAAACTGCAATTCTCTCAGGGCATTCCTGGGGATGCTCTGCAGAGTGCTGAGGGGTGTCAGACCCCCCACTGGCATGTGCCATGTGAGGCTGCACCTGGAAACACCCAGATGCCTATAGCTGCAATCTTCTCCCCGAAAAAAACATCAATGAACCACAAAGATGGTAAAAATATTTTAATAAAAACTTCAGATGAGATCTACATACATTAAAAGTGTCTTTTGCATGTTTAAAATATTAATGTTCATGACTTGAACATAAATCTTCAGATATTTCAGTCACTTTTACACAGATGTTGATGTGTGTCTCCTCATCCCCGAGAGATAGAACCCACAGGACTCTGCAGAGCAAGTGCCACAGCCAAAAGACACACACAAACCCAAGGACGGGGTAAAGGCAGGTGAGAACCCAGACACTGAGGATAAAGAGAGAGGACAGGAGGTAGATGATGCCAACAGCAAGGACAGGTTGGGAGCAGGTGGACAAGCAGCAGACATCTGGGTAGGAAAAGCCCTAAAATCAGTCATCAGGGCTGGGGAACCCTGAACCAGGTCTAGAATTAGAGGCTCCCAGAACCTCTGTCAAATGCAGGGGTGGGGAACCTTTTTTTTTGCCAAAGGCCACGTGGATATTTATAGCATCATTCATGGGCCATACAATTTTAACAACTTAAAAATTAGCCTGCTATATTTGGTCAAACATTTAATTAACTCACCCCTAATGCCTTGGCAGGGCAAGACCAAGTGATTTTGCATGCCTTATACGGCCCACGGGCCGGATGTTCACATCCCTGATCTAATGGGAAGGGGTCCTCAAATCAGAATTCAGAATCTTTCAGAAGCTCATAGGCCCCTGACCCATTCCTGAGCCCTGCAGCCAGCAGCCAGTTCAGAAGGCTGGAAGCATGAGCTCTGGAAAATGGAGGGGGCACCTGATGGAAAAGCAGCTTCAGACCTTCTGTCTGCTCCTTCCCACAGCACCCGCGTGGGGCAAGGAGAACTTCGGGGGTACTGGCAAGGCCTTTGCAACTGAGCTTCCTGAGAGCGTGCAGCCCAGCCTGCTGAGTCATCCAGGTTCTCAAACAGGCTGAGCAATGTTCAAACACAGAAGACAGAGAGAAATGGAAATAAAAGAGAAAGATAGGCAGTACACACAGCAAACCAGGTAAATGTTAGCACTGGGGAATCCGTGAAGGATATGCAGGAATTCTCAGTGCTTCTTGAACTCTGAAACTGTAAAAATAAATAGTTTTAATAAAAGATGAAGAACTCACTGTTTTCACTTCCATTGCTTTTGCCTTCTAACCCAAGAGGAGATGATCTTGACTTTTCTTGAGAATCAAGAGACGTTATGATAAAATCCTCAACATCTTTCTCCTGTTCAAATAGGTAGAATTTTAAATGATTATAAAATAACTTATTACATCATGGAATTGAACTTGCCTTACAGAAACATTCTAAGGCCTGAATTTATCATCTTCCCACAAAGAATCCAAATAAAAGTGTTCAAACCTTATGGACATATTTGAGGTCACATGCTTCTAATAATGTAATCAAATTCACCCACAGTGCTCTAGGAATAGTTTAAACAAGTCATTAACAAATATTTCAGATTACGCCCTAGCCGGCTTGGCTCAGTGGATAGAGCGTCAGCCTGCGGACCGATGGGTCCCAGGTTCGATTCCGGCCAAGGGCACATGCCTGGGTTGCGGGCTCAATCCCCGGTGGGGGGTGTGCAGGAGGCAGCCGATCAATGATTCTCTGATCAATGATTCTCTCTCATCATTGATGTTTCTATCTCTCTCTCCTTCTCCCTTCCTCTCTGAAATCAATAAAGAAATATATTTAAAAAAAAATTTCAGATTAAAGTACTTTTGCATGAAATGGTAGAATATGGATACTCCAAATAAAACATATATCCTAATTTACTTTTTATTTGATCTAACTCAAGATAAAATACCAAAACTGTTAGGAAAGATATAATCTAACAAAAATAATAAACTGAAGTGTTCCTGAAATTAATTAGCATTACACATGGAACCTGTTAAATATGCAATACAACCAAAAATAAATCTAAAAAACATTCTAAATAAAAAACCCATATGTAAACTACACACTAAGATGAATTTATGACTGTACTTCTCAAAATCAATATTAGTCAAGAAACTTAGTGTCCCCCCCCAAGAAAAAGAAACTTAGTCCTAACGATGCATCTCACATACTTCCAAAAATCACCTAAGTGTCTAAATGTTCACATTACAGTGGATTAGGGTTAGTCCTGCAGAAAGCTGACCATCCCTACACATAGCTGACCAGGGGACTGTGAGGAGCTCATCCACACCCGGCCCAGAGGCCTGCAGGAGGTGAACCAACAATGGCTGCCGCTGTGACACCGCAGGCCATGTAGACACAGTCCCATGGGAACACACTGGGGCCCTGGGCGCCATACAGACACTGAGGGAGGACAGCACCCACAGCACCCAGGGAAGCCAACCTACCACAACCATACGATGCACATGAGGATCAGCGGAGGGAGCCCTGTCTGCGGCCAACGAAGACTCTGCCCAACAAGGGGCCTTTTCTGGTGCTGACCCACCAAGGGAACAAAGCAGCCCCGACTGGTCAGCCTGGAGCATTGAGGCATTCGTCCGTTCCCTCAGGGAGATATCCAGGCTGTGCTGGCTCAGGACGTCCAAGCAGGGTGTCAGGGGCAGGCTGGGTGATGGCTCGAGCATTGAGTCCTTCCTGACAACCTCGGGGGAGCTCCAGGAGGACAGGTCCATCGCACTGAGTGCATTCTTCAAGGGTTCAGCCTCCTCGGTGTAGGTTAAGTCACGGGAGCTACTCGGCAAGCTCACCTGTAAACAAAGTGACCCATCCTGCAAATCTACCTTGTCTTCCATGGGAACATTTGGCATTTCATTTCTTATCAATGAGTCCTGATTTCCAATAATGTCAATTACATCCTGTGCAATTTTATTGGTATTAAATTCATCAACAGGAGGCAATTTGTCAGTTTCTTCACCGTTGGAACTACCATTCAAACTGTTTTCTAAAACATGAGAAAATGCCAATGACTGTTGAGAGTTGAAATCCTCTGTCTCAATGTTCTGGAAGTTCATAGAATATACCAGACGGTTCAGTTTTTCTTGAAGCTGTTTCACCTGAGTTATGAGATCAACTTTCTGCAGCTTAATACACTCCCGTAGTTTTTCTTTATCCTACAGGTGAGATAGAACATGCATACAGTAAAATAACTGCATTATATGCTGTAACATTTGTCTGTCTGAGCCAGTTTTATGAGCCAATTTCAGAGACTGAGAAATTAAGCATGAGATTCCATGATGAGCCCTTTGGTCCCTTTAGACTGTTAAGATTTAAAATTTTTAAAAAGACAGAATCAAGGCTTAAAGCTCCGTGCCTAAAAGGTAACTGTTGGAGAGGATTCTGGAAAGATGGCACAACAGAAAGTACAAGAGTCTGTCTCCCCACCTGGACATCAAATTCTGCACTGGCAGAATCTTATCTGATGTAATATAGTCAAACCTCAGTTCTTAAACATCTCCTATCTCACAATTCACTTCTCAACCCAACAAACCTTCCATGCTCCTCCTTATATGATCAGTCACACATCTCTCAGGTGACAAAGAGAGAATGCACGAGTGAATCAGTTTACCACTAAATCTCATGTTAACAAAGGAGACAACCAGTATTCAAAATCTTCCAATGAAACAAAGCCGTGGATCTGACAGCTTCACTGGTGAATTCTATCAAACATTTAAAGAACTGATATTAATCTTTCTCAAACATTTCCCATAAACTGAAGAAGGAGCACCAGGCTCAGAGGGCTTCACTGGTAATTCTACCCAACATTTAAGGAAGAAACTATACCAGTTCTCTACAGTCTCTTTCATAGGACAGAAGCAGAGGGAATGCCTCTTAACTCATTCTATGAGTTACCTTGATACGAATGCCAAACAGTACAAGAAATGAAAGCTATAAACCAATGTTCCTTATGAACATTTATGCAAAAATACTCAACAAAATACTAGAAAATTGAATTCAACTGAATTTTAAAGGATTATATACCACAAGCAAGTGGTATTCATTACCGGAAATGCAAGGGTAGTTCAACATAGGAAAATCAATGTACACATTAACAAAATGAATGAAAATATCACACAATTGATGCACAAAAAGCATTTGACATAATTTAACATCCTTTCTTGATAAAATCATTCAACATGACTATGAATAGAAAGAAACAACCTTAACATAATAAAAACCATACATGAGAGACAGTGAAAATCATATTCAATGGTGATAGACTGAAAGCTTTTCAACTAAGAACAAGGAAAGGGCATCCACTTTCACCACTTCTCTTCAACATAGTACTGGAAGTCCTAGCCAAAACAATTAGGCAAGAAAAATAAATTAAAGATATCCAAGTTGGAATTTATCCCAAGAAACCAGAAACACCAATAAGAAAGGATATATGCACCCATATGTTCATAGCAGCACAATTCACCATAGCTAAGATCTGGAAACAGCCTAAATGCCCATCAGTAGATGAATGGATTAGAAAACTGTGGTACATCTACACGATGGAATACTATGCTGCTGTAAGAAAGAAGGAACTCTTACAATTTGCAACGGCATGGATGGAGCTGGAGAGCATTATGCTAAGTGAAATAAGCCAGTCAATGAAGGAAAAATACCACATGATCTCACTCATTCATGGATAATAGAGACCATTATAAACTTTTGAACAATAATAGATACAGAGGCAGAGCTGCCTCACACAGATTGTCAAACTGCAGCGGGAAGGCCGGGGAGGGTTGGGGGGCAGGAGGGAGGGGGGTAAGAGATCAACTGAAGGACTTGTATGCATGCATATGAGCATAACCAATGGACATAAGACACTGGGGGGTAGGGGAAGCCGGGGTATTGTCAAGGGCGGGGGGAAAAAAAGGACACATATGTAATACCCTTTGTAATGCTTTAAGCAATAAAAAAAAAATTAAAAAAAAAAATAATAAAATAAAATAAAATAAAAAAATAAAATAAAAAAAAAGATATCCAAGTTGGAAAGAAGTAAAACTATCTATGTTCATAGATTATATGGTCTTATATGTAGAAAACCCTGAAGATACAACATAAAAAAAAACTGTTAAAATTATAAAACTCAGTTGCATTTCTCTACACAAACAATGAATAATCTGAAAAGGAAATTAAAAAAACAAGTCCAGACTGGTCGGTGTGTGCTCAACCTATGAACCAGAATGTTCGATTCCTGGTCAAGGGCACATGCCCGTGTTGCGGGCTCGATCCCAGTAGGTGGCGTGAAGGAGGCAACCCATTGCTAATGTTGCTCTCTCATTGATGTTTCTATCTCTCTATCCCTCTCCCTTCCTCTCTCTCTCTCTGAAAATCAGTAAAAACATACTATTAAAAACAAAAACAAAAAAACTAGCTCCTTGAAAATCAGTAAAAACATACTATTAAAAACGAACAAAAAAACTAGCTCCTTGAATGCCTAAATGAAACATGTAGGACATTTCAAAGCAAATCTGAATAGCTATGAGAATATGATAGATTCAGAAGAAAACATGTCACTGTCTACAGTCTACGTAGTGCGTGTGTCCCCTCAACAAAATGCCAGAGGGAATGCCTGTCTCTCCTGAAACGGGCCTAAGTACCTTCACTGTCCCTGATGCTTTGCCATAGTCCTCAGCACTCAAGTGCATTTCATTTTTCACAAGGAGCAGCTCAGACTCCAGCTGCCTCTGGCAGACCGTGAGCATCGACATCATGCTGTCCTGTTTGTGGAGACCGGTGTGGTTTACCGTCACCGGGTCTTTGGCAGGCTGCAGATCATCTTTCACTGGACTCTACAGTAAGAGGAAGAAAACAATGACAATGCTATAAAGATTATATTAAACACACGGAATGTCAGAAATGCAGGGAGGCCTCAGGCTCTGGGAGCTCTAAAGCATTGAGACCAGAACCATGCTGCCATCCTGCTGTCTGCTCATAAACCACAATGGGACAAAATGTGCTGGAGGCTGAGGCTCCAAGGGCACAGGTGCCAGCTGTGGTAGAATGGGGTGCACTCAACACAGAACCCCAAGCTGATGGGAGGTCAGAACTCTACTCAAACATAAACTGAAGCATGCCCCGCCCCCCCCAAAAATGAGCTTGAAACATTTTGCACTGGAAATGCTGATAAAAGATAAACCATTTGATTCCACATCTAATACATGGTTGAGCTCCATATCACCGAGTGTTCCCTATCAAAAAAAGAAGTGTTTAGATAGCTTTAATAACTTACAGCAATAATAAGTTTAAAATTGTAGAAAATAGCAAGACCCAGCCTAATCTCACTGCATACATGTGTCCTAACTTAAGGTTCTATGGATCCTAAATGGCAAGGGCCCCAGCCAGCATAAGCTGCAGACTCACTTCCCCTCAAAGGCATGAGCCACCCATTGGAAACTGCCCACCACAGAGAGGAGAGTCATGAATTAAAACAGAAACAGAAGGGAAGAGTAAGAAAAATAATTGTTTCCTCAGAGAACCCCCAACTCCCTCTGGTCCAGCCCAGTGCTCCACCTCCAGCTGCTTGGGTCAGGGCCTCCTGCAGGCACCAAGTACACCCCAGCTCTCTGCACACAGACTGCACCTGTGGGACTAGGGGAACCAGGCCCACCTGTGGATCATCGCCTTCACCCCGGGAGGCCCCAGGTAGCTGCCTGCCACCCACATTCTGTTCCGACTCTTCATCACACAAGGTCTCATCACTCCTGGCCACGGGTCCCTGGAAGCTGCCGTTTACACGATGAAGCACGGGGGTCCCACACGCCTGCTGCTTATCCAGCTCCTTCTGGCACCTCAGAAACCGCTGGTTCAGTGCCTGCAGCTGCTGGCTGAGGCGGACACACTGCACTCGGAGCCGCTTCAGCTCAGGGGGCTCGTGTGTGGCACCCAGGGGCTGCTGCTCCAGGGTGCGGCGGAGGCAGGTGAAGGCCAACAGGATGGCCTCCAGTTCTGTGGAGTGGGCTGCGCGCCTTCTGTTTATAGCCTCAATTTCCAAATCCCTCTGGGCAATCTCTGCATCCTTTGCTTTGAGTGTAGCCTCAAATTCTTGAATCTGAGAGGCCAAGCCCTGGACCTCAGCCTCCCGGAGGGCAGCGCTGGACTTCAACTGGGCCAGCTGCCTCGCGGCAGCCTCCTCTGCAACCCGCAGGCGCTGCTGCAGAGCCTCCAGGGCCTGGCCATGCTGGTGATCCTGCTCAGCCAGCAGCTGGCTCAGGGCTTCCTTGGCCTCAAGCGCATCCTGGAGCTCGGCCTGCAGTGTGGCCTGGGCCTCAGCTCCCTCAGCCTGCAGGCGGCACAGCCCACGCTCCAGCTCGCTCTGGAGGTCCTCAGCTTGGCTGTCACTGAGCTCGTGCCTGGCAGGCCCCCCGAGGGACAGCTCTTGCTGCAGCTTCTCGATGACCTCGTGCAGTTGCTCAATTTCCTCTGCTTTATCCTTCTGCAGCCGCTCCTGGTTCTCCTGCAAAGTCTCAATAATGGACTTCAGCTCCTCGACTTCAGAGCTTCTACTATACATAACCTGCAGAAAGAGCACGTTTCAGAGGCAAACTACATAAATGCCTTCAGAATCCCCTCTCAACTTACAGTTATGAATTTGTTGTCAGAAGTAGAGGCGTCACACACTGTTGATGGGAATGCAAAATGGTACTATGGAAAACAGTATGGCAGTTCCTCAAAAATTAAAAATAGAACTACCATATGATCCAGAAATTCCACTTCTGAGTATTTATTCAAAAGAACTAAAATCAAGATTTCAAAGAGAAATTAGCACCCCAGAATCATTGCACTACTGTTCACAAAAGCCAAGATTCACAACCTAAATGTCCATTGATGAATGAATAAAGAAAATGTATATGCATTCAATAGAATATTATTCAGCCTGAAAAACAGAAATCCTGCAATATATCACCATATGGATAAAACCTGAAGACATACTAATAAGCCAGTCACAGAAAAACAAATACTACATCATCCCACTGATATGAGGTATTTAAAACTAGAGGCCTGGTGCATGAATTTGTGCACTGGTGGGGTCCATCTGGCCCGCCCCGATGGGGGCCATTAGGTGTGGGCTGGCCGGGGTGAGGGGATGCAGGCAGTTTGCCGGCCAGCCCCTCCCCCGATCAGGGTGCGGGGGCTGCTCGGAGGCGGGGCCAGCCAGGGTGAGGGGCCACAGGTGTTCCAGTCGTTCTGCCATTCGGTCAATTTACCCTTTTATTATATAGGGTAGTCACACTCACAGAATCAAAGACTAGTATGGTGGTTACCAGGGGCTAGGAGAGAGGGGAAAATGGGAAACTGCTAATCAATGGGCATACACTTTCAGCTATGCAAGGTAAAGAAGTTCTAGAGATCTGCTGTACAACATTGTGCCTATAGTTAACAATATTGTACACTTATACAAAACAGCTGTAAGAACTAACAACACCAGACAACAGTTAATATATAAAAAATTCCCAAAATGCTGCACCCCAACTACGTAACTATCTCAAAAGAAAATCCTGTTGCTGCTGGGCAGCTCATCAGACACTCCACTTGAGGCTGCTGGGCACTGCCACAGAGCCCAGCCATCTTTTGTCAGAATTTTGAGGAAGCTCTAACTTGGCCACTTCTCAGTCAATGACACCTTCATACTAATATTTTGCCACCTTTTAAGTGTGTATTTAATTAATATTTAAACAACTCTGATTTGATTTTCCTAAAGGGAGAATTTAGAATTTAGGTGTCATTCTGATTTTTTAAAAATATATTTTTATTGATTTCAGAGAGGAAGGGAGAGGGACAGAGATAGAAACATCACTGATGAAAGAGAATCATTGATTGGCTGCATCCTGCATGCCCCACACTGGGGATCGGGCCCACAACCAGAGCATATGGCCTGACTGGGAATCGAACCCTGACCTGCTGGTTCATAGGTCGATGCTCAACCACTGAGCCATGACGACTGGCCTAAAAAAAAATCAATGAAAAAAATATTCTCAGGTGGGAATTAACAAATAAATAAATACATGCATAAATATGTAAGAAAAGAAAATAATTTTTAAAATCCAAAATAAATAAGGAACTCATGCAACCAAAACAAACAATCCAATGAAAAAATGGACAGTGGACCTGAATACACTTTCTCCCAAAAGACATACAAATGGCCAATAGACATATGAAAAGATGTTCAATGTCACTAATTGTAAGAGAAATGCAGATTAAAACCACAATGAGATCATCACCTAAAACCTGTCAGAATGGCTATCATCAATAAATCCACAAATAACAACTGTTGGTGAGGATGTGGAGAAAAGGGAACCCTCATGCACTGTTGGTGAAAATGTAAATTGGTGAAGCCACTATGGAGAACAGTATGGAGGTTCCTCAAAAAAAATGAATAGTATTAGAGATGCCATATGATCCAGCAATCCCACCTTCAGGGTATTTATCCGAAAAAAAACAAAAAAAAAACAACAACAAAAAACACACACACACACACAAAAAAACCCCACAAAAATAGTAATTCAAAAAGATATATGCACCCCTATGTTAATTGCAGCATTATTTACAATAACCAAGACATGGAATCAAGATATGGAAGAACTGGAGTATTTGGGTTTTTTTGGTGTTAAGCCGTATGAGTTTCTTATTTATTTTGGATATTAATTCCTTATTGGATGTATGATTTGTCCATCAATAGAAGACTGGATAAAGAAGATGTATGTTACTCGGCAATAAAAAAGAATGAAATCTTGCCATTTGTGACAATATGGATGGACCTAGAGGGTATGATGCTGAGTAAAATAAGTCAGACAGAAAAAGGCAAATACCATATGATTTCACTTATATGTGGGATTTAAAAAGCAAAATAAATGAACAAACAGAAATAAATTCATAGATAGAACAAACTGGTGTCACCAGGTGAGAGGGGGGTTTGGGCTGGAGGGCTGAGTGAAAAAAGTGAAGAGATTAAGAAGTACAAGCTTACAGAATAGTCATGGAGATATAAAGTACAGCATAAGAAATATAATCAATAATGTTGTAATAACTCTGTATGGTGCCACATGGGTAGTACACTTATCAGGGGGATCACTTCAAAAGGTATTTAAATGCCTAATCACTATGTTGTACACCTGAAACTAATATAATACTGTATGTCAAATATATTTGAAAAATAACATTTTAATAATTAGTTGGTTTTAAAGGCATTCCTCAAGCCTGGCCAATGTGGTTCAGTGGTTGAGCATCGACCTATGAACCAGGAAATCACAGTTCGATTCCCAGTCAAAGCACATGTCCAGGTTGTGGGCTTGATCCCCAGTAGGGGGCATGCAGGAGGTAGCTGATCAATGATTCTCATCATTGATGTTTCTATCTCTCTCTCCCTCTCCCTTCCTCTCTGAAATCAATAAAAATATATTTAAAAATAAAAAATAAAGGCATTCCTCAAAGTAACACAAAATAATATTCTTAAATTTTGCCAAATATATACTAGTAAGATACCAGCACAGATCATTAATATCTCAATAGCCTCTGTCACAGTGAAATTTGGAGACACAAAAAACTGCAGACAAAACTTCTTTTTACTCTAACAGCTGCCTCAGTCCTTATACCCTCTATCAAAATTAATCGGAAAAGCCATTATACACTTTATGTAGTATCACCCCAGAGGTCTCTGCTGATCCAAGATCACACATATAAACTATTAAGAACATAATGCCCAAGATGCCTTCGTAACAAAAGGACCACCTACCTCGCTGAGAGCGCCACTTCCCATCCCAGCCAGCTGTGCCTCCAGCTGCTCACTCATACACAGTATCTCCTTTTCTTTGTTTTGCAGAAATGCCTATTGAATGATAATAATAAAAAAATAATGACGCCAACAAAGCCTTACTATGGAAACAGTCCCCAGGCCTTGCAGACATAAACTATCCTAATAAATAAGCCTGTAGTTTCAAATACTAACACTCAATTTGAAAATGTTTTTCTATTAAAGTGATTTCTATTTAAAGTGACATATTAGTTTGGTTTTCTAAAATTAGTTACACATTTCTCCAGGAAATTTGTTTAAAGCATGTCAAACTCGCAGGCGGCGGGTCATATGACTCGTTTAAATGTGGCCTGCCGGCCGCAAGTTCGACATGTTTGGTTTAAAGCAACCACCAAAGAGTAAGTAAAGCCCGTTCTTATATGCTCCTCATCTAGTAATTAAGGATGAGTTCCCACTGAGAAGATAAGCAGTGATTCTAGAACCGGCCTAAAACTCATTTTCACTAAAGATATTCTAAATTGTGCAGTTGCAAGCCTTTGGGAGGATTAGGCACAAATGACACAGACCCGAGGATTTCTTTCAATGCTATCAGTTCACTAATCAAACAATTGCCAGGTTGGCATCATAGGACACTATTTTAAACTCAATGTATTTCAAGGCCATCTTTTAAGATTATGTTTTCTTTACATCTTTGATTATCATGTCCACTATATAAGGGCTGTTTTTCTTTTTTGCTTGAAAAGCACAATTACATTAAGATAACAGAGAAGATTTAAAAACAGACATTTTTCCATCCTTAGCGGGCACCCTGGTAATGGCCAGAGCAGGGCCACCGTTCCCAAGTTATGATTTGTTTCCTGGGCAGTTAGGGAAGTGCCTCTCCTACAAGCAGCCTTCAAGACATGTCTGTCATCAGTGCTGCAAACCAAAAGCAAGAGTTTGGTGTGGAGGTGAAAGCAGGTGAACTTCCCCAGTCAAGGTGACTCTGGCTTTCCACTCATGATTCCGAGAAGCTGCCTCCACACTACACTTTCTCGAGCTGCCAACCTCAGTACAGACACAAGTCAGGCACTTTCTGAAATCACCTGCCAGAGCAGGGTCCTCTCTCTTCAGAAGGAAGTCTCACGTCTTCTGAGAAGGCCTGAGGTACCCATGTAAATGATGGTTCCCATGTTGGGCTGCAGCACTTAACCGAGAGAAACATAGATGACAAGGTGGGTCTGGTCACATTACCTTCAAATTGGCATTCTCTTCTTGTAGTTCTCTGACGCTGATGGCAGCATGGCTGTTCTGCAGGTCTAATTTTAAGTTCAGATGTAGTACTTCTTCATTTTTATTAACTAAGTCATCTTTAATCTTTTCTAATTGTTCTTTTAAGTCCAAAACCTTTCAGTGAAACAAATGAAGGTAAACATTAAAAATTACCTAATATTCTAAATGATTTAATAATAATTAAAATCATGCTAAAAGATTTGAAAGTACATGCCAAAAAAAATTACTACTATCCTATAACCCACATAAAAATGCTAAAATAACCAAGAATACGCAGCAGTTACAAACCCACTGAAGTTATCATTTGGACGTCCTGCCCTTTACACAGCAGTGCAGAGGACACGTGTCAGGCACTGAAGAGAGGAAACCACCCGTCCGATCTCTCCCTCCCCTTACCTCGCTTTCCCGCTGCAAGAGTGCCCTCTGCACGGCCTCTAACTGGATTTCTGGGCCCTCGGGGCAGCTGTCCACAGGAGGCACAGAGCATTTGCCCTCATCTAGTTTAGACTGCAATGTGGACACCAGAAGCAAGTTACTCATCTGCTGTTGCTGTAATGCCTCTTTATCCTATTTAAGAAAAAATGAGATTTATTTTAGGCAAGTATTTTAAGACAGCCTCAATGTGCTGTCTATTAAAGTGTAAACCATCCCCAGTTCTTCCTGCACACACCTGCACATACCACACCTGATCCCCAGACCCAGCCATGCTCCAGAGTAGAGATCTGCTTGCTGAAGGATGAAACCCCAAACAGAGAGCCACTGGTGGCCCTTGATTACACTGGAGGAACTGATCCTTAGTAATTATTCAACAAGGTACAAAATAGTCTCTAGACTGTTAGCAAATATAAAAAAACTGAAAAGAACTTGCCAAAGAACAGTGCAATGGGTGACAATATATGCATACAAAGAATATTAACAGCCTGATAAAAAGTTTTCAAAGAAAATTTAATATGGATAAAATCGTTACAGCCCATTGGCCCAACTTTGTGTAGGAAAAAAAGGCATTTCTTATACCCTGGCATCTAATAATTCAGTAAATGTTTACTTCGTGGGGGGCGGGAAAGGGGGGTAGAACAGCAGCTTTGAGGAACTGTCCCCAAGTCAGCACCAAGTACCACTCCCCTCCAAGTGATGAAAGGAAGTGAAAGGAGGTGAAACTGGCCAGGTTGGTGTCCTGAGGTAAGAGCCAAGCTTGACTCCTTCAATAATTTTCGTGGGCATTCTCAAGAACCTAACACACCTGATAAAAACTAGCCTCCTTGAAGCAGGATTTGTGTTAGGACAAAACCAATGATTCAAAAATAGAATTTCTCAAGGAGCATCACTTTTCATGTAACTTTTAACCTCTAGCTCATTAAATAAATGAAATGTCAGAAGTCTGGTTGCCTTTGAGGAAATGCTGAATGACCAGAAATGCCACAGGTCTCCTACCCTCAGCACAGCCCTCCAGCCTCATCCTAGTGTTCAGATACAAACAAAAGCATCCAAACAACACCATAAAAACTCACTGGAGGCATCTTCACTGGGGGAACTGACATAGTTACTAAATTCAAAAATGAAAATAATTGTAACTAGCACTAAGTATTTAATGAAATAACTTTCTTAAACCTAAAATCTTTAATATTTACTTTATGAAATTACTAAGGAGTACTATAAAAATTGTTATAAAATGCTATTATAGTAAATATGATATTGTGATTTATAATAAAAATATATATTGGTATTCATCTGATTCCTGGCACAGAACTCCTAAAACTCTTGGAATTATTCCTGAGTGATAAGAGTGACAAAGGTGTTTGATATTCATAACAAGCCCCTTCCAGCCACTCCTGAGTTTATGTTACTGAGGTGGCTTTTAGAAAGCCCTAAGGTCACCTAAGGATGGTCGCCAGGGAACCAACAATGTGATTAGAAGGTTGGACTTTTAGTCCACCCCTGACCTCCAGGGAAGGTAGAAGGGCTGGAGGTCAAACCAATCACCAACAACAAATGATTTAATCAATCACACCTAGGTGATGGGGCCTCCAATAAAAACCCAAAGGACGGGAGTTCAGAGAGCTTCCAGGCTGGTGAACATATGAAGAAAAGGAGACAGGGGGCATCTGGACAGGCACAGAAGCCCCGTGTACCTTCCCCCACACCTCACCCAGTGGGTCTCTTCCATCACCTGTCCCTGAGTTATATCCTGTATAACAAACAGGTGACCTACTAAGTAACATGTTTCTCTGAGTTCTGTGAGTGACACTAGCAAATTAGTAAAACCAAAGGAGGGGTTGTGGGGACCTCTGATCTATACAACCTGGACCTGGGATGGGCATCTGATGTGATAAGGGGTGAGAGGTTGAGCCCTTAACTTGTGGGGTCTGACGTTAACTCAGGAGGATGGTGTCAGAACTAAGTTCTAAGACACCCCATTGGAATCTGCTGAGAACTGAACACTTGTTTGGTATGGGGGAAACCCCTACATACTTGGTGACCAGAAGTGTTACCCATGAAGTGATGCAGCAGAGGACTAATCGTGCAGGAGACCTACGAAGCATTTTTCCTTTAGAGCAAATAAAAGCCAAGAGGTTAGAGGGAACTCTGCTAGCAGTTGGTGTGAGGTCCTCCCTAACACAGTCTTCCTCGTGAAAAGGAGGGCCCACCTCGCCCGCCTGCCCCAAGCACCTCAGCGTTCTCAGAGTGATGAACCAACAACAGGGACCCGGACAGAATTCCACACAACATAGGGTGGTTACCTGTTGTAGTTCTTTCATAGCTTTTCTTTGCTTCTCCAGTTCTTCCTGGAGCTGGATCACTTTCCTCTTGGTATCAGCATTTGTCTCCTCCAGATGTTTTATTTCCTCTTCCTGGATCAATACTTGTCTATCTGCTAATTCTTTCTTCAGCACCAATTCATTAAGTTCATCTGATTTTTCTCTCAATTTTTCCTGTAACAATTCAACCTAAAACAAAAAAGAATGCTTGAAAAACACAATAGTTAAAAAAAACCAACATCTCCCAAATAAAAAAGTACCCAAGGCAATTCAGAGAAAACTGATCTTTTACGTGGCTTTGTAGACCTAGGCTGCAGAGAGAATTGGGCATTCTCTCAATAAAAAACATAAAAATAAAAACATAAAACTTGTTATTAAAATGAGTTTTGATAGTGAGGAATAGACTGCTACTCAGCAATAAAAAACAAGAATGAAGCAGAGATATAGCAACAACCTGGATGAATCTCCAGGCTGAGTGAAAAGCAATCCCCAAAGGCTGCCCACTGCTGTCCATTGTATAACCATGCGGAAATAAGAAACTATTACAGGGATCTGCCTGAGAGCCCCCTGGGGCTCCGTCTGCACATCAACGTCCTGACTGTGACCTTGGGCTGGCTTCTGCAAGATGTCACCACTGGGAAAACTGGAAGAGCACACAGGATCTGTGTGTCTTATTTCTCACACAACTGCGATTGAAACCACAGTTTTCTCAAAATAAGTTTAATTTTTAAAAAGAATAAACAAATTGACTACAGCCACTCCAGACAAGAGGAAGCAGACAGTTCCAGACTAAGCAGAAGGATTCGAGAAAAAGCAGCAAGACACAGAAGCAGGTGAGCCACCGCCCATATGTCACATGCACCAGCCATGCAGGTAGACAGGGCACCGACAGAGGACACATACCTCCTCATCCAGCTGTGCCTGCTGTCATTGCCGTGTACATGGAAGGCAAAAATATTTTTAAAGATAAAGTTTAAAAACACTGTAACGAATCGCTCCCCCACACACGCCTGTAACCCATGGCAGGCTGACTTACATTCCTGTCGCGGGGGCCCCGGGCCTGCGGCTGGGCTGCCCGGTGAAGCTGCTCCTCCAGCCGCTGGATCTCCTGCTGGAACTCCTCCCGCTCATGCTCCCTCTCCACGGCCTGCTCCTGTCATGAGAGGCAGATTGTGGGGGTTGCTTACTGTGATGTCACTTCCCAATTGCACCCACTTCCCTCTGAAGGGAACCACTGAAAGGTATGAGATGGACAGAAAAGGCTCCAGGTCTGATGCTACAGCCTGAGCTTCCATTTCATACACATGGCCACTGCCCAGTACAATAGACCCCTCGAATGGACATTGTGGGAAGGAGAGCTAAATGAGGAGGAGGGCCTTTCCAGGGGATGAGGGGAAGGCTTCTGAAATATTGAAAGGAAGAAAAGTCAGAAAGGGCAAATAGCGCAGGTCCAAACTGGCGCCAGGCACACAGGGCCTGTAACCCACTGCAGGAGACTCCTGCCCAAGCCACTGAAAGGAGTGTGGCCACAAGACCAGGGGGTGTTCCCTCAGAATCCCATATCACAAATGTTGACAACGTCTGAACTACCTACCAAGAGACAAGGACATGTGAAGGTCTACTATACATTAATCTTCTCATCGGGCCATAGAAGCTTAATGACCTGGGAGGGCCCAGGCTGGAAAGATGACTTCCAGGGAGGCAAACAGAATTTACAGAGCTCTTACATCCATGAACTGCCGCTGGCTGCGCAAGTGCTTGTCCAGGGACACCATCTGCTGCCGCAGGGCGCTGAGCTCCTCGGCCTGTGAGGCGCATGCTTGATGGCGTGAGAGCTGCTCTTCCAGCTCGGCCTCCAGGAGCTTCACCTGGGCAAGCAGAGTCGCCCGGTCTTTCTCACATTGCTGCCTGGTCTCCAACCGCTCTGTGGTGGCAGCTTCCACTTCCCTCCGAAGAGCTACAGTGGCAGAGAACAGAAGGGGAGCCTACAGCACGGGGCATGGCCCTGTGCTGCACCAGAAACACCAACATGTGCTTACTCACAGTGACGCCGCACAGCACAAGCCCCACATGACACCATGGCCAGCCTCCCTGGCAGCTCGAGACGCAGTCCTAGCCAGGGAATGGAGCACAAGGTCTCCAAGGCTTCCAGACTCCCCACCGATACGGCACGGATCTAACCTTCGTTCCCTCTCCTCCTGCTGCACAGCCACCTCAAGATGAGGGAACGTATATCCCGCAAACCAGCATGGGCCTGCATTCTGTCAGACACCAAGCTCATGTCCTAACATAGCCGCAATGTAGCCAAATACCCACTGAAAATAAACTCAAGCACATTTGCATAAATAAATAAATAAATAAAATTTTAATATTGCAACCTTTACATGAAAATTGCCTAAAGTAAAAAATTTTCAAGAAAGCCTGAGAAGAATCCATCTTGGTGTTCCCAAATGACAGTATCAGGTAACTTTCTAGGAATTACACCTTCACATATAATCCCCAAATAGGGAAAAATAAAATGTAACTTAGGAGTCCTGTCTGAGGCCCGGCCAGTGTGCTCAGTGATTGAGTGTCGACCTATCAGGTGATCATGGTTCAATTCCTGGTCAGGAAACATGCCTGGGTTGTGGGCTAGATCCCCAGTAGGAGACATGCAGGAGGCAGCCAATCAATGATTCTCTCTCATGATTGTTATTTCTCTCTCTCTCTCCATACCCCTCCCTCTCTTTTAAATATATTTAAACAAAAAAATCCAATGCTTTTATCTTTTTTTCTTTTTTAAACCCAATGCTTAAAAAAAAAAAAGTTCTGTCTGAGGGGACACAAGCCCTGATAAGCCACTAGCAGTAAAACACTCACTATGTGCCCAGGGCCGGGGTAGGATCTTGAAGGAAAAGGGTGATGTCCTCAGTGAATCAAAAGCCAAATTAAATTCTGGGTGCGGCCCTGGGTGGTTTGGTTTAGTGGTCAGCCTGTGGACCAAAGGGTCGTGGCTTCAATTCCCAGCCAAGGGCACATACCTTGGTTGCAGGTTTGGTCCCTGACCCCAGTCAGGGTTTAAGCAGGAGGCACCCAATTGATGTGTCTCTCTCATGTCGATGTTTCTCTCTCTTTCCCTCTCCCTCCCTTCCACTCTCTCTTAAACGAACAAACAAACAATGGAAAAAATATCCTCGGGTGAGGATTAAAAAAGAATAAAAAGAAAATAAATAAATTCTGGGTGCGATGACTAAGGCTGCAATTCAAGTGGAAGCTATAAATCAAGCAGTATCTAAAAGGAGGCTTGCCTCTATGGAACCCTGAGTGTTTAGACTACCCCAAAACTGAAATATTAAGTATTTACATTTCACCAGCTTTCAAAGTCTAATTATTCTGGTTTATAAAAATCTGTCGATTATTTATGACAAACTACCATCACCACTAACATTCTTAAGTACATTTTCATGCTAGTAAGTTTGCAATTACAGTAAATTAGCCTTAAACATGCAGTTAGGTCAATGTCATTCACAGCCCTTAGAGACACAAAACGAAGCTCACATGTCACTGCTGTGACAGTCAGTGGTGCCTGACCATCCACCCAGACACCACCACCTTCAGGGCTCTGTGCTGCAGAAGAGACACTGGCTGCCAGCACACACGGCCTACATGCAAGCGGGACCGAGGGGAAGGCATCTGCGTGGCTGCCAAGGCAGAGAGCAAAGGAGCTCCACCAGGCCCACCCCTCCCCCAACCTAGACCCCATGGCCCCTAGCCCTGCACAACAGCACACACTGTAGCTCAGTTACTGCCGCAGGCATCACCGGAGGAAGGCATGCCCGTTTATAGATATGATATTGAAGGCGAAAGTTATTTTATTTAATAGTTTGCCACAAAAGCTCTGGAATATCTTTTGCTCTTCAGTAAAATATTTGCAGTCTGGTGCAAACACAGCATATGGCACATAAATCACTTGTTTGTTTTCACAAACCTGAGTCCTTGTGCGCTATAGTAACAGGAACGCCTACAAATGAACACATAGCACTTTCAGAGATGAAACAGGAGAATGTGCGACCTAGAATGTGACCATTAGAAACAAGAAAGAGGACAGTGACAACAGCAAGAAATGTCTTCGGCCCTGGACAACCTCTAAACCTCGTGCACTTCCAAACCACCACTGCTTAGGGGCCTAAATGTCTGCCTCCAAAAACCATATGTTGAATACTAACCCCCAATGTGACGGCATCAGGAGGCAGGGCCCTTGGGAGGTAGAGCCTTTCTAAACGAGACCCCGAAAGCGCCCTGAACCTTTGGCATGTGAGGACACAGTGGGAAGACGCTGCCTGTGACCAGAAGGCCCCTTACCAGAAGGCAATCGTGCCAATACCCTGACCTTGGAATTCTAGCCTCCAGGACCATGACAATAAATATCTGTTGTTTATGAGCAACCCGTCTCTGTTTTGTCACAGCAGCTGAATGGACTGAGACAGGACTGTTTGCCCAGGTGTCAGAGCAGGTTCTGTTCTGGCGCCCAAAGGCTTTTAAAGGAGACAAACAGAAGAGATAGAGCTGAATTTCCCCATGAGATGCCGGGACCTCCCAAAGCTCTTGAACAGCTCACACAGGATGGCCAGCACTTTCGGTTTGACATGCCAAGTCCCTAGCTGGGATCGCACAACTATGTGGCAGGGTGAGGGGAAGGGACAGAGATCAAGTGAGAAATTAAGGCAGGATTAACAATGTGAAAATGAAAGCAAACCCAGAAGATCCCAAATAAAGTATAAGAATTTCCTGGTGACAAAACAAAGCAAAAGAGAGACTGGTCTGGGCCCAGGAGAGAGTTCCATGATCTTTCCCTCCCTGGCCCAGCTCCCTCTTCTGTGAAGGCACTGAGGGTACACAGGTGGGACAGGCCTCTCTGCAAGATGGGGCACAGCCTTGGGAAGAGCCAAGCCAGGTGTGGGCAGAGATTATGCCACAGAAGGGCTGAACCAGGGACAGCCAGGTCCAGGCCCAGCTGAGCCAGAGCCACTTGGGTTTGGCCAGCCAAGACGAGGCTGTCCCACGGCCTAGGGCTGTGTGGCCCCTGAGATGGTCCCGCATCCGTGTATCCCTCAAGGTCCTAACTCTTAGGTCTGAACCTGCAGGAGGAGGAGAACGGGCTGGAAGTACCAGTGCTCACGGGGTAACCATGAGTCTGGATGGACAGGGTGTGGGGCCAGTCACCCCTGGGAGGAGGATGGGCCATCACACGGACTTGTAGGCTGAGACATAATGGGTCCCTGCACAAGGAAGGTCTGTCCCACTGTGAAGTACGGCCTATGAGGAGCTCCAGAGGGACCGAAGAGAATAAGAACAGAAGAAAAAAAGTCTGAAGAAACAATGAGTGACAAATCCCCAGATTTAAGAAAAAATGTGAGACAGAACAGGAAAGATGTGAAAAACCCGCCCTAGAGACATGTAAGAACATCAAAGCAAAGAGGTATTTCTAAAGACCACCTGCAAATAAACAAGATAAAAACATCTCAGCAAAAATACTAGATGTAAAGAAAGATTGGGTTATAGCCTCACATTTTAAATGAAAATAAATCAAATCTAGAATTATATCTTTCCAGCTACATCTTCATTTAAGGATGACAATAAAATAAGGTAAAACTCAGATACTCAAGGTCTTAGAGTTTTCCTTCTTTGAAACCACTGAGTTGAGGAGAAAATAACCCACAACTTACTGCTGTTAGATGGCAATTTGCACAAGACACAGAATACAGAGAGCTCATGTGCTCTCATGTGCACATGTGTGCACAAACATACACACAAATGTGGGCAAAAGCCTTGCCTGACAGTGGCGCGGCATGGCTGGGGCCGGAGCGGAAACAGTTGAGACAAGACAGGTTTCAATGTTGGGGAACGAGGGAACCTGAGGCAGAAGGAACCCTGGACACATAGCATTAGTCAGTAGAAGGAAGGTCTGTCTGTGTGTGTATGGGGTGGGGGTGGGAGGTAGGAGGGAGTGAGGGCGGTGACAGCACCCAAAGGAAGTGTGGAAAACAGAAAAGAAGGCAACAGACCCAAACAGCATGGGCACAGGAATAAAACCTGGCTAAACAGAGTAAAAGAGATGCCCACAGCTGAACTTTTTAAAAAGTCATTAATATGAGACAAATAGAAGAAAAAAGTGAATATAAAGGAGTAAAAACTGACATACAAGGGGGAAAAAGAGAAAGCTAGACTAATTATTTAATACCAAAACTTTCATCTAAAAATGAAAAAGGGACAAAAAGCACGCACGCACACACAAAAGAAAGCTGAGCAAGAAGATGAGGTCTGGAAATGATTACAAATACAGTTTAAAGTTTTGCTCATGAATGGGATCTAAGAACAGCCTAAAAATCACTATTTGCTTAAAGAAATGACAGGTCTGTGGGACCTGAATGCCTCCCTAGAGCAGGGGAGGGGAACCTTTTTTCTGCTGAGGACCATTTGGATATTTATAACATCACTCAAGGGCCATACAAAATTAACTTAAAAATTAGCCTGCTATATTTGGTCAAAAACTTAATTAACTCACCCCTAATGCCTTGGCAGGGCCAGACCAAATGAATTCTTGGGTCTTATATGGCCCACAGGTGGGACATTCCACACCCCTGCCCTAGAGCCACAGGTCAGCCTGAACTGAGTACCCATCCACAGGGCTCCCAGAACTAAGAAGGCAACAAACAGCAGAGATGAGGACGCAGTCAGTTACAGAGAAGACAAGGAAAATGGAAATGGTGAGCAAAACCAAAAACTGGTTATTTATTGAGAAAAGTTTAAAAAAAAACAATTTGGGGGAAGAAAAGTTTCTGTACAGGTGACAGTGGCCTACGCATGACCGAGGCTCAGAGCACAGGCATGGAGCTGCACCCAGGTGAAGGTAGAGACCTTGTAGACACCGGGAGGCAGGGAGCCCCGCCCACCCTGACTCGGCCAGCAGCCACACAACCTCACTGGGGAGCAGCAGGCACAGGGACAGACAGGTCCTGAAGTCAGCACAGGGAACAGCTCTGCGAAAGCTGAACTCAACCAGGATTGTTACAAATCTGCTACTGAGGACATGGATACCTGCAAACTCCACAGTTTACACTTTTTACATTTTGACTGTTTTTAAATATTTTAAAGTCTGAAATACCTTTCATTAAAGTTGTTTTCATAGTTAAGGTTAACATTAGGAACTTTTTTATTTTAAATACAATTTTTACATCACCTTCATTTTTTCATGGTCTTGGCTGTTTATCTCAAACAAGTTGGCAACATTTTCCATGACCTAACTGCCAGAGGTTACTCTGACCTCACGGAGACATGAGAACCAGGATGATAGGTGGACGCTAATCTACCCTCACACCCCTCTCAAAGCCACACACTCCAAGGTTCCCTCTGAAAAGTGCTGCCATCTTTCCTCTCCACCCTCTAGAAATGGCAAACTTCGCTTCCAGAAAAGCCGGCTATGCTGCTGCCCGTGCTCTGCCCTCCAGCCCTGGAGACAGCCTTCCTTACCAGCCTCTCTCTCTTCTGCTTCTGTGGCCGCCACCTCCTTTTGGTGACACAGGACAGCGTTCTCCTCCTTCAGCTCTGCCTGCTGCCGAGTCACCCGCTGAAGCTGCTGATTCAGGCTCTCCAGCTCAGCCACGAGGCCCTGCTCAGACGTCTCCTTCTGGACTAGTGCCTCCTGCAAGTTGGCCTTCTCCACTTTGAATCCCTCAATGATGCCTGGGGAGACAGGAGACACGGCTGCTGAGGCCCCTGGAGCAGCAAATAGAGCAGCCACGAAGATAAGGGCTGCCACGCACCAGCATGAGCTATGTGGTCACACCTGTGTCCAGGTCTTAGATGGATGGCACAGGGCTGACCCCAGCCCCAGGCAGGGTGGGAACTGCCAGACAAGGCAACACACCTGTGAGCACCCACCTACACACACGCACATCCTGGTGCCAACTACCCAGAACACATGGCCACTGTGAGCACCAGACACCAGGGTCTCGGGTTGGAAGCAGTCACGGGGGTGACTTCTTGGGGCACTCACTGCCCACAGCCTGTGATGGGAAGACGAAAGTTCCCATCTCGCCACACCCTTTGACGGTGTCACCCTAAAGATCAACAGGAGGTAAGTGCCAAGGGACAGGATCACCCCATGAGCCTGTCTGTTGCAACCGTGATCCCCAAAGCTACTGCATGTAGTTCTTCAAAGACGATTAATTCCACTGAGAAAAGTCAGTAATATCTCAAAACTGACTGCTTTATTTTACTTTTACATTTGCTTTAAAATATTCTGTGCTAATACTTGCCCTTAGCAACTCGATGCCTAGGTTCCAGCCCATCCTTGCCAGCCCACTGGCTTCTCACCTTCTGCCTTGTGCAGCTCCAGTGTCAGCCGAGTCTTGGCTGAGTTCTCCTCCTCCAGGCGTTCCAGTAACTCTTGGTGTTTTCTAACAACCTGGGCTGTCTCCTCATTTTTACCGCTAAATTCTTTTTCAAAACGAGCATGAATTTGACGTGCTTCCTCCAGCTGAAAATTTGAAAAATTGGAACTACATATCAAAAACAATAGAAGCTTACATTAATCCCAATTACAATTCTACTTGCTTAGAATTCTGGTGAAATCATCAATATTCCATAAGAAACAAGTTTCCATGCTTGCTGTTATGATTAATTAATTACTAAATAAAGTTGCTCATTAAACAATTTTCAACAATTAACAGTTCTGCACACACAGCACCACACAAACATGCACTTAAGAACCATGGAGTCCTAGCCAGTTTGGCTCAGTGGATAGAGCATCGACCTGCGGAACAAAGGGTCCCAAGGTTCAATTCCAGTCAAAGGCACATATGCCCAGGTTGCGGGCTCAATCCCCAGTAGGGGGTGTGCAGGAGGCAGCCAATCAATGATTCTCTCTCATCATTGATGTTTCAATCTCTCTTTACCTCTCGCTTCCTCTCTGAAATCAGTAAAAATACATTTAAAAAAAAGAACCATGGATACATGCAAGGCAACATTGTTAAGGACGCGTGACAGGAAGGCGACTACCAAGAACGTGGCACCTGGGAAGGAATAAGCCACCAGCTCCATAGTTGGAAAAGGAGATGGGAAAGGTCACAGGTGTGGGAAAAGCAGGCTTATGGGGCCAGTCACCACACTGGGCAGGAAGCCTGATAGTCTCTACCTCCCTGACTAGTCACCACAAGGCCCCTCCTTGGCTTCCTTGGATGCCCCCACTTCCCGGCTCAGCCCTGGACCCCAATCTTCTTTGCCTCCCCTGCTTCCCTGGCAGCATGTCCATTCTGAGGCTCCCAGGCCATCTACAGGCTGAGTGGCCCTGATTAATCTCTGAATTCAGAACAACTACTCCCAGCTGTCCTGACTGATTCCTCAGCACCTAGCCTGGGCCTCCCCTGTACTTGATGCAACTCAGCTGCTAAGTAAATCTACTGGTTTTATCTTGAAAACAGCTCCCAAGGCCACCTCTTTTCATGCCCTGCCATGGGCCACCTCCCACAGTTTCTGTCCTCTCAAAACACTTGCCCAAGCCAATCAGCCCTTGGGCAGCCCCACCACTGACCCTGGCCCAAACAGGGGGCCCTCACTCCCCTTCAGCCACTGCCCTTCCCACCTCCCACAAGGCTCTACTCCACTAACCCCTTCCCCAAAACCTGCCCCGCTTTCTCTCCCACACAACCCACCTTCTCCCTGCTGTGGGGATGGCCGAACTCCCTGTGGAACACACTCAATGGGGTAAATTTCTAGGGAGCAGAACACAGGAAAAGCAAGTGTGGGTCCACAGCTGGGTGATACCTGCAGATGCCAGATGCTCACAGGATGGCATCTGTTTCTGTGGAATGACATTGGGGAGGGCGGGGGCACAATCAAAAGCACCTGATGACTTGTTTGCTGCTGCCCAAACCTATCCAGGGTTTGAGAGAAGACTAGAGGTGAGGGGGGGCGGGAAGGAGGATGAGAAAGAGACACCGCAAGGTCTCGACACTGTTGCTCTGCCCACCTGCCCTGAGGAGGGAAAATTACTCAAGTATTTCTGCAATGTGAACAGTAGAGTTCCACATAAGAGTGCTTATGGGGGTAGGGGGAATGTAAAAGATCAACCATAGGACTTGTATGCATGCATATTAGCATAACCAATAGACACAGACACTGGGGCGGTGGGGGCTTGTCCTGGGGGTTGGGAGTGGCCGGGGAGAGGTCGATGGGGAAAAAAGGAGACATATGTAATACTTTAAACAATAAAGAAAGAAATTAATAATAAAAAAAAGAGTGCTTATTATTTTTTAGAGAGGGAAGGGAGAGGGAGAGAGAAACATTAATGTGAGAGCAAGATATCTATCGGCTGCCTCCTGCATACTCGCCTACTGGGGATCAAGACCACAACCTGGGCATGTGCCCTCACCAAGAATCAAACTGGCAACTTTTTTGGTGCATGGAATGACGCCCAACCAACTGAGCCATTCCGACCAGGGCTAGAGCGCTTATTTTTTAACTGGGCAAATTTTGGAAAAAAGAATCTCTTTACTACTTTCAATTATTCCTATGTAATGTCTTTCCTAATTGTCTAAAATGTTCTAAAAGGTTAACAAAAATAATTCCCTTTTTCAGTGGTAATCTTTGAATATAAATAATGAATGCGAAATTAAAGTTCCTGTGGGAGGTGGGAAGGGAGGCGGCTGAAGGGGAGTACGTAAAGAAAAGTAGAAGTGGGCTAAATTACACGTCATCTAAGGATGCTGAGGTTTTATTTTTCTTTCACAGCAAGTCCACTATCTCAAGAATTTTGGTTCAGAAAAGACTCCTCAAGCAGACCCTGGGAGGAAGACATCGCTGGTAGTGACCTGGGAGGAGGCAGGGGGTGTGAGCACCAGAATCAACAGTTTCCGTCCCCAAACGTCAGGTGCTGGAGAAGACAGAGACCGGGTTCACCTGGAGAATCAAAGCGTCCATCCCCACCCTGCAGGTCTGGTGAGAATCAGAAATGCCCGGTGAAGAAGGTCAATCTATCTAACCTACTTACTCATTCACCCACAGCCCTTCTCTGAGGCAGAGCATCAGCACACAGGCCAGAATGGAGCCACAGAGCAAAGAATGGGTGGCGAGTCTGGTGCTGAGTGGGCCACGGCTCACCTGCCTAGAGGAGTCCAGAACCATCTCCAGGAGGCCATCCACCGCCAGCCAAGGCTCCGGTAGATGCTCCTGACGGGCTGCTCACACTCCAATGTACTTTCCGGGCTCATGAAAAAGCTTTCACAGATGTGGCTGCTGATCTCAGCCATGGAAGACACCTCAGTGCATTCAGTCAAAGTTCTATCCAGTTCCGGCGGGGCCACATCAAGCCCAGGCCACGTCTCATCCAGTGCTGGCGCTACAAAGTGAGAAAACACAGAAGCCTGCACCATGGAGACACACACACTGACCCTGACCTAGGCATCAGGGACAAGCATGCCCACAGCACTAGGGACAGCACCCCATCTCAATAAGGAGTGGGCTCGCCAGCGCTAGCAGAAGGGATGCAGCCCAGGGGGCACTTGGCACCCTGGGCCTGAGGGCTGTACATGGCCCGTCCAGTGCTCACCTACAGACGGGACCTGGCCCTCCAGCCTCGCGTCGGGTAGACTCTCGTCCTCCAGGCAGAGCCCCACGCGCTCACTGATCCGGCTCTTCAGGGAGATGGCAGCCTTCACTGTCTCTCCAAATAGGCCCAGCAGCCTCCGAAGGGCATCCTGGAGAGCGATCCTGGGAAGGGAAGAACAGCGGGCGCGGCCTTCAGCCGGGACCCCAGCAGGGTGGCTCTGTGACAGTAGAGCAGACCTTGTCGCTGTTGCTCTTCATTTTTAAAAGATGCCATTATTGTTTATTCAAGCATGTTTCTCTGGAATCAGCCTCCAGCCAACCAGCAAAGGGCAAGGGCTTCACGTAGAACCATCCCCGCAGCTGCTCTCCCCTCAGATAGGAATGCACAAGCCTCACCCATCCCCATGGCACAGCCTCTCTGACCCTCAGGGCCCTGCCCTTATTGAGACAGGTGATCACACCTGACCCACAGGCCAAGGGCACGGAGGTTCTCCCGTGCCTCTCCCTGGGGCTGCACAGACTACGGAGGTTAGTGTGGTTCGTTCTTCACAGGACCAGGACTCAGCTGCCCTGTCTCCAAGCTATACCCTTCCAGCAGGGGATCCTCTATCACATGACCCTGCCTAGGACGTAGCTATGGGCAAACTGATACAGCTTGTATGCAAGCCAGACAAGCCACATGGAGCCAAAGTGGGCAGGACATGGGCTTGCCCACCCCAACCTGTTCACGGGCGCACTCCCTACTAATGGGCCCACACAGGCGCTGCTTCCAGCACTGGGAGAGAGACACCACTGAGCAAAACAGACAAACAGCCACACCTTGCAGAGCTAACATTCCCAATGAGGGACACAAGCAGGAAGTGCAAGGAGAGAAGGGGAGACAGTGGGCAGACTGCATGAAGCACAAAAACCTGGAGGGGAGGGGGGGCCTGACAGCTCCCTGGCTGCTGCCCAGGCCCCTGCAGGTGGCTACCAAGGACACAGGGAGGATGAGCACAGCATGTGCAAAAGCCTTGGGTTTAGTGTACAGGAGGAGAGAGGATGATCACAGAGATGGTGGGTCAGGGAGGGCAACTGAGGAGTCCGAATCAAACCACAACCGCAGCTACAAACGAGTGCCAGAAAAGCATGCACGTCTTCACAGAGAATTACAAAGTTCTCAAAAGAATGAAAGGAGACCTGGCTCAGGACCCTGTGCAGTTAGAAAGTCATGGATCCCGCATATAGAGCTCAGGAATAAGCCAGGCCTGTCTACCCCACCTGGTCTCTCATGCATGCATTCATTCATTCATTCATTCATTTATATTCATTCATTCAATGTACAGGTCGAATACAATTGTATTTTATTATCAGGATTCCACATTTACATAGCTTAAAATGCTCTGGTAAAGGTGCAAGCTTATCACAGTGTTATAAATTTTTTTTTTAAAGAAATGAAACAATTAAGTATTTGCTTTATTGATATACCAGGCTTAGACCTGTGTTTAACAAGCCAGCCTAAAATAGCACCATGGTTAGACTATAGCCTGCTTTTCAAAGCCTTCATTTTACAACTTATTAAGCAAACAAGGGATCAATCGTCTCTCATCCACCTGATGTGATCTTTTTTTTTATTATGTATTTCTTTATTGATTTCAGAGAGAAAGGGAGGAGAGAGAGATAGAAACATCAATGATGAGAGAGAATCATTGATTGGCTGCCTCCTACACACCCCCTACTGGGGATCGAGCCCACAACCCAGGCATGTGCCCTTGGCCGGAATTGAACCTGGAACCCTTCAGTCCGCAGGCTGACGCTCTATCCACTGAGACAAGCCGGCTAGGGCCTGATGTGATCTTTTTATACACATACTCCTAAGTCCCATTTTGAAACAGCTCAAAATCTTTTTTAAAGTTGTGCAGATGAGCTCATGAACACAAATTTCACCAGATAAGTTAGGTCGAACAGAAGGAACTCAAAACAAGTTGTTGCCCAATCAGAGTTCATTATTTGTAAATCATAAACCTGCTCCCCGCTCCCTCCCCAACCGCCCACCCACACTGGTCTCTCTTGATCCTTGAGGTCAGCACAGGACCCTGGGCAGAGACAAGCTGGTGGGCACAGCACAAATGGAGGGGCCCAGAGAAAGGCCTGCTCACAGGGATGCCGAGGAACTAATCAGACAGACAAAAACGAATTTCCTGACATCAGATGCAAATAAAGAATTGAACAGTTCAAGACGCGCTCCAGACCTATATACAGGAAAAGAAAAACTAAAACTGAGAATATGGGGGGGGGGGGGGGGGGGATCTGTGTGGCGTCAGAGTGAAAACCTATTTCTCAAATGAAATCCCCAAGCAAATAGGACAAAGGGACAGATTACTAATGGTGCCTGCATTACAACATCAAATTCTGTAATTTGGCAAATGTGAGGCTTTTGGCAAAGCGAAATGGTGGATAGGCAGGTGTCTGGACATTACTCAGTACTTTTCTCAATGTTTAAAATAGTTTTAAATGATAAGAATCATGCAGCACAAGGACCCCTTTTCCCCATCATCGTGCTCAGGCAGCAGTGACAGAGGAGGGAGCTGACCTTTCACTGTGAGAAAGGTCCACGTCAGACTTGAGCATCGAGATGAGGTTCGTGCCTTCCTGGTTCTCCCTGTCCCGCCTTCGCTGTAGTGTCTCCAGTTCTGAACGGTGCTCTTCTATCTCATGACTTAAGGATAAAATTTGGTCTTTTAGCTGTTGAGAAAAAATTGTTAAAGCTTTAGTTAAAACAATTTGGTTAAAAATAAACTTCTAGCCTGGATGGAGTGGCTCAGTGGTTGAGCATCGACCTATGAACCAGGAGGTCACGGTTCGATTCCCAGTCAGGGAAATCCTTGTGTTGTGGGCTTAATCCCCAGTGAGGGGTGTGCAGAAGGCAGCTGATCAATGATTATTCTCTCTTATCACTGATGTTTCTATCCCTTTCTCCCTCTCCCTTCCTCTCTCTGAAATTAATAAAAACCTATTTAAAAAACAAATAAATAAAATAAACTTCTGTAAGGTACTTTCACCAAAACTTTCATCATCCCACTTAATATGGCAAAAGATGAAAATTATTTTTTTAATATACATTTTATTGAATTTTTATAGAGAGAAAGGGAGAGGGATAGAGAGTTAGAAACATCAATGAGAGAGAAACATCGATCAGCTGCCTCCTGCACACCTCCCACTGGGGATGTGCCCACAACCAAGGTACATGCCCTTGACCGTAATCGAACCCGGGACCCTTCAGTCCGCAGGCCGACGCTCTATCCACTGAGCCAAACCGATCAGGGCAGATTATTAATAAGGTCTTTGCTCCATTACTCTCTGCCTACAAAAATGAAACATATAACCCTCCTGGCCTGTCAGTCCAGAGGTGGAGGGAGGGACCAATTCAGAATAAAAATCAGTTGCCAGGCAAGTGAACATCCCTCTTACAAAATTCTCTCTAAAAACAAAAGTCGATCGCAGAGTCTCAATGGGCTGGGTGGGTGGGCTGCACCAGCTACCATGAGCTCCTGAGCCATCTGAGCAGCTTAGAGAAGGGACTAGTGCAGTGATGGCGAACCTTTTGAGCTCGGCGTGTCAGCATTTTGAAAAACCCTAACTTAACTCTGGTGCCATGTCACATATAGAAATTTTTTGATATTTGCAACCATAGTAAAACAAAGATTTATATTTTTGATATTTTATATATTTAAATGCCATTTAACAAAGAAAAATCAACCAAAAAAATGAGTTCGCGTGTCAGAGGTGACACGTGTCATAGGTTCGCCATCACTGGACTAGTGTCTTCCAGCAACAGAGCAACCTGAGCACCTGAGCCCTCTCCCCTGAGCTCATCGCCAACAGTGGTGACTTCTCAGTTTCGGTCCAGTTTACCAATGAGAACATGGGTGTCCTCCCAGAGCAGTGGTTCTCAACCTTGGCTGCACATTAGAATCACCTGGGAATCTTTTTAAAATCCTGAATGAGGCCCAGAAATCAGGATTTTAAAAAGATTCCCAAGTGATTCTAATGTGCAGCCAAGGTTGAGAACCACTGTCCCAGAGGATGAAAGAACAGAGGACACAAGAGACCACACACGTGCCCAGTGGGGCCACCAGCACCCCAGTCCCACCTCCTTGGAAGACAACTGGACAACCCATGGCTGCAAGGGACCAACAGTCTGACGTGCCCAGGGCCTCGACCAGGAGGAGCCGGGAGGAGCCACCAGCAGATGGAGAAGCAGTGCAGGAACAGCGCCACACTGCCATGGATGTCCCTTCATCCAAGAGCAGGTTTGTAGAGTGAAAAAAATGAACAAGGGAACACAAGCATGGGACCCATAAAGTAATGTTAGAAAATACAAAAATAAAGCACAAGCCACAGGAAAAAGAAGAGTGTGATTTTGAAACCACTTTACTACAGGGAAAACCAGCAAACTAAACACAGTTTCAATGTTGTGCTTGGAGGGAAATTAGAAAGGAACAGGGATTCCATAAACCACTGGTTACATCAGATTGTCACCTAGTACCTGGAAAAATTAAAGAAAATGAAACAGAATTGTAAGTTTCAAGATGGCAAAAAATGACTCAAAACGAACAAAGATTCAGAAGATGAACCGTGTACTCCAAACGCTGCCAGCACATGGACCTGCATGTCCAGACCACTCAAGGCCAGACTGTGGCCCCGACTGCTAGAGTATGGATAGTGGATGGCAGTCAGTGGATGGTGGACACCTAGGGCCTCACTGCAGTGAGCCCCATAGCCATGACTTTCGGGTTAGCCACACCCATGACTGGTGGTCAGGGCACACAGGCCATCAGGATGGCCGGTTCTACTCAGAGAGCCTGTGGGACAGCAGACTCTCCTCAGCCTGTCCTGCTCCCTCCCCCTGACAAAAGTGGGAGGAAGTCCTAATATATGATCAAGAGGAAGAGAGAAAAATGAGCATCTTAACAAAACTGACTAGAGAAAATAGTTCTATTAAATTTTAAAATTTAAATCGTTATTTTAACATCCCGCCCCCCCCACCCTCCAGGGAGACATGATCTTGTTAACTATCCCATAATCTAATCCCCACCTTGTCTTTTCCCACCTTCATGTAATCTTCCTCACATTCCCTCCTTAATTCCAAACACATAAAAGGAACTGCAAACTGTTGATTCTCTGGAGGATTTGAGATCTTGCTTCTGGCATGTAGTCAGTTTGGCTCAAATAAACTCTTTATGAAAATTCTCTACAGATTTGATATAAGTTCTTATATCAACATGCATACAAAGGAATATTCAGCCTTAAAAAGAAAGAACATTCTGCCCTAACTGATTTGGCTCAGTGGGTAGAGTGTCGGCCTGGGGACTGAAGGGTCCCAGGTTTGATTCCGGTCAAGGGCACATGCCTGGGTCACGGGCTCAATCCCCAGTAGTGAGTGTGCAGGAGGCAGCCAATCAATGATTCTCTCTCATCATTGATGTTTCTATCTTTCTCTCCCTCTCCCTTCCTCTCTGAAATCAATAAAAATATATTTTTTTTAAAAAGGAAGAACATTCTGACACCTGCTACAACATGGATGGGCCCTGAGGACATTATCCTCAGTGAAATGAGCCAGTCACAAAAGGACAAATACTGCATGATTTCACATAGTCAGATCAGAGACAAAAAGTAGATGGTAAGTGCCAGGAGCTGGGGGAGAAGGTGGGGAATTAGAGTTTAATGGACAGAGTTTCACTTTGGGAAGATGGAAAAGTTTTGGAGATGGATGGTGGTGATGGTTGCACAACAGTGTGAATGTGATGACTTAAAAATGGTTAAAGTGGGAAATTTCATGTTATGCATATTTTACCATACAGACAAGTACTAAGCAGCAAAGACTATCCACACACCTGCAGAACTTGGTTGCTTTTCTCCTGAAGCTGCAGGGACAGAGACTCCTTCTCTTTCTGGTGAAGAGACTGCGCCCGCTCCCACTCCAATCTGTGCATCTCCTCTTTCTCATGCAAAGCAGCCTCCTTTCCACGTTCAAATTCACCCTGTACAAAGATATGATTAAAAACAAAAAATGCTGTCAGGGCACATACCAGAATCAACCAATGAATGTGAAGCAATGCAACACAAGGGACCCTCAGCAGATGAATACCCAGCTAAATTCTCATCATAAAGCAGAGGTCAAGAGGCAGTGAGATGACACATTCAAAGAGCTGAAAGAGTAAGACTGTCAACCAAGAATTCTAATCCAGGAAACTCTCTTTCCAAAATGAATGAGAAATTAAGATATTCCCAGATAAATAAGAACTAAGAGAATTCATCACTAATGAGCCTGCTCTGAAGAAATACTAAAGGGAGTTCTTCAGCTAAAGTGAAAGGACATTGGACAGCAACTTGAATCCACGTGAAGAAATAAAGAACACTGGTATAGTTAACTATTCAGATAAATATAAAAGACAAAACAAATGTAGTTTTTGTTGGTAACTCTTTTTACTCCTATCTGATTTATTTCTTTATTTTTGTTCATCTTAACCAAAGGATATTTTTCCCACTGACTTTTAAAGAGAGTGAAGGGGAGGAAGAGAGGGGGGATAGAAACATTGATGTAAGACACATTAATTGGTTGCCACCCACATGCACTCCAACTGGGACTGGAGATGGAACCTGTAACCCAAGTATGTGCCCTCCAGGACTGAACCTGTGGCCCTTCAGTGCGTGGACCAACGCTCTAGCCACTGAGCACACTGGCCAGGGCTCTCCTATCTGATTTTAAATACACCTGCATAGAGCAATGAGTATAAAGTGTATACATATGTACTTTGCACAACAACATTAGCACAATGGAGGAGGGAATGAAGTTATATATGTAGAATAATTTTTTAAACTATTAACATTAAGTTGGCAAAAAAACAAAGAACCAGCCCCCAATGATGTCAAGCCCCTTCCTCGTCTCACCCGCGACACAGAACTGCAATTCCTAAAAGCAGTTGAAAGCTAAGCGTATCACTTATTTTTTAACCTTCACTTTGTTTCAGGAAGGGTTTTAAGGCAGTTGACAGACATACACAAAGTCTAACAAGACACACAAACTAGGCAGAAGAGCAGCAAACTCAAAGCCCCATGCCAACTATCCACTTATGAGCAGTGTGCCTGTCCTGCCTGGTATGCCCCCAAGCCTGGCACAGGACCTTGCAGAAGTGCACCATGAAGGAGGCCAAGATCAGACGTGGCAGCATTCTGGAGAACATCCAGAGTCAGGAGAGGCCGTACTGAGGGTGGGGAAGAGGGGGCCCTTCCAACCCGTGCAGGAGGGTAGCCAAGGCACACTCAGGAAAAGGTGCAGAGAGCACTCGATGTGCAACCTCACAGGCCCAGTACCGGGCTTTGGATATTGGGCAGGAGTGCACATCTTTAGGCCACCCCTGGCATGAATGAACAGAATCAAAGAAGGTTCGACTCACGAGACTATCCACTCATCAGATCCCTTACAGACAATCACTTCTAGTTCCAGACTTGGGTAAAATTCTGATTAATTTGCCATGTTTTAATGTTAAGGCCAATATAAGAAAAATATGTTCTTGAGTTTTTCTAAAAATCCACAGAATTAAACGGAAATGTCATATATATAAATCATTAGGAAAACACAACAGAGCCTTGGCCAGATTGCTGTGCTGAACACTGAAGGGTCGTGGGTTTGATCGCCGGTTGGGGCACATATGGGAGGCAACCGAACAACGTTTCTCTCTCTCCTTCTTCCTTCCTCTCTCTCTAAAATCAGTAATAAATAAAAATCCTCGGGTGATGATTAAAAAAAATATTTTAAACAATAGATATGCCTGGAGAAGATAAAAAGTAAATAGTACTGCACAAAGAACATCAACATAGTAATAAAGACATTCAAACTATATCTAAACTGACCACAGGTTCTCTTAATATTTTCAAAAATTATCATATAAATAGATTTTTTTTAACCAAGAAAAGATGAAATTGCATTGAGCAAACAGTACTGGTCACACTATGGTTTACTTCTCTTTCCAGACCCTGCTTGGTGTTACCACCCGAGGAAGGGTCCTTCATGGAGGCACATCTCCAAGAAAAGGAAACCAAGCTTACGTTCAGAGCACTTTTCTCACAGCCACACCCCAAAGGGAGGGAACCTGGAAAGTGATCCAATCACCTCACACATTCAGTCTTCTGATGAGTGACACAGCTTTTCAACAGGTGCAAGATATTTGTAGCCCAGATAAGACCTATTCGCAGAGGAAGAACAGTGTGTCCCAGCTATTTTGGGGATGATGATCCTGGCATCCCAAGAAATGTCCAGCAAGGCTTTATGTAATATCTGTTTACAGTAAAGCCTGAGGGAAGACCGCAGGAGGAACATGCCAATACCTACAGGAGTTCGCATCAAGTCATGGACCTGACTCCAATCATATGTAAGGGTCTGCAGGCATGTTTACAGGGAATAGGGGGAAATGTTAGCCGACATCCCAGGAAGCAATAAAAACAGACCTAGTGCAAATGGGACCGTGTGTGCATCCTGACATGAAAACCAGAGGAAGAGACTGCAACTTGGGCTGGATATGGGATGAAATTAAAAAATAACTTGATTTTTTAGGTTAGAATGGATTATGATTATGTTACATGGGAGAAAAAAGACCTTACTTGGTAGAGAGATACTGAAAACACATGACATCTGGAATTTGCTTCAAATAATTGGGGGTTGGGAGTACTGATGCACTATGATTGCCACCTATTCCACCAGGTAGCCAGATACGAAGTTTTACTGAACTGTTCTATTCCTGTGTATGTTAAAATTTCCTCCAATAAAACATTAAAATAGGAGCAGAAACAGCATGTCCCATTGTTTTCTTCCTAGAAATAAAAAATAAGCTAGACAAAAGGTCACTTCAAGAGTACCTAACACTCACATCCTTACTAGCAGAGTAAAGGGATAACATTCTTGAACTGGTACCACAACTGGAAAAATACTCCCCAAATGCCCTAGGAGCAGACAATAGTCAACATGAGTTTAAAAAAAACACATAAATGACAAGCAGTCTCAAAGTGTGTATGGCTCTTCGTGTTGCCAACAGATAAAATGGGCAAGAATGTGTCAGAGATGGGACTCTTCAGCGGGAGGATGGTAAGTCAGAGTCTGAGACACCCTCAGCGTGTCTGTAGGTCTCAGGGCAGCACCTCAGGAGAGGGGGACAGCTGTCCACACTTGGGGTGCTAACCCACCCAGACACGCTGTCCCTGGATCCTGAACTGCAAACCATAGTTGTGCAAGTGAGGTTGCAGGGTCTGCCACCCAGGTGGGTTCCAGCCCCTTGGACACATGGGGAAGAGTGTCCCCCTCACACAGGAGCTCACAGAACCTGCCAGCACCCCACTGTCACATGCCTTTTACCAGAGCAACTGAACAATAAAGGTAATGGGAGGTCGATGGCTTGTCCACCTCACAACTTTCACTCTTCCTCGCTGTAGTGAAGCAGCTTCCCGGAGGCTTTGTAAACCTCTGTGATGGCCCCTCAGGACAGCAACTCAAGGGGCTTGGGGACACTGAGAGAGCTGAAGGGACACTGAGAAGGCAGAGGGGACACTGAAGAAGCGGAGGGGAACCTAAAGGAACAATGAAGGGGCTGAGGAGACACTAAGGGGACAGGGGGGTGGGGGGGCAGAGAGGTTGCGGGAAGAGCAAGGGCTGGCCCCTGCATCAAAGCCCCTCTTGACGAGCTCCCGCTCCTGGGGAGGCCTCGGTCTGGATGTTGCTCTGGCCCAGAGATGCAACAACAAACAGAGCAGAGGACAGACAGGACAAGCACAACCTGCCACATACTCTGCTGGGAGACAGTGCTGTGGGGCCAGAGGGGAGGAGGTGGGAGACAAATTATTCAGTCAGGGAAAGGCTCATTTAGAAGGTGATCTGATGAAAAGAAGAGAGAGTAGGAGTTTCCATGCAAGGGACAAGGACACGTTCAGAGAAGAGTACCGCTGGTATGTCATAGGAAAAGCAATGTAGCACGTGGCCATGAGAATAAGCAGAAGCACAGGAGACAGGAGCAGAGGGTACATGTGGTCGGAGTTTGTGGGGAGCCATGCCCCTGATCCAGCCACAGGCCCTGGAGTCTTAAGGTGTGCTATGGGGTACACAAGGCAGGAACCACTCTGCAGAGAAGAGACTGGTAGCCAGGCTCCTAATAGATCCTGGATCCTCTTCGCATGTCCAAGGCCCACCCAGCAAGCAGCCCCACAGGCTTCACCAATGCCCTGTACCATCTACAAGCAGTGTGCATTCCAATGAGAAGCCCCAGGAGGCCTGGCACCCTGTGGCGCCAGAGTCCACCCCCTGGCGATCCCAGATTCCTCTACTACCCAAGAAGGGGCCGCAGTGCACACTCGGAGCAGCTCACCTGCATAGCCCTCTCCTGCAATGCCTGATGCTCTGCCCGCTGCCTCTGCATCTCAGCCGCATGCATGTCACCAAGCTCCTGCAGGGCGGCCTGGTGCTGCTGCTCCAGGAGGAGGACCTCAGCATGCACCCGGTCCAGGGCCACACTCTTTTCCTCCTCCAGCAGGCGCCTCTGATTCAGCAGGGCTCCAGCCAACTCCTCCTGCCAAGAGAGTCCACAGGACACTGCACCCCACCCACCCTATCTCAGCACCCACTCTGCAGAACTGAAGGCACACGTCCCACCCTGCATGGGGCAGTACCTGACACAGTCTGCCCCTAGAGGCCTGACATGCCCAGCTGGCCCACGAACTGGGCAGTGCAGCCCCATCTACTGTGACTCTATAGTTTTAGGCCAAATACACATATCCTATTCAAGACACACAGATACAGGTTACAAAGATGGGTGCCAGCCCAGGGCTCCTGGGCTTTCTCCAGAAATTCCCTTTCATACCAAACTTCAAGTCACTGCTCTTGACACATGACAGAGGGTTAATTTTATGGAGCACCCACAAAGGAAAGCCAAGGGTACATATGCACAAGAGCAAAACAAAGCTGAGGCCCTGGAATGCCAGGCTCACAGAGAGGGCCAGCACAGACACGAGGAGCACTCTGAGCCAGTGAGATCATATGCACACTTCCCTAGGGTTGGTGAGTCTAAGCCTTCCCAAAAAATCTGTGATCATGTGATCAAAGAAATCCTTAAAACTCACTGTTCTAGACCTACCTCATGAGGAAACCAAAGTCACCGCTGAAAGGAACAGTGAGACACGCAGACACGGGCTTGCACAGACACTGACATACTTGTGTAGGCGCACACTCATGGACACACAAGGGTGCAGTGAATCACACAGGCCACTGGGAGACACCTGTCCTGAGACAGGGAAAGGGCCCGGTCCTCACCTGGTGAGCCCCTCGAAGCTCTGCAGCCAGGGCCCTCAAACTCTCAGTGTGTTCAGTGCTCAGTTCAGCTTTCCAGCTGCCCTTTGCAGATTCAAGCTCTTCATCATGTTTCCGCTGAAGTTTCTCTAACTCCTGAGTCAAAATCATTTGGTGAGAAGAGTCCTTTTTCTGCAGTTGTTCCTCAAGGTCTCTTCGCAACAGCTCTAGGGCCCGCCCGTGCTCATCCCGGAGGGCCTGAATTTCAGACAGGTAACAGGACTCCACAGAATCCAGCTGTGACAAATGTCTCGTCTCCAGAGCATGGATTTCAGCAGCATGTTTTGTCTGCAGTTCAGCCACACGAGCTTCTGAAAGAGCCCACTGCTCTCTCTGGAACATAGCCTTTAGCTCCTCGACACTGGCCTGGTGCTTGGCCTCGAGTTCTGCTGTCAGGGACAGAACGTGCTGCTGGTGTTTCTCCTGCAGGAGCTGGAGCTCGCTGGCGTGCTTCTCCTGGGCCTCCCGTAGGAGGGCATCTTGTTCTGCAGTGAATTTCTCTGTGATTTCTTTACGTTGTTCTAAAAACCTGAGATGACATGCAAAGTGAACAGACAGCAAAACATGTAGTCGTAAAAGCAGCAACCTCTTCACATTTCCTGCAGGAAATACCTCTATTGACAAGGTCATCATTCATGGGTCTAACTGTCCTTACTCCTCCCTCTGCCACAAATGACCTGAGAGCACACCACCAGCAGTAAGTGGAGTAAAGGGGCCAGAGCCCAGGCTCCTGGCCGCTCTGCAGAGACTCGTCCCCAGCAAGGCACAGCCTGAAGTGGAGGACACAGGACCCACAGCAAGAAGCCACATGTATGCTCCCAACAGACACCATGGAAAAGCAGGCATGACTGTTACAAGAGAAGGATCTCGACAGGAAAGAGGCAGCACGACCACTCACAGGAGCCCACATGCCCACAAAAAGCATTCAAAAGACCTCAGAAACACTCTTCAGTTGTGAATTAACAGACGGGAATTAAAGGAGACGTAGGAGGCGCTGGCTGGCAAAGCAGAGGCAGGAAGATGCCTTCTCATTAAAGCACCCAGAATCCCACCAGGAACAGGGAGGAGCCTGGAACCTCTACTGGTCCACGTTATATTAGTGGCACGGCTTGGTGAGTTCACAAAAACAAAAGCTGTGACTAGTTTTACATGCTGGTGTCTACCAAATTCGAAAAAGGCGTTTCCATGGATTACCCCACTTAACCTTTACCTGAGAGCTCTCAGGTTTCGTGCCCACATGATGCATCAGGATTGAACTCAAGTTCTCAGACCCCAGAGCAGAAGCTCTCGCACCTCCCTCATGATGCTGGGGAGCAACTGACACACGAGAAGCAGCAGAACCAACAGCATGTCCACTGACCCCAAAACTCACAAAAACCCTGACATGATAGGCCAGGTTTACAGAAAAAGAACCAAATCACATTCTAAATCTATTTAAAACCTGGAGATGTATATATTTTAGTAAAAAATAAATAAAAATTTATGTATGTTTAAAAAAAACACAGAAAACTAATGTGAATGAACTACATATCCTTATAATAAATTAGGTCTACAGTTGTGCTACTGAAATTTTAAAATGTGCAAACAGAACAAAAATGACATGTCAGCACACCTTGTTTACAGAGCCAAATGTCCTATTCTCATTTTAGGATGAAGAACAAGTGTCCAGGACTCAGGACATCACTGAGAGCCCACAGAACGTCTTCCCAGATCTGCCTCCCACCCTCTACCAGGTGTCCTGGGTCAGGTCTCTCGTGGAACCTGGCAGATGGCGCCATACTAACAAACTGCTACAAGAATGTCACCCACCTGTTCTGGGCCAGCATCAGCTGAAGGGCACAGTCCTTCTTCAGATGGGGGGGAGCAAGCTCCAGGTCTTGGTCCTGGTCCACCAGGGCCAGTCCACTGCTCGGCTCCTGGCCGCTCTGCAGAGACTCGTCCCCAGGAAGGCCAAGCTCCAGTTGCCTCAGGCGGCCCTGCTGCTCCTTCAGGGACCCCTCCAAGTCCAGGATCTGGGCAGCCTGCTGATCCTGGAGTTGCCTCATTTCAATTTCTCGAAGCTCAAACCCATTTATTATTGACTGTTTCTCCAATTCAGCCTGTTCTCTCAGGTCAAGAAGCATCAGGGTTAACTTCTCTTCAGCTTCTCTCTTTAGGGCTTCACTTGTATCTTTCCACCCTGCTTCTTTTTCTTTGAGTTCTTGTTTCATTAGCTGAATCTGCTCCTTAGCTTTTCTCAGTTCTTCCTGATGATCTTCAACTAAATTATGTTTTCCCTATAGATAACAATTTTATTTAAGAGGAAAGAAGTTAAAGGAAAAGATTATTGGCTGCAAAAATCAAAATCCATCTCTGAAGACAGAGAAGCTTCCACAACATATAGGCATTGTGCTGAGCAGAGCAATGGGACTGCTTTGTGTGTTGATGGGAACAGAATAAACTTAAAAGGAACAAACTTAAACTACTTGCTTAAGTAAAAGGTATCCACATGGAACCAACAGCTCTGTCTGGAGTTGGCAAACCTGGACAAAAACTAACTGAACTGAACCCAAAGACGGGCTGAAGGCCTTCTTTGTTGCACCTACCAGCAATAGGGAAAAATCTGACATATCACGGGTCATCTGTTGATAAAAAGGCCAACTCGACCCCTAAAAGAGCTGAAGCACCACCAGCAAGGAGAACAGAAGTCCGAGGGAGATGAGAGCAGCAGGCAGTGTCAGGAGTTCAAGTCTTTGGACTTGCACAATTTATATTCCAGGATACTATACAGGAACCTGAGCAAGAGGCTAACGAGCTAAAACTAATACTTTTAAATGAGGAATCTTGTGAAACAGAGGATGAATCAGAAAGCGGTAGGCAAATATCCTGGTCTGTGTGTTTTTTTAAAAAAAAAAGGTCAACAAACTACTAAACATAATAAAGAAGAAAGTAAACAAAATCAAAACAGATATGTAAGACTGACTTCCACTCCTTATTTAAAAGTTATTTAAAAATGAAGTTTAGGGCCCTGCTTGTGATGATGGTTGAGAAGTCCTAAAGAGACCAAACTTCCCAGAGATCACAACTATAAACTCTGGATAAAATGTAAGAAACTACCTGAAGGCCCAGAGAGCATCTGAAAGAAATGGCACTATGTCAGTGGTCCCAAACTCATTAGTCAACAGAGCCAGATATCAACAGTACAATGATTGAAATTTCTTTTGAGAGCCAAATTTTTTAAACTTAAACTATAAAGGTAGGTACATTGTTATTAACTTAATTAGGGTACTCCTAAGGCTTAGGAAGAGCCACACTCAAGGGGCCAAAGAGCCGCAGTTTGCCGACCACTACACTAGGTGATTTACTGTGTGTGCTGTGCTCACAGGAATTCCATAATCTTACTTACTTGAACAGAGGGGATGGAAAGTGAGAGAGGAAAGTGATTTAGGACAGAGCCAGAGACCGAGAGCAAAATCTGGAATAAACCAAGCCCTAAATTTAGGTTCTTGCCTGACCCCCATGTGTGTGGGCAGACTCCAAGGGCAAGCTGGCAAAAACTAAATGAATTGAGCAGTACACTTCAGTCCAGAGGAGGAGGAGTGTGCGACTCTAAATCTAGGCAGGTTAACTGGCTACTGAAACACAGAATCATTACTCTTCAGAGGAATATAACAGAATCCAGACTCTCCACAATGTCCAGGACCCAATCCAAAAATAGTTAATACACAAAATAAAGAGAAAATACGACCCATGCAGGGGTCCCCAGCCATCATTCTTCTCATTAACATACAAGACCCTTAGTACAGATGCCAAGGGTTTTAGCAGCTATGTGAGTAGTTGGAGGAAGAGCATGTATTTATTTATTATATTATACATATGGACAGCATATAGTTGGGTATTTTAAAAATCCATTCTGACAAACTTTGCCTTTTAATTGGAGTGTGTAGTTCATTACCTTTTCATGATGTTATTGACAAGGTTACACTGAGGGCTGCCATTTTATTACTAGTTTCCACATGTGGAAAAGACTTAAAAGTTCTAGTCACCTTAATTACAATATTCCTACAAAGTGATAAAACTGTGCTGCTGTATAATGAGGCCCTTCAATAACTCAGCGAGTCTATGTTTATGTGTTTATCAGCCTGCACAATGGTGCAGCAGCAAGCTCATCACTCAGGGTCCCAGGAGAGCCTGGGGGTTCGAGACACCTCCACTGGAGGCACTGGGGACAAGACTTCAAGTTAGCTGTGGCTCAAGCCCCTTCCTGCGTCCTCTGAGGACACCCAGCTGCTCCCTCAGCCCCTGAGCTCTGGACTCAGCTGGGGAGCAGGCTCACTCCCACTGAGGGAGACACCAAACCCGCTCCTAACCATGCACATGTGTGGCCTGACATCGTATCCATCCTCTGGCCCAGGCCACTGCTCCCACAAGGTCGCAGTGGAAGTGGCAGTCATGCCTCGCCATAAGGACTCACAACTCACTTTCTCCAAGTCCTCTTTCAGGCGGATTTCCCACTGCAGCTTCTCGTGTAAATTTCGGTTTTCTATTTTTAACAGATTGATTTCTTCTTGGAGCTCTGTTTGAAGCATTGAGAGTTTAACCTCCGTTTCCAAACCCAAGGTTGTTGTTGCCACTTTGGTCTCCACCTCCACGGCTGGGCCCTGCACACCCCGAAGATGCATGCAAGCAAGCTCTACGAGGAAGGAGACAGGAAAGACAGGCATGACCCACGAGGACACCCACGTAACAGGGACAGGACACTTGTATTCAGATGCCTCAGACAACAGAAATTCAGATTTTAAAAACTCCTGTGTGTACTTGGTGTCAGGAGTGGACACGACTGGCGGCCCAGCAGTCAATGTGCAGAACCATACCCGATGCTGCCCCTGCACAAACCCTGTCCCAGCCACCCACTCAGCTCCTTCAGGTTGGGTAGCAGGTAACTGTAATCAGACGTGTCCATCATGCCCAATGACCATAATGTGCTGCATGGTGGCCATGGGGCACTTCTCACACAGGAAGGAGAACCATGAGGAGTAGATGTCAAGTGTGGCGTAAAAAAAAAAAATGTGGCATGACCTCGGCTGTCAGGGTCGTGCCCCCTCTCTGCTCCACAAGCTCTGAGGGAGCCTGAGCCAAGATGGGCACTTGTGCCAGAGTACCCAGAGCGGACTCTGAACCCACCAGACCCTCATAGGGGACTCTCTGCCTCGCCTCCTGAGCTCTATGCAGAACACAATAGTGCCCACCCCCAGGGCTGTCCCAAGCTAGCACACCAGGCATCTGGGCTGCCCAAGCCCTTCTGGAATCTGTGTCTGGCCTTACATCCACTCTCACCACAGCAAGGCCACTACCTGTTCCCATCTGCCACACCCCTGGGATGACCACAGCCCCTCCATCTGCCACCTCCTGGCTGCCACAGCCACCTGTTAGCCCTGGTGAGACTACACAGTGAGGCCCTCTGTTGACACACCCGGGCCCTGCCCCACCCCTGAACTCTAGGACCCGTATGGGGACACCCCAAACCGACCACCAGCACTGCAGAGTAAAGGGACAGCATACCCAGATGACTCAGGCAGTCAATCATGGCGAGGCTCCCAACCTCCCCACAAATCACACCTTGGCTGCTGAGGAACACCCACCTGGGCCGGGCTCTTCCAAGAGCCCCACAGGCTGTACCAACACCTGGGTCCCCACAAGGTCCGCCTCCTGTTGGGCTGCCACTTGGTGCTGTGGGCTTTCTTCTAACTGAGTTTGCAAGCACAGGCCCTCCTTTGGGGAAGTCACACAGAAGAAATGTTTCAGTGAGCCTCTGCCTGGTGGCCTAGTCACTGCCCCCAGGTATGCCCCATGAGCGATGCAGGCTCATGCAGTCTTCTTGTGCCGCCTATCCTGTCCAGAGGGAAATAGCTGGCTGCGGCCCTGAGGAGGGCAGGCTCTGCTAAAGCGAGGGGCCCACAGTCAGGGAATCCTCCTCATGCTCATAGAGCCAACACAGGACACCAGCCACAGGAGCGCCAGGCTGACCCTGCCCACCAGACCCCCTGTCGTTACCTCCCCTTCCCAGGGTCAAGCCTCACCCGTTCCCCCCCACCCCCACCCCCATCCTTCACAGGCCACTGAGCCTCCCTGACCAGCCTCATAGGCCAGGGCCTCAGCTGAAGGGGTCCTGCTCTGATATGGGGCTCCCAGGCTTCTGCACCCACTTATTCCTGAGCCTACTCTGCTCTCCTTGCCCTGCACTTTCCCATCTAGAGCCAGTGCAAGGTCTGGTGCTGGGCCTGCTCAGGAGTTTCGGGGAGAGGAGGGGGCAGAGTCTCTGATTGCTGCTGTTAGCAGCCCTGACAACAGGCCCAGCCAAGCATCCTTATGGAGAAAAGAAAAGCAGGCAGGCAAGGAGACAGGCTCAATGCTTTCATACTTCCTTTTCCCCTCATAATGCAACTAGTAAGCTCATTTTCCTTAAAAAAATCACTGAGGAGTGACATCAACCTAAATTTCAAGATTCCTGCCCCTATGACAACTGAGCACACAAAAGGGCCAAGTTCCAAACTGGATGAACAAATTGAAGGAGTTTGTCGGAATGGCTATCATCAATAAATTAACAAACAACAAATGTTGGCAAGGATGTGGAAAAAAGGGAACCCCCATGCACCGTGATGGGAATGCAGACTGGTGCAGCCACAATGGAAAAGAGCATGGAGTTTCCTCAAAAAATTAAAAATGGAACTGCCTATGACCTAGCAATTCCACTTCTGGATAATAAAAAACACTAATTTGAAAAGATATATGCACGCCTACGTCCATTACAGCGTTTTTTTACTGTATCAAAAATATGGAAGCAACATAAGTTGCTATCAATAGATGAATAAAGAAAACGTGATATATGAGTGCACATATATATGTAAATATTATTCAGCCATAAAAAAGAATCAAATCTTGCCATTTGTAACAGCTTGGATGGATCTGGAGGCTATTATGATAAGTAAAACAAGTCAGAGAAAGACAAATAAGATATGATCTCCCTTATATGTGGAATCTGAAAACAAAACAAAACAAAAGATAAAACAACTGAACTCATGGATACAGAGAACAGATAGGTGATTGCCAGAGGGCGTGGGTGGGAGAAATGAATGAAGTGGGTCAAAAGGTACAAAATTCCAGTTAATAAGTAAGTCCTGGGATATATTGTACAACATGGTGGCTTGTGGGGAAAGTTGCAGACAATAAATCGTAAAAGGTCTCATCACAAGAAAAAATATTTGTAACTGTGTAATGATGCTAACTAGACTTACTGCGGTGATCATTTCACAATATGGACAAATATCGCATCACCTTGGACTAATACAATATTATATGTCAATAATCTATATTATAAAAACCCAGTGGCCCTAACGCTATACCAACCAACCAAAGACTAGTCACCAGGAAGGTGTGTGCGCGGCGAGCGCATGTGGGTAGGGCTGCATGCGCAGCACAGCAGGGTCTGGGGTCTGGGGTCCCGGGTCTCGCGCTATTTCCCACGGGTCTGGGTCTGGCACGATTTCACGCGCTGAGTCACTAGTACGTCAATAAAACAAAACTGGCCTGTCACCTCATGCTGCTCCAGATGGAAGCTGAGCTGATCGAGGTCGTCTCTTCTTTCTTTTTCAGAAGTCTCTTCTAAAACCGCACTGGATGAACTAAGAGAAAATACATCCTGAAAACCTTACACATAGCACTTTCACATCCGAACTCTGCTCCGTCCCTGGGGTCTGACCACATGAAAGAAGAAAACCCTTCCTGCACCTTCCATCACAAGCCTACTTGCATCAAGAACAGGACACCACTGACTGAAATATGTGTCAGTGACCACAGCTGGTGTTTTAGTGACGGGAACCCTGAGGCAACACAGATCCCCACTTCCTGAGCCCACCTCCACCAGCCACACATCATCTGCAGCCTGTCCTGTGAGTCAGATTCGGCTCTTAGCTCTAATGTTCTCTGGTTTTGGGTCCCAAACATAAAAATGTGTTTCTAGAATAGCAGGCTATTCATCTCCATTGGCATAAAATCACAAGCAAAATTAGATTTCAGGAGTGGAATACACAATACAACATATAGATGATGTATCATAGAATTGTACACCTGAAACCTATATTTTATTAACCAATAACATCCCATAAAATTTAATAAAAATAAATAAAAAATTTAAAAATTTGCTTAAACATATAGGGATAGTATCCTATCCTATATAATAAAAGGGTAATATGCAAATTGACCCTAAAGGCAGAACGACTGGTCGCTATGACATGCACTGACCACCAGGGGGCAGATGTTCAACGCAGGACCTACCCCCTGGTGGTCAGTGTGCTCCCACAGGGGGAGCTCCGCTCAGCCACAAGCCCGGCTGACGGCTGCAAGCGCAAAAGCAGTGACAGGAGCCTCTCCCACCTCCTCCGCAGCGGTAAGGATGTCTGACTGATGGCTTAGGCCCGCTCCCCTGGGGAGTGGGCCAAGCTGGCACGTGGACAGCCCCCAAGGGGTCGCTGGACAGTGAGAAGGCACAGGCCGGGCTGAAGGACACCCCCCCAAGTGCACAAATTTTTGTGCACCGGGCCTCTAGTTGAAGAATAAAGGAAGATAAAAACAGGAAATATTAAAACTAGACTGTCAGAGAGACAAATTCTTGTGCCTTTTCCTTGGGAAAGGCAATGTCTCTCAAGTGTAAGGTCAGGGCAGCTGTAATCAACTTTCATGACACATATACACTTATTGTACTTTGGTGTTTGAGGGGAAGCTCAAAAAAAACACACCCATAAACTACATTTCAGTTTAGCTCAAGGTTCCCATATTTCAAATACATATTCAAGGTAAAAACTGATTTATTTACCTGATCTCCGCAGACTCCAGAAGAGAGTCTTCCCTCACCTCCTGCAGCCGCTGCTGTAACAGAGTCAGGTCTTCCTGGTAATTTTTTTCAGCATCCCTCAATTTCTTTTCAAAGTAAAGTCTCAGCTGCTCCAGTTCTGACTCATGCTCAGTTTTCTCCCGTTGCTGCTGCTGCTCAAAGTCTCGCTGCAGGTGTTCTAATTCTTCCACGTGAGACGCTCGAGCCAGGAGCTGCTCACGTAAGTCTTTAATGAGACGAAATTACACAATCACCTTAAACAGAAACACTTGGGAAAAACCGGGAGCTACTGAAGCTCCTGGTACAGGGGGCTGAATTCTAAAGGCCCCCAATCTCAGAACCTGTGACTGGCTAATGTGACACAGGAGGATGATCTGTGCCCAGCGAGATGACCGGCTACCTCAGTGTTCTCAGGCTGGAGGGAGAAGCCAAAGAGACTAAACATGTGAGAAGCATCCCATGTGCTGCTGAACTCTGAAGATGGAGGGGCTGCGCAAGGAGGAATAGGGGCAGCCTCTGGAAGCTTCGAGTGGTTGGCTGACAGCCAGCAACACAGGACCTGTCCTACAACCACAGGGACTAGATTCTGCCATACCTGAATGAGCCAGGTCAAGGGACAGACCAGCAACTCAATTTCGGCTGTGAGTGACCCTGGGCAGAAAGCCCAGCCATGCTGCCAGAGACCTTTGACCCACAAATCTTCAAGCTAAGAAGTGGTTTTGAGCCAACAAGTCTGTGATATTTTGTTAACGGTAACAGTAACACAGACCAGAAGAGAATGTGTCACTGTTGTTTTGATCAAGAGAAGGCTGCCAGCTGGTCAACAATAAGTAATCAGCTTTCAAATAAAATAACAAATAATTCATTATCCCAGAGATTTCAAAATCAGGGTTTCCTGTGAGGGTCCTTACATGCAAGGGTAAAGACTTCCAGTAAACATGCTAGAGCCGGAACACGTGTGTGAAAGCATGCATGAAGTCATGTACACATTAAGTCCACCAGTGCCACCTGTGGCCTCCATCAGTGACACACAGACCAGAAGGAAAGACTTGAGTGATGGGTTGACAGAGTGAGGGGTGACAGAGACACAGTCTTATTCACCACCATGCAGCAGACAGGCTGTTTCTAATCCTTTCTCCTAACTCTGGTCTTTGTTCCCAATAACACTCACCCAGTAAGGACAATCACTAGTTTAAAAGGCTCACTCTGGAGATTAGCAGCAGAAAAGCACACATCTGTGTTTCCCCCATTGTATCTCATGACCTCCCCCATCTGAAGGTGCCGCTAGGGAGCAGAGGCCGCTCTAACATGATTCTGTAAGGCAGTGGTTCTCAACCTTCTGGCCCTTTAAAACAGTTCCTCATGTTGTGACCAACCATAAAATATTTTCGTTGCTACTTCATAACTGTAAGGTTGCTACTGTAATGAATCGTCATGCAAATATCTGATATGCAGGATGGTCTTAGGCGACCCCTGTGAAAGGGTCGTTTGACCGCCAAAGGGGTCGAGACCCACAGGTTGAGAACCGCTGCTGTAAGGGGACCCAGGTGAGATACCCTCAGTAATGGTGGCTGCATTACCGGGCCTGGAGACTCGGGATCACCACCCTCCAACACCAGAGGCTGGGGCAATGGGAGTCTACACCAGGTGAGCTCATGGGATCCACAGAGAAGGCACACCTGCGACCCCAGATGCCAGCAGCTTCTAATCCAGACAGAAGCACGCACACTCAACAGGTGCCTGACATCAACACAAGCAAACACTCATGAATAGGCAGCTTGCTTAGCATGAAACCAAGGCTCCCACCAACAAGCAAACTCCACACACCATCTTCAGGAAGTACACAAATCACTCTTTGCACTCGCTACAATTGCTACATCCTCATTTTAGGGTCCCACAATTAAAAACCCACAGCTTCAGCTTCTGAGACTCTGAATCCTGAACATGAAACTCCTCACCACTCAGTTCCTGTCTGTCAGTCCTCGTGGACTCAAGCTGGGACCACAGGCGCCTGACTTCCTCTTGTGAGTGAGCCTTCAGCTCTTCGTAAGATGCTTGAAGGTTCTCCAACTAGAAAAGGAAGGCGACAGTGAGACTCTGACCGAGAGTGAGCCCGAGACTGACAGGCATGAGAGAGCACATGAGTAAAAGCTCAAATCCCAAACATCCAGCCTAGAGAAAACCAGCAATGGCGGCACCAGAGAAAAACTATCGTCCCCATGTTTAAAGGTGCCATTTCCCAATCGCAGTCCTATGAGCGCCTGGTATTTCTCTCACAGATCACCTGCTCAGGCCCTTGCCTTTTTCCCTGCAGAGACCACCACTTCTCACTGACCAAGGACGAGACTTTCTCTTTGCCCTCTAAGTCAGGGGAGAGCCAATGGGTGGGTGTTCAGGGACTGGGCCCCAGGAGGAGGGTGCACAGGCTCCCTCCCAGGCTGCCAACTGGCACTGACCACATGACTCAATCTCCCAAGAGGTCCCCCTGTTGTCGACTTTAACGTGTTCTGCACAGGGGCCTTTCCTTCTCATTAGTGATCACAGACCTCCCTCATCCCTTGGTATGTTTGGGTTTTCTCTGCATTTCTTGTTCAACTTTCCTGGAAAGCAGCTTCTTTCAGGGCGAACAAAGCCAGCACACCAAACCTGTGCTATATGCCAGCCAGAGAGAGAGAGAGAACGAACCAACAAAGCTAGGAACAGCTCCAACCTGCTTATGCACGGAGGCTCAGGGTCAGCATGTTCAGTCAGCCTGAGAGAGGGCAGCACTGGCCCAGAGGCCCCTGTAGCCTTTTCTCATCCACGGCACAGGACAGAAGGTAACCTCCCGTCATCTCTTTCTCATCAAGAAAGTGATGTGTACGCCAGCCCGGCCCTGGCTCTGCCTGGCCATCATGGCCTCAGTCTGGAGGAGAGGTGGTGGGAGTGGGTGTGAGAGCTGCAGGGGACAGAAATACAGGCTCCTCCTGGGCTTGACTCCTCCCCCTCCTCATCTGTAAACCCACGTACAGGCCATGACTGACTCCATCCCTGGCTTGCTTTCTTTTTAATTTCCTGAACCAATGCTTGGGGGCATTGCTTGCTTCTTGGGTTTGGTGACAAAAATACTTCAGGTCTCAGTAGATCTGGCCACATCGCCCCCATTCTGATATGCAGAGTTTCATTGGAAAGAGTTTTGAACACATAAGCAGCAGGAATGTTTCTGCTCTTTTCTTAGAAATGTCTTTATTGAATTGTGGTCACAGCATATGGCCCTCCACCCCTATTACCTGAAGTCTGTAAGCATCTCAGGGGGACTTGTAAAGAATGTGAATTATCTGTTTCTAAGGCTGAACATATAACTGTCAAATCAACCTTACAGACTCGGTACCTCACCTACCAGCTCCAGCAAATACTGACAATTGTCTTAAATTAGTACTTAAGCAAATAACAGAATATGAAACGACCTCCATCTTAAACCTTCCAAGTAATTAAATAATCGCCCACCTCCAGCTGTTTTTCTCTTTCCTTCTCTCTGACTCTCAGGTCCAGGTCCTCCGCGTGCCGGCAGCGCTCAGACTGCAGGTCTTCCTGGAGCTTCTTCAGAGCAGCATCATGTTGAGCCTGCAGAGCCTGGAGGGACACTGAGGAGCAGAGATGCTCAGTTTACAACAGCACAATCTTCTTCCTCGGCAGCACCATTAGCCAGCCCGTCGCAGTAGTAATGACAGTTAGCACTAGGAGGGCCACCTCCCACTCAAGGCCCCCAGGCTCCTTGTAGGCCCCTTCTCAGCACCGCTGCTCCCCTCAGGAGGGAGGGAGGGGTACAGGCCAGCTGACCAGCACACAGCTGTTCTGACAGGTCCGGTAATAGGCAACAATCTCCATAAAAAATGAACAATCCCAATACTACTGTTTGGGTAGCAATTTAATAATGAAACATGCAAAAACTATCTCTTAAACGTAAGTTTCAGAAGGTTTAGGGAACTTGTAGTCAACAAGGGGAGACCCCACAGCTGATTGTCCTGAGGCGGCCCTGCACCTCTGTCAGCTGGGGGTGTCACAAGCACTGTTATCTGGCACTTGAACACATAAGCAGTTCATATTCACCACAAATTTGGTGAATCATGGTGTTTATTCCAGAATTTCACAGGAAAATCTGGTCCCCCTGTAAGACCTGCTCATCTTAATTAAATACTCACATTCTGCCTGATTTTTGGCTTGAAAAATCTTCTCCAGCTCAGTTTTCTGTTCTGCCAATTCTTTCTTAAACTGGCTTTGTAAATTCTCCAATTCTGACTGATGCTTTGCAGATAATTCTTTGCGTAGGCTTTCTAAGCATAAATCTCTTTCAGACTCCCAGTCTTGCTTCAGGGTCTAATTTAAATAAGGAAAAAGGAGAGTATGACCAATAATTGATTACCTGTCATAAAAATTTTAAATCATACGTTTGAAAACTAGGAAGTCACTCCCTGCCTAGACCAGACTGTCACCATAGGAAACCAGCTCTGAATGTACAGGACCAAAAGTATCCACAAGGCAAACTGCAAATGAAAAGAAACAAGGCCCACCTGCCCAGAAACAGAACACACAGCACAGGTGTGTGGTCACTCTCAGAGATTCATGTGTCTGCCCCCACAAAGACCTGGGGGGCAGGATGCTACAATGATGTTAACGACATCTGTGGGAGAGCCAGGCTATGTGCCAGGTGCCCTGAGGAACAAGTCCCCACTATCCAGCCTAGGGGCTAGGGGTTGGGCACAGGCCTCCAACCCAGGACCATATTCCACCAGTGCCTGACCAGAGCAACCAAGACAGAAATGCCCACGTGCCCCAATGTCACACATCTAACATCACCCATGTTCCCTGATGTCACCCATTTCCTCTGCCGTCATCAGATCCAATGGCCCCTCCACAAATGTAGCTTTCAGAAGGGGAGATATTACGAGAATCAGAAATTCCAGTGAGAGACTGCCTCAGAAAAGAGCTAATTCTGTTATCCTCTAAAACATAACTCTGTCTCAAAAAATGGAGTGTAAGATGGGAACAGCAGGACAGTAATGGCCATGCCAGTGCGGTCAGCACTGTGAACAGAGCCAATCATGGTGCACGCAAGGTAGACACCCATGACTCACTGCTTTGCCCTTGAGGCACAGCTCTTCCCTGAGGTTCCCTACAGCGTCCCAGAACCCACACTGCCCACATCTCAACTGCCGCAGTCCACACCTCCCTGCGTGAGGACAGAGGTCTGTGTCCAAAGCACAGCAAGGGCCAGGACACAGCAACCACTCAGAAAACCAAACTTGGGATGGAAGAGTCTCATGTTACACACATTGTTCTGACAAAATCAACTTGTAAAAACAAAAGACCGCTTTGCCTCTGAAAGAAAACACAATACACTTCTACCAACACAGCCCACCAAAACTCTGACTGGGTTTGTTTAATATCAAGGTGAGGGAGGGGTATTTCTGTGGGGATTTTGAGTGGAGGGGTCAACCTGGTGGGATGGGCAGAAAAGGGAAATCATACACACACAGAATACAGATACCTCTATTATCTGGACATTTCTCTCCATTTCTGATTGTAACTTCTCCTTCAGCTCAGCTGCAAGAAAAACATAAAAAGTCGTTCAGATCACTGAGCCTCAGGTTTTTCCACAATCTGACACCGAGGAGATAAGGGGCTCCTGGCTCTTGCTGGCTGCTCCACGGGCACCCACCAGCGTCAACAGAAGAGGAGGCATCTGTGAGGGAGTAAGAGTATGATGATGTCTTGTTTAATTAACAAATCATATGCATGCCCAAACCAAGGAGTGCAAGATTTACACCCAGCAGGACAGTCTGAAATGAGCTGGCAAGGCTGGCTCCAGACTGCATAGTCACTGAGAGCCTTGAACCCACTCTTTCTCTGGTAATGGGACCTGTCTGCTCCACACCAAGCCAGATTCCAGGCTAGATGCTGGAAGAAAGATAAAGATGTTCTAGGACCCAACAACTCCCAACCCTGAGAGGGAAGAAGCACAAGAAAAAAGGAGTAAGTGCTGGGAGGTGGAAGAGGGAGATGGGACTAGACCCATGGGCACAGCCAAGTTAGCACGGAGATGTGGGTGCACACCTGGAGATCAGGGTGCCAGGTAGAGATGGCAGGAGCCTCAGGAAAGGGCCAGGGTAGAAATGGGGAGAGCGGGTGCCATATGTATACTGTGAGGGTGGCCTGAGCAAGTACAGAATTAAGGCAAAGGGCCAAGTGCCACAGTGAAGGCCATGTCACGGCAGAACCTCACAAAACAGAGGTCAGATGTGGGCCTCTTTATAGACCTGCTCTTGGATACCATGAAAAAGAAGAGAAAACATCTTTGGGAGAGGCCTAAGGCAGAGCATGTTTCATATTTTAAAACCCTGGCCAGTGTAGCTTAATTGGTTGAATGTCATCCTATGCACCAAGAAGTTGCCAGTTCGATTCCTGGCAGGGCACATGCTCAGGTTGGGGGTTCAATCCCTGGATGAGATGCATACAGAAGGCAACCCATGTTTCTCTCTCACATCAATGTTTCTTTCCCTCTCTCTCTCTGTCTGTCCCTCTCTCAAATCAATAAAAAGATATTTATAAAAGGAAATGGAAAAAAAAGAAAAATCACTAAAAAAATACATATACATACACACATACACAGGGATATTATACACACACACATATATCTGTATCATTTTATATATATATATATACACACACTATAAATATATCATTTTATTTCCATATACATATACATACATATGGGAGTAAAATGAGGTGTTTGCATTTGCTTGAATCTAGATCAGTGGTTCTCAACCTTCTGGCCCTTTAAATACAGTTCCTCATGTTGTGACCCAACCATAAAATTATTTTCGTTGCTACTTCATAACTGTAATGTTGCTACTGTTATGAATCGTAATGTAAATATCTGATATGCAGGATGGTCTTAGGCGACCCCTGTGAAAGGGTCGTTTGACCGCCAAAGGGGTCGCGACCCACAGGTTGAGAACCGCTGAGAAGACACAGAGACAGGACTACAAGAACCTGAGAAGAGCCCGGCCCGTGTGGCTCGGTGGTTGAGCATAGACTAGGAACCAGGAGGTCACAGTTCAATTCCCGGTCAGGGAACATACACAAGTTGTGGGCTCGATCCCCAGTAGGGGGTGTGCAGGGGGCAGCCAATCCATGATTCTCTCTAATCATTGATGTTTCTATCTCTCTCTCCCTCTCCCTTCCTCTCTGAAATCAATTAAAAAATATATTTAAAAAGGAACCTGAGAAAAGACCCAGAAAGAAAAGGACTTCTCAACACACCTGGAGCCAGCATGCTGCTTTTTCATTCCAAATGAAAAACCCAGCAAAAGGGCAGATAATCAGGTGCTCACACCAGCAGGAAAGTGGGATGGCTGCCAGGGATGTGGGATTCCTTTTTGGGTGACAAATATTCTAATCGCAGACAGTAATGATGTCTGCATAACTCTGACACACTCAAAGCCACCGACATGTACACTTTAAATTGGTGAATTGTGTGGTATGAGAATTACTGCTCAGTAAAGCTATTATTTAAAACACGTTTACAAAAAGTGTGACTAACAAAAAAAATTAAAATTAGAACACAAAAGTATAGACATAAGCTCAATCTAGGCTAGAGAATCAGGAGATAAAGAGGCTCCTGGGCTGCCCATCAGGAGCACCGGGACCCCACTGGGCACAGAAGAGTCTATAGGATGAGGGAGTCTGTGTTCAGGAGCATCTGGTAGGGCTGGATAAAACATGGCCACAGACACAGTCCTATCAACGATGGGGATGTAGAAACCTCAAGCATGTAAGCAAAACACCTCCAACGACATCATTTCAAAAGTTAACAGAAGCCCGTTGAAGAACTGGAAAGAGGCAAGGGGACAGAGAGCAGGATAAGGATATGCAGAGCTGGACGCACAACCACCAGCCAGGAGGTAAACAAGGGCCCAGCGATGGTCAAGGGCAGGTGCCCACACATGGAACACACCACACAGCTCCCACATGGACAGGAAGATCAGAGCATGAATGTCTCACCTTGGAGGCGCCTCTGATGGAGCCACCTGCTTCCCCAAATACCAGAAATGAAAGCCCATGCCTGCCCACACACACATACCTGTCTCACGGCTGCACCGCAGTGCCGCCTCCTCCCGCTCACGTGCATGCTGCTCCCTAACAAGCTCCAGCTCCAGCAGCTGGCGGTTCTGCAGCAGGGCCAGCTCCTGGGCATGCCGGCCATTAAGCATGTCCCGCAATTCCATCAGTGCCGTCTCCTTCTCCCTCTGCAGGTTGGCCTGCGTCAGCTCCAGCTGAGCTGTGTGCATGTTGCTCAGACTCAAGCGCAACGCCTCCAGCTCCAGGGGCGGCACTGGCTGCAAGGAGAGAGGCGGTGCTGCGGTGGCACTGGGGAAGCAGCGCGAGCTTAAGATGTGGTTGGACAGCTGCTCAGGGGAGTCGGATGTTCCTGACTGCCCAGGCTTCTTGTCCCTCAATGCCCAACACCGCTGTGTATAAGGAGTATGATTGATCACTGACAGGGAAGTACGGGCTGTGCAATGTGTGTGTTCCTGGCACCTGACCCAAATTGCTGCCACCAGATGCCCAAGTGTGTTCCTCTATTTTCAGTGGCTCCGCATAAGATGTGAAAACAAAACAAACCAGAAGAGTAGACAGTAAGCCTGCAGTGCACATCCATCCACTGTGACAAATCTCACCTACCTGCCAACCTCCCAGATCCCAAACCCACTGGGTCCTGGTCTGAGTGACAGCATCTGAGTCACCTGGGTCTGCAGCTGTACCTGCTGCATCTCTGCGGACAGCCGCACCATTGACCACTGCTTCCTGTCAGTCTCGTCTTCATGTCGGCTCATCAGTTCAGCAATTTCAGGTTTACATTCTTGTTCACACTCCTGAGGAAGGAGAGCAAGAGATGTGACCTAGAGAATTCAGTCACAAAAAATAACGATGCTATACCAGAGAGAACGGAAAACATACATCCTCGTTAAAACATGCCCATGAGTGTTCGCAGCAACACTATTCACAACCGCCAAAAGGTGGAAGCAACTCAGTGTCCACTGATGGACGACCTCATAAACAAATGTGGTGCACCCACACACGGGATGTCACCAGCCACAAAAAGTAGTGATGTAGGACACATTACATCACTGATAAATTGAGAAACACATTCAGTAAAAAAAGCCAGACACACTCACAGGTCCATTTGCAGGAAAAGTCCAGAACAGGCAATCCACAGACAGAAAGTAGACTGTTGGTTGCCAAGGGCTGGGGGAAGAAGTAGGGAGTGATGGATAACGGGGAAAGGTTTCCTTTTGGGGTAACAAAAATGTTCTGGAATTAACTGTGATGGATTCACAAGTTACTGAATGTAATAAAAGTCACTAAAAATGGTGAATTTTATGTTATGCAAATTACATCTCAATAAAAATAATCATAAAAGAATATACGACCTGTTGGAGTAGCTTAGTATAAAGTTGAAACCTCAAACAGAGGCTGCAGGTATTATTATTGGGTGAGCAGAGCCTGTGTACCCCTCGATCATTGTGGCAGAAACTGGGACATTAAGACTGATTGCAAGCCCGCCCTCCCGACACACTCTGAGTCCAACACTGCCCCATAGGGCCATGGTGGAGACCGGATACACACAGCTGACCATGTGAGACAAGGGAAGCACTCGGAGGGAAAACATCAGTATGTTATCGCTATCCTCCATGCATGAAAGACAACTTCTCTCTTCAACATCTAGGAGAAAAGGCCAAAGGTCACAAGGAGGGCCAAATTGGGCTCAACCAGAAAGTCTGGAGAGACCTTCCATGCGGGGGCAGCATTAAGGACCTGAGACCTGCCCTAGCCGGTTTGGCTCAGTGGATAGAGCAGGGGTCCTCAAATTTTTTAAACAGGGGGCCAGTTCACTGTCCCTCAGACCGTTGGAGGACCAGACTATAGTTTTAAAAAAACTATGAACAATTTCCTATGCACGCTGCACATCTTATTTTGAAATAAAAAAAACAAAACGGGAACAAATATAATATTTGTATTTGCATGTGGCCCGCGGGCCGTAGTTTGAGGACCCCTGGGATAGAGCATCGGCCTGTGGATTGAAGGGTCCTGGGTTCGATTCCGATCAAGGGCACATGCCTGGGTTGCAGCTTGATCCCCAGTAGGGGGCGTGCAGGAGGCAGCCAATCAATGATTCGCTCTCATCATTAATGTTTCTCTCTCCCTCTCCCTTCCTCTCTGAAATCAATAAAAATACATTTTTTTTTTTTAAAAGGAACTGAGTCCTGCAGGGGCAGCTCTGCCTCAAGCCTCTGTGCCCCAGTTTCCACTTTGAGAGAGAAGGTTCTTAAAAGACTGAGTTCTCTCTCTGATTTAGGTTTCTACAACAGGGAGAAGTCCTCTGACAGGGAACACACCTTAACAAGAGAACCCTGAAGATGCATACCTTTGTGAGGACCCCAGGCTGTTCTGAACCGTCCCCATCCAGCTTCTGCCAGGGCTGCTCTGAGTCCTCTGTACTTGCTCCATCAGGGTTCTCCAGCTAAGAGGGGAAGGGCCAGAGAAGAACAGTTACTCTAATGACCATGACCACCACCAGGGCTGCAGCCTCAGGCCCTCTCAGCCCCTCCACCTGCCAGCCATACTGACCCCACCCCCACCTGTTCAGAATCTGCACTCTCCTCCTAAACCATTCTCAGGTCTCAATACCTTTTATGCAACTCATTTACCTAATGCTGCTGCTGCCCCTCTTTCTTATGAATTTTGCTTCTTTAAATATTTTCACTGTGTACTTGACACCTAAATTACTAAATTTTAGTTTCTCAACAAATTCTAGTCTTTCAGACCCATGAACTTAATTTTAATTTCCAAGCTCTTAATTTTATATAAGTAAAAATATTTTATCTTCAAGATCTCCCCTTTTTACATAGAATTTTCCCTTAATAATTTGTAGAAATAATAAATGAAGATAAAAAACCAGAAAACTGTTTAAAAATATTAATTAATTTATTTAAATAATAAGTCCATTAAATAATAACTTGTTTATGAACATTTTCCCCAAAAATTATAAGACATAATTTTAGAAAAAATATAAAACTTTTCATTTAAAATAAGACTTCTTGGAGGATTAAAAATGGCAGCAGAATAAGTGGATGCTGCACGGACATGCTCCCAGGAATAAATTGGAATTACAACTAAAATACAGAAAAACTTCCTGAATAATCAACAGAAAACTCACAGGAGAAAACCCTAATACCCAAAGACTGAAAGTGGAGACTGCATAGAGCAGTGGTTCTCAACCTGTGGGTTGCGACCCCTTTGGGGGTCGCCTAAGACCATCAGAAAACACATATATAATTACATATTGTTTTTGTGATTAATCACTATGCTTTAATTATGTTCAATTTGTAATGATGAAAATACATCCCTCATATCAGATATTTACATTACGATTCATAACAGTAGCAAAATTACAGTTATGAAGTAGCAACGAAAATAATTTTATGGTTGGGGGGCACCACAACATGAGGAACTGTATTAAAGGGTCGCGGAATTAGGAAGGTTGAGAACCACTGGCATAGAGACTGGTAGGAGGGGCAGAGGTGCAAAAGGGCTGGCTGGGTGCCCACTGACAGCAACTGAAGTCCTGGAGAGATATCTCAGCTGTGGGAGGTTGCCACTGAGAACTCTGGGATCTAATCCCCATGTTGGGACCCTCAGCAGAAAGCATCAAAACTGAGAAGGGTACCCACATAACATCTGGCTGTGAAAAGCAGCGGGGTGCTATCTGCCAGGGAGTGACAGCTAAAAATTCAGACACCCTCTTAAAGAGCCAATGCACAAAATTCCCTATGGAGCCACCCACCTTGTGCTCTGGCAGAGGGAGGGTGAAGTGGACTGGAGCTGTGAGAGCAGAAGCCAGGACTGGGGTCTTAGGGGATAGAGCTCAGAAGGCAGACACCCCAAGTTTCCTGGGCTGAGTCATTTCCTCATTCAGCAGAGGACATCTTTCCCACATAGACATTTGCCTTGCTTGGGGGAAGACAGTTGAAACACCCTATGGAAAACACCATGCCCTGAGGCTACTTAAGAGAATTAAAAAAATTAGTCTCCAGGCAGAAGCAACTGCCCCACCCTGTTGAAAAAAAAAACTCTCACCACACCTGAGGAGGATTGCTTGGGGGGCAATTCAAGTCGGAATCCTATCAGTCTATAGGCAGAGGTGTTCTCAGGAAGCTTTGAGTCTTTGCCTGATGTAATTAGTCAGAAACTAGAGATTAAGAGGTATCGAGGGGCTCTCCATCTAAAAAGGTGGGTGTGACAGGGTCACAGATGGCGGCCGTAAGGGACAGAAGAAATATTTGAAGAAACAAAGACAAAGAATTTTCCAAAAATAATGACACATTTCAAGTCAGAGCTCTAAAAAGTGGAAAGAACCTCAAGTAGAATTAATACCATACACATAGACACATCCCATATCCCTGTACACATCATTTCCACACTGCAGAAAAATTAAAAGAAAAATGTAGAAAACAGCCAGAAAAGAAAGACAGTTCAATTAAAGAGGAATACAGTTCCCCCTATATACTTCACCACCCTTTCAATATAAATATGTTGAAGAGCAGCCTGGTAATTTACAAATGGGCTTTGCCTCCATCCGCACTACAACTGGTCGTTATATTGGCTGGTGCAAGGGTATTTATGTCTTTGTGAAAAATGGGATAATGGATATAGTTCAATTTGAAAAGATGCATATGTTTATCTGAAGAATCCACCACGAGATTTTCTTCCGAAAATTGGAATGATTACAGTTTCAGGATTAGCAGGGTTGGTTTCAGCAAGAAAAGGTTCTGGATTTAAGAAAATTGCTTATCCACTGGGACTGGTCACTTTAGGAGCAACTGTTTGTTACCCAGTTCAGTCCGTAATAATTGCAAAGGTAACCGGGAAAAAGGCATATGCTACAAGTCAGAAAATCAATAAAAAAATTTTTAAAAATAAAAATAAATAAAAAGCTTCTGCACAGCAAAAGAAACCATCAACAAAACAACAAGAAAGCCCACTGCATGGGAGAACATATTTACCAATGTTATCTCTGATAAGGGTTTAATCTCCAAAATTTACTGGGAACTTAACAAAAGGAAAATAAACAATCCAATCAAAAAATGGGCAAAGAACCTAAATAGACACTTTTCGAAAGAGGACCTACAGAAGGCCAAGAGACATATGAAAACATGCTCAAAGTCACTAATCATCCAAGAGATGCAAATCAAAATGACAATGAAGTACCATCTCACACCTGTCAAAATGGGTATCATCAACAAATCAACAAACAACAAGTGCTGGAGAGGATGAGGAGAAAACGGAACCCTTTTGCACTGCTGGTGAGAATGCAGACTGGGTCAGCCACTGTGGAAAACAGTATGGCATTTCCTCAAAAAATTAAAAATGGAACTCCCATTTGACCCAGTACTACTACTTCTAGGAATATAGCCCAAGAAATCAGAAACACCAATCAGAAAGGATATATGCATCCTATGTTCATAGCAGCACAATTTACAATAGCTAAGATTTGGAAACAGCCAAAGTGCCCATTAGCAGATGAATGGATTAGAAAACTGTGGTACATCTACACAATGGAATACTATGCTGCTGTAAAAAAGAAGCAAAATTCCAGATTTGTAGGTAGTGTATTTGTAGCTGGTATAGGTGATAATCATTTTTTCCCATAAGGCAGTGGTTCTCAACCTTCTGGCCCTTTAAATACAATTCCTCATGTTGTGACCCAACCATAAAATTATTTTCGTTGCTACTTCATAACTGTAATGTTGCTACTGTTATGAATCATAATGTAAATATCTGATATGCAGGATGGTCTTAGGCGACCCCTGTGAAAGGGTCATTCGACTGCCAAAGGGATCGTGACCCACAGGTTGAGAACCGCTGCCATAAGGCATGCCAGATACATCATTATTTTGAGTCAAATTCTGCCCTCAGCTGCCAGTTTTCCAGCTCATTCTAGCAAACACCTAAATCTGCACCTGCCCTGTTGCACACAGTAGGGAATACTCACAATTCAAGGCCCCCTTATTTATAAGGCACACAGGAAGAAGCTCCAAGGAGAGCCCACTTATGGTTGATCGGGAGGCCCTAGGGAAGCCACTCAGGGCCAGCATCCTCAGTACTCTCAACGCCCAAGTCCACTTCCACTCACCTGCTACACCTGACCTTTGCAGCTCTCAGGACCTTGAGCAACAGAATGTGGTGCCTCCTCCAGCAATACCACATTTCCACACCTTCACCCCCTTCCCTCCTCTTCCCACGTTCAGCAAGAAGGGAAAGGACAAAGAATGACAAGTAGGTGGATTTGAAAGTAGGTGAAGGAGTATTATAGTTTAAGTATCCAAAGAAAACACCTGTTAGAGGGGATGATGCACACAGCCACACCCGATGAACTCATACTTATAAAACTTCCATCACCAAAGCAAGCACCAATACTGGCACTGCCTTCAAACAGTCAATCCAAAATTTCTCACAATCATACAAAGATAAAACATTAGGAGCAAAACCACAAAAATATACTCCCCCTTTTTGTAAACTAAAATAAAACCCTCTTTCCCCACATTTGAGAGGCAAAAACAAACCGAAGACCACCTTTTGTAAGTTACGCTAATAATAACTAAAAGATGAGCAAAATATAAAAACATAATGCTGAGAAAATTTACCTGAGCTGCTGCTGCCCCATCAGGGGCGTCACTGCATGAGGTGGCTTTGCAAACGTCCCCTCCTCCCAGGAATCCACTGTCCTCGTTGGCTACCGGACTCTCCTCCTGGACAGGCGCATCGACAGTCGAGCTCTTCCTCTTCGCCGTCTTTTTCTTCGAATGCGCACAGTCACCTTTTGTTTTTCTCTGTCGGAAGTGAGCAAGCTGTGCAAAAATGTAGAGAAGTAGTAAAGACAAAGGTAAGTGAGAAAAATGTAACACAACCACAAAGTCAGCAGGCTTGTGGGGAACATGAGGTTCTGGGGCTGGCTCAGTCCACTTGGCCACACCTGGCCAGATTCACGTTAACCAACAGATCTCTGTCCCCCACACACTGCCTTCATTAATACCTATGATGCCAGGATCTAAGCTCAGAATTATATCCAAAGAGTCTAGATTGAAGACTGTTAATTATGCCTGTGTACAGACAAAAGAAAGCAAGACAGCCGAGTGACAGAATAGCTTTTCTAGCCACTGGAAATTTACAGAAAAATAATATTTTAAAAAGTACATCTATTTAAAAAACTGATAGCTCAATCAAGGCATGTTTAAGGTTTAAAACCATGTAAAAGCTAAATCTCTCCCTTCTGCCCCCATTTTCCCCCCAATCAAGAAAATTATAGCCTAGCCAAAATTTTCTAGCCATGGATTCTGAAACCAGGTACAGAAATAGCAAATAATTAATTAAGCCAGGTCAATCTAACATCCTCCTTTATGAAATCAGATGTTCTAGTTTTCATGACACAGCTCACCAAAGCACCAGGGACTCCACAGAATGTCGCCCATCCTAAGGCACAACCCAGCTCATTCTGTCCCTCAAGTCTGGGGGTTTCAGACTCTGCTCACACACCCTCTCCCACTAACACCTTATTCAAAAGGTATAAGATCTAACATCAGTTTTTCACAGGGGGACATCTGTTCCTTCAAATGACAACTGTGGTCATAAAAGCAAATACATTTAACAAATGTTTGTCCACAAGTCCATGGACACAGGAAATTACACAAGCCATTCATGTGAGAAAAGCTGTCTGTCAAGGACAGACAATGCCTTCAGAACCAGCCTCATCTATTTAATTTCATTTTAATTCATTTGTTTTATGCCACACTCCATCCAAATTGCCTTCCTGCATCACAGTCCTTGTTTCTGGCCTGTGTTTGCCCAACAAGAGGCGTATTGTTTCTTCTCCAGATGAGCTTAATCACCACCTTCAATGCTCCTTCAGGCACATTTACTAGTACTCACATCTGCAAACCATGGCAAGTTCAGGAATAATATTAAAGCTTAGGGTCACTTTCATCTCCTGTGTGTGACAGGCACAAGCAAAGGGAGCAAAAAACAGGCCACAGATCTCCCTATTCAAATCCTAGTCAGTAGTTTCACCTTCACAGGAAGCCTGAATTGGGCCACTCTGTCCTATGCCTGTCATCCTGCCATTAGACACTGCTGTCCCTGTCACAGCCTCACACCAATCACTGTGCTCTGAATGGTTTCTTTAATGTAGTGGCCCTGTGGTTTCCTCAAGGGAAGGAACTAGCAATGAATACCTCCTACTATCTAGCCCATATGAAATTTCCACGGTTTGGCCATATCTGACCTCGAACACAGCAACTTCATGTGGCTCTCCTTATACTGGCTGGCATTGTACAGGCTCTCAGTCCTTCATTCCTGACAGAGCAGGTCACTTCCAACAGCCAGAATGGGGTGGGGCCGGAGTCACAGCCAACATGCCCAAGCCTGCTCCACTCTGACTCTGGAGCCCAGGTCTATTCAGCATGTGCTGTAATCCCCACAACATGCCCCCAAAACAGTGAGGACCAGAAGGCATTTCTGTGAAAACCTTGGCAGAAGGGAAGTAATAAATGCAAGCCTGGAAACACATGAATCCAGGACCAGTGCGTTCACTTGGGCATCATCCACAACCCTAGGATACAGCACTGCCCCAGGAGGCTCGGCAGGATGTCTGTAGCTTCTCTAGGAATCCAGCATTGTGGGCGCTCCAGGCACCTCCATCAACTTCATCTGCTCAAGACCGTCCACCTGGGCCCAAACAGCAAGGAAGCAAGAACAGGAGCTTCTGGCATAGCTGGTTTGACTCAGTGGATAGAATGTCAGCATGCGGACTGAAGGGTCCCAGGTTGGATTCGGGTCAAGGGCACATGTCCAGGTTGCAGGCTTGATCCCCAGTAGGGGGCGTGCAGGGGGCAGGGGATCAATGATTCTCTCTCATTGATGTTTCCCTCTCCCTCTCCCTCTCCCTTTCTCTCTTAAATCAATAAAAACATATTAAAAAGAACAAAAAAGAACAGGAACTTCTGGACCCCAGGAATAAACAGTAGGTCAGCGGGAGGTAGTATTCCACAATGTAAAAGGTCTCCTGTAACACCAAACGGAAACCTTTTTATATTTAAATAATACTGCAGAATTCCAAGTAAAATGAAAACCTGCATGTAGTTTTAAACGGACGGGAGCAGCCTTGAGCCCTAGGAAACGAGCCTGTGTCTCCCAGGACTGCAAGGAAGTCACAGGTCCTAGAAGTCCTCCAGGAAGCCTGAGCCGTGGCGAGGTGGAGCCGCAACAGGTGCAGCTGTGCACAGGTGTGCAGGGGTGCCACACATTGGCTGTCCACGAGCATGAGGACACACGATGCGGTGAGAGCGCCCTTCCCTTCACTACCCGCCAGCCCTCCACTTTCTGTTGGGGTCCGGCTGTGGGTGGACAGCGAGGGACGCGGCGCGTTTCTAAGACACTCCTGCCCGTTAGGGCGTCTCGAGACCTGGCGGAGACTACAACGCGAATCCGAGAAGGACCGCCACGCCAGGCTCCCGGGAAACGCGGGAGGGGGGCCGGGCAGAGACCCCACCCACCCACCCGCACCGCGCCTCCCGGACCAACCACAGACGCCACGCCCCTCGAGTCCCGGCGTGCCCTGCGCTCGGCCTCTCAGAGAGACGCCAAGCGTCCCCCGCCGCTGATTGGTGGCCCCGCGGCAGGGGCGGGGTCGGGCAGAGGGCGGCGGATTCAAGATGGCGGCGGCCAGGAGGTGGCTACCGTCCGAGTGGACGGAGAGGGCAAGAGTGCGGCGGCAGCCTCCGCCTGACCGCGTCCGCTCCTGGCTGGGTTGGTGGCGGGCCCTGGAGTCCTCCCTTAGGAGGCCACACCAGGGTAGCGGGAGGAGTCGGCGCTATCGTTTACCTTCGCTCTTCCGGCCTCCACCTTTCTGCGCCGCTGCTCCTGTTCATCTTCTTCCATCTCCCTCCAGGCCTCCTCGCGGGCCTCCCGGGAGGTGACGGAGCCGACGCGGCGCTGCCTTCGCTCTATTTACACTCCCTCCCCCTCGCCCGGGCTCTCCCTCCCCCGCGACAACTGTCACGCAGACGTGAGCCCGCCCCTCTCCGGGTCGGCTTCGCCGCCAATCAGGGGTCACATTCCTGCCCTAGCGCACGCGCGCTCAGAATGGCGCGGCAGGCGCGGAGCTCCGCCCCTGCCGCTTGCGGACCTCCGATTGGCGCGGTTACTCCCCAATCAGTGGAGCGCGGTGGCCTCGACCTCGCTGTGGTTGGTCGATTTTAAAGGAGCCGAGGCACCGCCTTGTCTGCGCAGTCGCTGGGCCTGCGGTCCAGCTCTGGGCACCGATGCTGAGCTTTCGTGTTCTGCCGAATCCCGTGTCAGCTCCTATGCCAAAGCCTTTCGCTGCCGTCAGTTTCATCCCGATTCGTCGCTCGGTTGTTAGACGTGGGCCCCTGGGGAGTTGAAACCTACTCCTAAAGGAGCCGGGGCGCTTGCAGAACCCACTCCACCTTCCTCTTCAAGGAAGGCCGCCCACTGTCGTCTGCATCCGCTTCTACCCCGCGATCACCCAGGGAGCAATTCCTAGAACCCAGCCCCTTTGCCTGGGAAGCAGTGACTACCCTCAGGGCTGCAGTGGGCATCTCACGTCTCGTTGCTGCTGTCCCAGATAACCTCACCCTCGTTCCTCGGGACTGAGCCCTGGTCACTGAGCCCTTCTCCGCTGGAATGCTTTCTTTGTTCATTTCACAGACAGACAGCAAAATTATTTGGATCCTTTCCTATACTGTATGTCCCTTCCCTGTTGTATGACTTTGCTTCTACCTCCTTGCCTGGGGGCATCTGGACTGCCTCCTTGCCAGGGCAGCCAGTTATGAATTCGGTGGGGATCTGGGTCAGGACCTCTAACCACAGCCCAGAGGTGCAGGGACAGGTTGCCACTGGGACTGCGCCACTCGTGGACCAGTGTATTCTTACTGGAGACAGTGGCAAATTGGGGTCTGAGTGCATGTGTCTACCCCCAGCTTGTAGCTCCTGGGTGATGCAGCGTAGGATTTGACTAGAGCGACCCCCAGTCATGGGTCCACTCCAGCATCTCTGCCATAAAACCTTCCCCTGGGTCAAAGAATGTTAGTGAGACCGGCCAGTAAGCCAGGACAAGCAGAATAGGGAAACTGAGACCAGATAGTTATACAGCCATCTAGAAAAATCAAGATGCCAAGTAGTTACAGCCATCTAGTAAATCCTACTTTCCCTAAACCAGGAACACGTAAGAGTAAATGGTTTGCACTTCTCCCCAACCAGAGAGTAAATAGCTTAAATCAGCGGTCACCAACCGGTGGTCCGTGAGGTCTGAAAGGTCGGTGACCGCTGGCTTAAATCACCCTACTCAGGGAGACAGCAGAAGTCCGATTCTGTAGCCGGTGGTGTGTAGTAGGAAGGGCAGGGTGCCGTGGAACAGAAGTTTTGCCAACCACACCCAAGGACAGATGAAGTTAAGAGAATAAATCTCATTTTGGTACATCAGCATAAAGCTGATGGATGTTCTATTGAAATCCTCCCCTAAGACCATCCCTGAACTCCCAGCCTTTAAAACCTCTCAAAGGTCCCAGTGCTTTGTGCTCTCTCCCAGGAGCAAGCCCATGCCTCTCCTCCCCCCTCCCCTCCTTTCCCCACAGGTGCATCTCCTGAACTCTATGGGACCCACCAGGCTTGCAACCAGGGCAGCAATGGGCAGTGGCAGTTCATTCCAGACAAACCCGCTGAGCCTGTCCCTAAGGCCCCCTTTTTTTTACTTCAGTGAGGCAATGCCGACCAGCCCAGGTGCCTTTCCCCAGCCCTTCTTTGTTTCATTGTCCACAGCTTTGATAAATGTCCTCTAAAATTCACTGGACTCATGTGAAATTTTTCCTGCACGAATTCAAGAACCCACACACTACAGGCTAGCCCTAGGCAGACCTTTTTGGTCACATTAGGACGGCCTCCCATGCTGGTGGGGAGTTCTGCAGAGAGGGGCATGCTGAGGCCCTGCAGACAGGAAAGGAAAACGCATACCTGTAATGCACAGCTATTGCTGTTAGGACAATCTTTGGTATGAGAAACATCTCTGGATGAGAAACCGGTGCTCCTCTCTCTCTCTCTCTCTCTCTCTCTCTCTCTCCCACTCTCTCTAAAAAGAGCAATGGAAAAAATATCCTTGGGTGAGGATTGAAAAAAAAAGAATAAGGAAATGAAACGAAGTATGGACTTTAGTTAATGATAATGTATCAATATAAGTTCATTAATTGTAACAAATGTGTCATACCAATATGAGATATTAATAATTGGGAAGCTGTATGTGGGACCTCTCTGTACTTACTATCTTCTCAATTTTTCTGTGCATCTAAAACTGTTCTTAAAAAATAAAGTTTGGCCCTGGTTGGTTTGACTCAATGGGTAGAGCTTCAGCCTGTAGACAGGGGTCTCGGGTTCGATTCTGGTCAGGGGCACATGCCCCGGTTGTGGGCTCAACCAGTGGTGGTTCTCTCTCATCATTGGTGTTTCTATCTCTCCTCCTCCCTTCCTCTCTGAAACCAATAAAAAAAATTTTTAAAAAGAAAAAATAAAGTTTGTTTTATTTTAAACTGCCAAACAAGTTCATACTCCCTAGGATGTATATACCCCTGGAGTCACCTCCTTAGCTCCCTTGAGTTACTAAGTTAACTAGTTTTTGTACACACTCAGACCTGTTAGAACATCAGGGTATGGGACATATAAAACCTAAAGACTGAAGGGCAACTTAAGGGATTTTAGCCCAATTCCAGCCACCTGATGCAAGAGTCTGGGTTGGCTGCATGGAGGAGAGGGCTGTAAGGTGCTGAGCCCTGCTCCTACCCCCGCCCCGGACTTCGGTCACCGCTCCCATTTCAAATCTGTTCTACCTCTTCATCAGTCCGGTTGACCCATTTGTAAACCTGAGATGGAAAGCCAAGGGGACCAAGTACCACTCCCTCTGCTCCATGGAGCCCTGCCCTCCCAACCACACTGACTATTAAGGCCTCCCCTGCTGGTCGGAGCCTCCCACTCACACCTGCCCCAGATGTCCCCTCCACATAGCTACCAGGACACCCATCCCTGCCTTGGCCGGGTCCCCTCCTGGCAGTCCCAGCACTAGATACATGTCCTGCCCAGTGGAATGGGGGCCCAGCCTGTGTCCCTTGAGGAGCCAGCTGGCCTGTGGGGTGGACAAACCAGGGAGCCCCTATGGGGTTCTTTGGCCAGCTCCCTGGTGCCGCCCCCTCTGCAGCCCAGAATTTCCTGAAACCCTCAGGTAGCTGGCACCGGGGCTTTGTCTTGCCCGGAGGATGCCTAGGAGCAGCCAGGGGCCTGCTGGCCTCCTGGAGGTCATAATGGATGGAGAGTGCAGGCTCCTGAATGAAGGGTAGGTGGGTATGGCTGAACCCTCCCCACAGCCTCACCCTCTTCTGGGCTCTGTCCTGAGGGTGGGGACCGTGTAGGGTGGGGCTGGGACTGTCCTGCCGCCAGGACCCTGCTCTGCCCCTCGGGCCCCAGCTGCTGCCCACGTTTGCCCTCCCAAGGAGCTTGCCTGGCCACACCTGGGAATGGTAGTGTTTGCAGCAACCCCTGGGCGAGGAGTGGGCGGGGCCTGGGAAAGACTCTCCTCGAAAACCTGGCAACCTGGGGCCTCCCTGTCTGCTGCGCCTAGCAACTGCCTTGGCGATGCCAGTGTTGGCTGCAGTCCTGGGAGATGTGGGGCCCTCCAGCTCCCTGGCAGAGGCCAGTCTCCACAATCCTTCATCGACAGCAGGGCTGAGGCTGCTTCTCTCCAGCTGGCTGAGCTGAGCTTTCCTGCAGAGAACTGGCAACCAGGGAGGGAGGGGCCTGCGGTGACCCCTCTCCCAGGGTCCTGGGATGCAGGATGCCACTGTGGCAGATCAAATGGCCCGACTGACCCTGAAACTCTTGGAGAAGGTAAGACATCTTTTTAACACCTGCTTATAGGAGTGCAACTTTAAAAGGTAAGATATTCTTGTGAGTGCTACTGCTTCCCAGCAAAACCCTCTCCTGTGGATTTTATTTATTTTTCTTTTTTTGTTGTTCTTTTTTCCACCCCCGTGGATTTTAGCCTTGTAATGGACTGTGGTTTCTTGAGTTTTCTTCTTTGCATTCATACAGAAACAAGTAGGTTCTTCTGGCAGTTTCCGCAGCCAGGACACAGACACACACCTGCGGCCGACGCTTCCAGGGCCCCACAAAGGTCCCCTGAGGATCCTCTGGGCTTCAGTGTTTAAGGCAGGGGTGGGCAACCTTTTATCTGCCAAGGGCCATTTGGATATTTATAACATCATCATTCGATTAATATCAGTTTATGTTGCTATGAGAAAAGCTCCTGGATTTATTGAATTTCAAGTCTCACTTGTGGTTGCCTTGGCAGGGCCAGACCACTTGATTTCGCAGGCCTTATATGGCCCTCAGGCTAGACATCCCCCACCCTGGTTTAAGGAAGACAGAGACCCACCTGTTGTAGGACCCACAGCCCCCTGGGCTGGGCCTGGGCAGAGGGACTGGGGGACCTGTCGTCACACCAGACTTCTTACCCCCTGAGAGTCTGCATGAGCCTCAGAGACCGCCCAGACAGCAGCTCCTCGTCTCCCCACCTGCTTTGTTCCTCTCTGCTGCCCTGCAGCCCTGTACCCCCCTCCCCCCCATCTGCTGGCCCATGGGCCCGCTTGCAGGGCCCAGCAGGGGCGACCCCAGGACTGGCCCAGGTGGGCAGTCAGGGTGGTCAGGGACACAGAACTAGCCTGGGTCTGGCTCTTCAGAAAGCTGTCTGGAGGGGGCCGCACAGATCAGATGTCCGCCCTCAGAGTCCAAGGAGGAATATGTGCATGTGGAGAGTGTGACACACTCGCCCCTAAGAGAGGATGATGCCCTGCCGCCTGTCCCACCCTCTAGCACCCAGCACTTCCTGCCCCGTCCCCTTCATCTGGGGCATCGAAGCACAGGCAGGTGCCCCACGCCAGCCTGCGCCCCGCTCACACTGAGCCTGTGCCGGGAACCGG